AGAGCCGGTTATTCCTGTCCTCGACTAGGTCATCTAATGAGTCGTCAGGAGGAGCAGGGTCTAGATGGGTTTCTAATGACATTTTCCTGCTTTTGCATGCAAATTAATAATAATAATAATAATAATAATAATAATAATAATAATAATAATAATAATTTATTATTTATACCCCGCCCATCTGGCTGGGCTTCCCCAGCCACTCTGGGCGGCTTCCAAAAGAATATTAAAATACATCAAACATTAAAAGCTTCCCGAAACAGGGCTGCCTTCAGATGTCTTCTAAAAGCCTGGTAGTTGTTGTTCTCTTTGACATCTGGTGCGAGGGTGTTCCACAGGGCGGGCGCCACCACCGAGAAGGCCCTCTGCCTGGTTCCCTGTAACTTGGCTTCTCGCAGTGAGGGAACTGCCAGAAGGCCCTCGGTGCTGGACCTCAGTGTCCGGGTAGAACGATGAGGGTGGAGACGCTCCTTCAGATATACTGGACCAAGGCCGTTTAGGGCTTTAAAGGTCAGCACCAACACTTTGAATTGTGCTCGGAAACGTACTGGGAGCCAATGTAGGTCTTTCAAGACCGGTGTTGTGTGGTCTCTGCGGCCGCTCCCAGTCACCAGTCTAGCTGCCGCGTTCTGGATTAGTTGTAGTTTCCGGGTCACCTTCAAAGGTAGCCCCACGTAGAGAGCATTAAACAGAAGGGAAAAATTTTGTGTGTGTTTTATAGATTGTTTGAGCAGACCACGGCGTAGTTATGACCCTGCCCTCATTTTACAGTTTCTGTCCAGTGTTTCTCGCTTTTAAAAAATATTAATAATTTTTTATTGATTTTTCCTCATATTTTCCAGCATATCATCCTTTTAAACATCATTTCAAATTTTTTGGCTATCACAGCCTAAGACTTCCTTCAACCTCAACTGATGGTTTTCTAAAATCCTTTCTAATTATGCATTTTGTTACTATAGTTATTGCTATAAATTCAAATCTTAATACCTATTCTTAATTCTTTTCACAATAATTTCTATATTACTCCTTAGAAAACTTCTTTTAAGCCTACAAGCGGTGTCAGTTGGTTACCATTGCTTTCCAAATATGTCAAGCAGTGAGAGCCACCATAGTGTCTTACGTTCTAATAGATTTTTATATCTAATAGATTTTTATATATCATACAATGACGTTCAAAATATGTGGTTTCCAAATCCTTTATGAACTTTTACTTTGCCATACCATAGATATGCGTGCCATCCAAATCTGTTGTCAAATCCTTCTAGATCTAAAAGATCTGTATTCTCCAACAATATCCAGTCCCTTAACCGACAAAGGCATGATGCTTCATAATACAATTTCAAATCTGGTAGGGAGAAGCCTCCTCTTTCTTTTATATCTGTTAACAGTTTAAATTTAATTCTTGGCTTCTTCCTGTGCCAGATAAATCTTGAAATTGCTTTTTGCCACTCTCTAAAGATACCAACTCCGTTAATTATCGGGATTGATTGAAATAAAAACAACATTTTCGGTAGCACACTCATTTTAATATCTGAAATCCTATCCATTAAGGATAGTTTCATTCTTCCCCACACTTCTAAGTCACTTTTAGTACCATTCCATACCAGTGTGTAATTGTCTTTAAATAAATTTACATTTTTCGATGTTAACCAGATTCCTAGATATTCAACTTTTTTAACAACCTCTATTCCACTCTGATGCTGCAATGTATCAATCAAATCTCAGTCCATATTTTTCAATAACATTTTTGTTTTTTCCTTATTTAATTTGAAACCTGCTACTTGTCTGAATTGTTCTATTCTTTCTAGTGCTTTTCTAGCAATAGTTATGGTTCTTCCACTGTTCCGAAGGGTAAAATTAGTGGCTATATTTTACAGATTCCATTTCCTTGAGCACTTTAATAGGCTGCAAATATTGGCTTGTGCGTTTAACGGACTTGGATAGTTCTGCACTCTTGACTCAAATTAAACCCTTAAATTTTAAAGGGGGGGAGGTAATCTTTTGTAATATTGTTGCATGATATATGTGCATTTCCAAGGCAAGATTATAAAATTTTTGCAAGCAAGGAAGAAGATCACAAGAATTCCACCCCACTGGTTCCTCCGCTGGAGAACATGACTTATAAGCAAATTTCAAGATTAGTCCCCCTCTCAAGATCACTTCCTTATTCCTTTCTTGTAAATTGCTGTATTTTGCAATGATTCACCCATCACGGGAGTGGGGTGGGTGAAGGGATGTTTTAAACAAAAGCTGACTGCCCCATTAGGGGCCAGGGACGCTGGGGCAGCTAAATCCCATTTGATTCATTTGATTCCTCCAATATGGCGCCACGCACCGGGTACCACCTGACCTTGCTACGCCACTGGGAGAGGGAGGACCTTCCAGCAGGAATTTCTGCCAGACAGCATCCCAGTGGGAAATATGGCACCCTGTGCAAGCCCCAAATTTGGCTGCCCCAAATGGATCTTCTCCATTACAGATCTGCACAATTCTGTGCCCCCTTGACCACTGAACCATTCCTCGTCTGGGGTGGTGGCGGCGGCCATAGTGGCGCATCAGCACCTGCCAAGCCCTTCGCCCTCCAGCCCTCGTTTAAGCCTCGCCTCCCAAATCAGGGATGGATAGCAGCTGGCCTTCCGCTCCATTGTCCATTGTTCTTTCTCTTTGCCGTCTGATGTCAGAGAGAGAGGGAGCCATGTTGCAGTGCTCCCTGTGTGTTTATATGTAAATAAAGTAGATTAGCCAAAATGCTGAGTTGCTGAGGTCTGTCACGCAAGGTGCGCAAACTCTGCGCATCCCCAAGTGTGCCAGTGTCGGTTGGCATCAGTCGCTGTGATATTTGGGCTGAAGAAAGCTTTTGAAGCTCCCGAATGATCGACCAGGAGGGAGAAGACATGCCAGCTGGGCATGTGTCTCTGCCAGGGTCCTACTCAAGTGTAGGCTGAACTCCTGACAGAGGAGCCCTAGATTGGTGGCCACCTCTGCCTGCTGGTTGAGGCCAGTTCCCTAGTTTGACCATGCACTACGAGCAAAACTGCTTCCTTTTGTCTTCCTCGAATCTTCCAACATTCAGCTTTTAGAGGACAAGGATCCAGAGATTACACTAAGGGTGGCCAAATTCTGTGTGACTGCCATAAAACTTGGGGAACAAGCTGTACTACCAAAATGATTAAGGTTTCAAATGGCAATTTTAGGTTATATTTTAGTGATCAAGATTTTATATATATTTTTAAATGTTATGCAGTCATACCTCATGTTACATTTGCTTCAGGTTGCGCGTTTTCAGGTTGCCTTCCGCGGCGACCCGGAAGTACCGGAAAGGGTTACTTCTGGGTTTCGCCACTCACACATGCGCAGACGTGCAAAATGACATCACGTGCATGCGCAGAAGCAGCAAATCATGACCCGCGCATGCGCAGACGCAGGTTGCGTTCCTTTCAGGTTGCGAACGGGGCTCCGGAACGGATCCGTTCGCAACCAGAGGTACCACTGTATCTGTATTATCTCTGTTATACCCAATTGCAGTTCAATGTATTCCTGTTGTGTTTTATGATTTTCCTGATATTGTAAGTGAGCCAGAACTGGTCTGTGAGCGTAATAATAAAATTCATTCATTTATTCAGCTTTTGCCGTTACGAGAGAAGGAGAAAAAAAATGCTCCATCCACTATCTTCGTGCCATGCACAGTCTCATAAACCTATGAGCTCGCAGAAGTAGCTGCTCGCCCTTGTGGAAAAGCTGAGGCACCAGCTTCCCAGGTAGAATGTATGGGGCCAACGTCACCCAGCGCATGATGCCGTGGGCATGGCATCGGATGTTGGAGGAGCTGAACGCAGTGGCAGCGTAGCTTCAACGGTCCGTCGGCACTCCTCCTCTGCCACCACCAACCGGGCTGCTTCTCTTTTCCTTTCCTGCCATAGCAGGAAGAGGAAGAGGAGGAGCCAGCCGACTGCCGCTGCCATGCTTTGTTCAGCTTGGCCTCCTCTACCCCTTCTGAACATTGGGAGGCAGCCCCCACCCCCCAAGTATTGGGGAAGGGCAAAAGGACTCTACCCCTAGGAGATGGTCTCAGGGCGGGCGCACTCCCGAGGGGGGCGGGGCACAGAGGGTGCGCTCCCAGGCGCTCGGGTGCACAGAACGGCATGCGCGCCCTGCATCTGGGGACGGAGTGAGCCCGCTTGGACTCCTGCAATGCACTCTATGTTGGGCTGCCTTTGAAGGTGACCCGGAAACTACAACAAATCCAGAATGCGGCAGCTAGACTGGTGACTGGGAACGGCCGCCGAGATCATATAACACCGGTCCTGAAAGACCTATACTGGCTCCCAGTACGTTTCCGAGCACAATTCAAAGTGTTGGTGCTGACCTTTAAAGCCCTAAACGGCCTCGGCCCAGTATACCTAAAGGAGCGTCTCCACCCACATCATTCTGCCCGGACACTGAGGGCCAGCGCCGAGGGCCTTCTGACGGTTCCCTCATTGCGAGAAGCCAAGCTACAGCGAACCAGGCAGAGGGCCTTCTCAGTGGTGGCACCCACCCTGTGGAACACCCTCCCACCAGATGTCAAAGAGAAAAACAACTACCAGACTTTTAGAAGAAGGCAGCCCTGTTTAGGGAAGCTTTTAATGTTTAATAGACTATTGTAGTTTAATATTCTGTTGGAAGCCGCCCAGAGTGGCTGGGGAAACCCAGCTAGATGGGTGGGGTATAAATAATAGATTATTATTATTATTATTATTATTATTATTATTATGGCGGACATTTTGACAGCTTGGGGTCGTTTTGACAGCTTGGGGTAAGCTTGGAAGTCACGGGTGGGCGGTGCGCCAATGTCACCCCCCTCAGCAAAGATACCCGGAGCAATCTGCCCCCACCTCACCCCCCTACCTGGAACATGCTCCACAGCCTTCTATATCGAAGCGTATCATCTGTTTGTCACCAGAACCCTCCATTGCAGAAAGCTCCCCACCCCATACCTAACAGGGAAAAGAACAAGCCACAAATTTCCAACAATTTGTTTATTTCGAAGGGTCGGACACATCCAATGCCAGCTTCTAGGAGGATCTGGAAATCGGGGGGAGCCGAAGACGGGAGAGGGCCTCGAATCACTCCTGGTCCCCCCCCCAAGCCAACAGCGGCCCTTGGGACGAGAAAGCGGCTGCCTCGCGCCTCGGAGCGCTCGCCGCGACTGGCAGCTCATTCCTTGGGCTCCATAACTCGCTTGCGCAACAGGAAGCTCTTGAGGGTGGGCTTGACGACGCCTTTGAGGGTTGCCCAGCGCTTCGCTCTCCGGGTTGCCCGGTGCTCTATCGCGGCCTGGGTCTGCTGGGACTCGTTCACCAGGTCCGGAGTGTACGCCTGGAACATGGGCTGGAGGTCTGTGTACTGGATGCAGCGATAGATGCGGGGCTGCAGAGAGAGGAGGACTCAGTCAGGGAGCCCAAGAGAACCACGCGGATCTCCAACCCCGTTTTAGCCCAAAGTAGAGACATCACCTTGCCAACAAAGGTCCATATAGCTAAAGCTATGGTTTTCCCAGTAGTGATGTATGGAAGTGAGAGCTGGACCATAAAGAAGGCTGACCGCCGAAGAATGGATGCTTTTGAATTCTGGTGCTGGAGGAGACTCTTGAGAGTCCCATGGACTGCAAGAAGATCCAACCTCTCCATTCTGAAGGAAATCAGCCCTGAGTGCTCACTGGAAGGACAGATCGTGAAGCTGAGGCTCCAGTACTTTGGCCACCTCATGAGAAGAGAAGACTCCCTGGAAAAGACCCTGATGTTGGGAAAGAGGGAGGGCACAAGGAGAAGGGGACGACAGAGGACGAGATGGTGGGACAGTGTTCTTGAAGGTACCAACATGAGTTTGACCAAACTGCGGGAGGCAGTGGAAGACAGGAGGGCCTGGCGTGCTCTGGTCCAGGGGGTCACAAAGAGTCGGACACGACTAAACGACTAAACAACAACCAGTGTTTTCTCCCCTTCTTTTTATTTCATTCTTTTTTAAAAAAAATCCAATCAGTTTATTTTTGCACGAGCCAAAGGCCATAACAATTTCATTGCAATTTTGCAGTACAGCAACCTACAAACTTAGAATTAGGACCCTCATACCTACAGGACCGCCCTCCTCGTATGTCCCACGGAGGACCTTACGGTCTTCAAACAAAAACATCTTGGAGGTCCCAGGCCACAGAGAAGTTAGGCTGCCCTCAACCAGAGCCAGGGCTTTTTCGGCTGTGGCCCCGATCTGGTGGAACGCTCTGTCACAAGCGACCAGGGCCCTGCGGGAGTTGACATCTTTCCACAGGGCCTGCAAGACGGAGCTGTTCCACCAGGCCTTTGGCCAAGGCACAGTCTGACCCCCTCCTTTGGCAATCCTCACAGCACTCTAGCCCAATGGTTGCCATCAATTTGATTCTGAATTGATTTTAGAATGAATTGATTTTAGAATGTATTTCAATTAATTGACTGTGATTTTATGTAAACGGTGCTATTTTTACTGCTGTTAGACGCTCTGAGCCCGGCTTTGCCTGGGGAGGGTGGGATATAAATTTTTATTATTATTATTATTATTATTATTATTATTATTATTATTATTATTATTATTATTATTTAATTCAAAATCCTTTATTAGGCATATCGCATCACACATTAACAAACAAACATCATATACAGACTGTATAAAATACGGGCTCAGTGAACACAATTTAACCCAGTCCTATTCTTAACTCCAAGAAATAATTCGATGTACATACATAATATAATACAACACAGCAACATCACCTACCATTAAAAACCACTAAGTCTCTTTACCATGGCCCACTCTTTCTTCATGGACAGCACTTAAAAATTCAGCCGTTATTAAGGTAATTTGATCATCGCTGTCCGCCAGCAGGTCCTGAACAGTTGGTTGTGTAAAAATCTGTCTATTAAATTTTAGGGCCTCAAATAATTGTCCTCTGGCATAGCTGCCAAATATTATTATTATTATTATTATTATTATTATTATTATTATTATTATTACTACATAATTTACTTACTGATATAATCATACCAGTATATATAAATATATATATATATATATGCATTATATACGGTAATTACATCAGTAATATGAGGGGCTGGAAGCAGAGTTGCCATCAACAAGCTCAAACCTAGCTCAGCTTCAGATTAAAGCTCAGAATTTCGAAAGCAATTTATGGCAATCCAGGGTGATTCATAATGAAATATACAGTTTCCAGATGCTGTAAGACAGTAACAGGCAATGACATGGACCACAACTGCAAACCATGAGGTAGATGTACTCATAAATTTGTGTTCCACTAGTGAGGGAAGTACTCAGTGAGTGCTATGCTAGTGCGGTACGCTAGTGAGGGATGCAGGTGGCGCTGTGGGTTAAACCACAGAGCCTAGGACTTGCTGATCAGAAGGTCAGCGGTTCGAATCCCCGCGACGGGGTGAGCTCCTGTTGTTCGGTCCCTGCTCCTGCCAACCTAGCAGTTCGAAAGCACGTCAAAGTGCAAGTAGATAAATAGGTACCGCTCCGGCGGGAAGGTAAACGGCGTTTCCGTGCGCTGCTCTGGTTCGCCAGAAGCAGCTTAGTCATGCTGGCCACATGACCCAGAAGCTGTACGCTGGCTCCTTCAGCCAGTAAAGCGAGATGAGCGCCGCAACCCCAGAGTCGGTCACGACTGGACCTAATGGTCAGGGGTCCCTTTACCTTTACGGAGGGAAGTGACGTAGGCGATAGCACACGTGTCACGGGACTAGTCAGGCAAAATGGCTGTGACTGCAGTGGAGAAGGCGTTTTGGGTTCTTGAATTGAGCAAAACGGAATCTGTAACTGTTGTGTGACGGCATTTTAGATCGTGATTTGGGGGGAAAACCTCCAAGCAGAAAATGTATCTACAATTGGCATAAAAAGTTTGAAACTACAGGCTGTTTGTGCAAACTTAGAAGTCCTGGACGACCATGTGTATTGGAAGACGTCATCAATAGTGTTTGCACCGCAATTCAATGAAGTCCAGGAAAATCAATGCATAGGGTGAGTCGTGTTTGGGCAGAAATAGATTACCGATTCAATATGTGTTGTGTGACAAAGGCTACACATATAGAACATCTGTGACTGCTACTAAAAAAAACTTTAAACATTCCTCTACAATTCTGTTACAGGTAACATAAGATATATTATATTCTTCTTCTTCTTTTTATAGTGCGTTGAAACTGTATACTTCATTACGAATCACTCTGTATTATCCAACTCTCCCATTCCTCATCTCTCTCTCTCTCTCTCTCTCTCTCTCTCTCTCTCTCTCTCTCTCTCTTTCTTTCTTTCTTTCTTTCTTTCTTTCTTTCTCTTTTTGCTGCCAGTGCACAAACAGCCACTTTATGTGTCAAAAAATTATTAGGGTCACTCAAAGCGAACTGAACCTTTTCTGCAAAGTTTACCCATTTCCGTAAATCAGCATATCAATTTGCAATCACAGTTCACTGACTTTCAGGTGGAATGCAGACACCCCCAGCGAAGAATGAGAAGCCAGAGGGATAAGGGAAGCTCCCTCCTTGTTGCTGTATTTGAATAATCCATATTATCCATTTTAGCCTCGCCCCAGAGCCACCCGCCCATGTCTGGCCAAACGTTCTGACGCAGCGATGTTCCAGACATTGGGGAAACAAGTGGCAAAGCAGGAAATTCCTAGGCAGTAACTAACTCAGACCCTCCAAGTGTCCCTATTTTCCAGACAATCCTGGATTTAGAGAAGCCGTCCCGGTTTCCGATTTGATCCCGGAATGTCCCGCTCTTCTTTGTTGTTGTTGTTTAGTCGTGTCCGACTCTTTGTGACCCCCTGGACCAGAGCACGCCAGGCACTCCTGTCTTCCACTGCCTCCCGCAGTTTGGTCAAACTCATGCTGGTAGCTTTGAGAACACTGTCCCACCATCTGGTCCTCTGTCGTCCCCTTCTCCTTGTGCCCTCCATCTTTCCCAACATCAGGGTCTTTTCCAGGGAGTCTTCTCTTCTAATGAGGTGGCCAAAGTCTTGGAGCCTCAGCTTCAGGATCTGTCCTTCCAGTGAGCGCTCAGGGCTGATTTCCTTCAGAATGGAGAGGTTTGATCTTCTTGGAGTCCATGGGACTCTCAAGAGTCTCCTCCAACACCATCATTCAAAAGCATCAATTCTTCGGCGATCAGCCTTCTTTATAGCCCAGCTCTCACTTCCATACATCACTACTGGGAAAACCATAGCTTGAACCATACGAATTTTTCTTTAGGACGTCGCTATTTGCATCAGAGACATGTTAGAGGGCATGGGATTATGTGAGCTCCCACCACCCCTTCACCCCGCCGACTCTCATCTTCTCCTGGAGCTCACTTACCTGGTCCTTGTGGGCTACGTAGGCCTTCATTTCCGGGAGCTGCTTCAAGACGGGGCGCGGAAACTTCTGCTTGTAGGCGCTGCCCAGGATATCGCTCTTCTGCGCTCACCGAGGGATTTAAGCCAGAGAAGTCGCTTAGCTGGGCCCTCCTCCCTTCCCCTGCCTCTGGCTCCCCTCCCCTGAGCTACCCAATGGTCCCACCTGCCTTTCCCGTCCCTGCCTGCCCTGCATGCCTTGGAGCCATAGAACCGCAGAATTGGAAGGGACCCCCAAAGGCCATCCAGCCCAACCCCAGCAATGCAGGAGCGACAACTAAAGCATCCCTGACAGGTGACTATCCAACCTCTGCTTTGAAAATGCCGACGGAGGAGAGCCCACCACCTTCCACCTTTTGAATTGATTTTAGAATGAATTGATTTTAGAATGCATTTCAATTAACTGATTGCGATTTTATGTAAACTGTGTTACTTTTATTGTTGTTAGCCGCTCTGAGCCAGGCTTCGGCTGGGGAGGGCAGGATATAAATAAAATTTATTTTTATTTTATTTATTATTATTATTATTATTATTATTATTATTATTATTCCAAGCGAGTCCGTTCCACTGTCGAATGGCTTGTAGCGTCAGAAAACTCTTCCTAATGCTTGGGCTAGAATCTCCTTTCTGTGAGTTAGCCAGCGTCCGATAACCAACGTGCTTAAGTCCAATTACTGCATGAAGGGGTTAACACCATAGAGCAGCAGTTCTCAAAGGGTGTGACGTGCCACCCTGGCGTGGCAGCAGAGGATGGCAAGTGTGGTAGGAAGATTCAAGGACAATCAAAGAAACATTTAAACATTTCAGTATAGGATAGAATCAATATATATTTTTATTTGTTATATATATATATATACACACACACACACACACACACACACACACACACACACACACTGGTGCCCCGCAAGACGAATGCCTCGCAAGACGAAAAACTCGCTAGACGAAAGGGTTTTCCGTTTTTTGAGTCGTTCCGCAAGACGAATTTCCCTATGGGCTTGTTTCGCAAGACGAAACGTCTTGCGAGTTCTTGCGAGTTTGTTTCCTTTTTCTTAAAGCCGCTAAGCCGCTAAGCCGTTAATAGCCGCTAAGCCGTTAATAGCCGCTACGCCGTTAATAGCCGCTAAGCCGCTAATAAAACCGCAAGACGAAGAGACTCGCGGAACGGATTAATTTCGTCTTGCGAGGCACCACTGTATATATATATGAATATGATAACTTTCTGACCACAAGAACCGTTTGACAGCGCAACAGATTCCCTCAGAGGGTGGTGGGCTTCATTCGAAGGTTTTAAACAAAGATTTAAACAAACCTGCCATGGATGCTGTAGTTGTGAATCCTGCATTGCAGGGGGTTGGTCTAGATGACCCCCAGGGGACCCTTCCAAAATCTTCAATTCTATGCCACATCAAGGCCTTCATCTGGAAGCCCCATCCAGCTCTGTTAGCTGCAAGTTTCAGTGGGTAGATGGCATCGAGTGACGTTCTAGCGCTCATTGGCTGGGTGTAGCCAGGGGGGCAGCTGCCGCCCCCAGTAAATAAATATAAAAACTTAACTAAAAGTGGAAGTAATCAGAATATTTGAAATTAAAATGCTCAGGCCACTCGGATGCTATTGTGGCAACTTCTAGCGATGCCACTGACAACCCGACTGAGAGATAGGCGTGGATTCCGCCAACTGACCCATCGCGTCGCAGGCAGCTCGGTTCTGGAACAGGACAAACAGGTACCCTGCCCTCTCCCATGTGCTCTGGTCACTTTTTAGACAGCAGATGACCCACCCCACCCCGCCAAGAAGCAAGAGATCTTCCTCACCAGCTTCCCAAACTCTTCCCACTGCTGATAAGAGGCCTCAATTTGCTCGTCTGTGATCTGGATGATCCGCGTCTCTTTATGCATCATTTCCTGCATCTTGCTGGCAGCGTCGTGGGACGACTTGACGTGCAGGAAATCCATCAGCATGGACTGCTGCCTCCTCTGCTGGCTGAGCGTCTGCACGATGTTGCGGGTGCTCCTGCAAGCAGGAACGGGGCGGGGGGGGGAGAAATAATGACCCTGGTGCATGCAAACAAATACCTTTTCCATGCGCCTCTGTGAGAGGTCCCTCGGTGACCGCACCAGAACAGGGCCTTTTCTGTGGTGGCTCCTCACTTGTGGGATGCTCTGACACCTTTGTTACCTGTCTTTAGGCACCAGGGGAAAACATTCCTCTTCAACCAGGCTTTTAACCGTTAATCCCAGACCCTCCAAGTGTCCCTATTTTCCAGAAGCCATCCTGCTTTCTGATTTGTGTGGGATGTGATCCATTGGTACAGTCAAATGCAACTGCATGTGACCTGGGAGATGGGCATAGGCCGGGCTGACTCCATAAAAAAGCCAGTTCACGCAGCCATTTTCTCAGTTAAGTCTAGTTTAGTCTTGCAGTTTTGTCTTCTTGAAGTTGTCTTGTTCTCTCTCTTGCTGCCATGATGCTCTCCTGCAGCCATTTTGTATTCTCTTAATGTAATTTTGCTGTCTGCTGGCTCTCAGGCAGCAGCACATGAGTTCAGTATCCCTACTGTATGAGATGAACTCACACTGCTTCTTGATGTAACTACCAAGTAAAGGCTGCCTTTCAGGAATCAAATGGTGAACTGAAATGTGAGTAAACTTCTTGTTACAGTGGACCCTTGGGTTACGTTTAGGTAATGTAACTTTCGGGTTTGCGGAAGTTCGGCAAACCCGTAGGTGTTTACCTTCCGGGTTTCACTTGGCGATTGCGCAGAAGCGCTCAATCACACTGCTCGTGTGAGCTGAAGCGGCGCCTCATGTTGCGGACTTTTCAGGGTTATGTACGGACCCCCAGATTGAATTAAGTTTGTATCTGGAGGGTCCCACTGTTACTTTACTCAAAAAGACTTCTAGTGTCTTTATTCTTTTAAGAGGATTAAAGGGACAGCAGGAAAATAAACTTAACCTAAGAATTCAAGTGAATCTGCAGACTCTGCTTTCCCGCTACATTGAGGGAATTTGCCTCTGCAATTGCTCTCTGCTCCCATTCGCAAAAAGTCCCCTTGCAGGCTTGCCTGCAGAAATCGGAGCTGGCTTCCTTTATGGCTTCGTTTTTACCAAATCATTTTAAAACCTAATTTTTTCTCTAAAAAGCTTTATTTGGTTTGTACCTCTTAAAAATGGGGCGAGGGTAGCATTGTGGGTTAAACTACAGAGCCTAGGAGTTGCCGATCAGAAGGTCGGCAGTTCGAATCCCCGTGACGGGGTGAGCTCCTGTTGCTCAATCCCTGCTCCTGCCAACCTAGCAGTTCAAAAGCACGTCAAAGTGCAAGTAGATCAATAGGTCCCGCTCCGGCGGGAAGGTAAACGGCATTTCTGTGCGCTGCTTTGGTTCACCAGAAGTGGCTTAGTCCTGCTGGCCACATGACCCAGAAGCATTACACCGGCTCCCTCGGCCAAGAATGCGAGATGAGCTCCACAACCCCAGAGTTGTCCGCGACTGGACCTAATGGTCAGGGGTCCCCTTTACCTTTACCTCTTAATTGAAAAATCTGCTGCTTGCGGTGATGGTGTGTGGCTTCGGCTGCAGGGTGCGTTAGAGCCGTGAGCGGACTCAAGCCTCTTCATTCCCCAACACAGCAGTGGCAGCAGGGGGGTTGGATTATGGCTCTGCTGGACCTCCGGAGCCCCCACTATTCCGTGGGGATTGGGGGGGGGCCTAGCCCTGGCACTCACCCCCAAAGCCATGACACCCTGGACTGTGTCCTTCCTTAATAGGACGACACAGAGCTTGCTGCCATTTACCTTTGCAGCGGACCGGAAGCCCCAAGATTCCCACAATTTGATCCCAGAATGTCTCGCTTTTCCTTTTTTCATTGGAGAAATGTTGGAGGGGATGCTGTTTCTAGCAGCAACTAACTGCTGTGTTCTCCATAGCGCTCGGGGGTGGCACTATTTTCCGTGCTGCAGGTACAAGATTGCAGCAAAGGGGCCCCTCAGCTGCAGGGCCAAGAAAAGGTGTCCGCCTCTGTTTACTCACTCCCAGTGGGGCTGCCGGCCTTCATTCAGGACCTTCAGGGTCTGCAGCGAGCCTGTTCGGCGGATGTCCTCAGGCACTTCTGCCGTCATCATGGACTGCAATTCCAGCCTCCACACCGCCTGCCCAAACGTCCCTGTGGGGGAAGCCAGGAGGAGATCTGGGCTTTCTTTCTGCTGCCCAACTGCAGCAGCTCAGGGCGAATGGACTTCCGGCATTGCAGCGGGCTGGACTGGATGACCCTTGGGGTCCCTCCCAATGATTCCGTCGCTCTGCTCCCCTGCCCCGGACCAGCCTCCTGGTCTCCCACGACACCATCCGAGAGAAAATGCCTCACCCACGTGTCTCCCCGAGAGCATCCAGAGCTTGATTGTGCTGTCGTGGCTGGAAGTGAGAATCGCCCTGAATCTCTCCACGTATTTGATGCTGCCCACGTTCTTCAAGTGTCCCCTCCAGGAGCTCAGGCAGACGGGGGGAATCAGAGAGGTGAACCAGCCCTCGTGTTCCTGCCGCAGAAAATTAAAGAGGCCCCTGTTACACCAGATGCTGAAGCCCGTCGTCAGGAAGGCGGCAGACCTAAACGGCCTCTGCCCGGTATACCTGAAGGAGCGTCTCCACCCCCATCGTTCTGCCCGGACACTGAGGTCCAGCGCCGAGGGCCTTCTGGTGGTTCCCTCACTGCAAGAAGCCAAGTTACAGGGAACCAGGCAGAGGGCCTTCTCAGTGGTGGCGCCCGCCCTGTGGAACTCCCTCCCACCAGATGTCAAAGAGAAAAATAACTACCAGACTTTTAGAAGACATCTGAAGGCAGCCCTGTTTAGTGAAGCTTTTAATGTTTGATGTATTACGGTATTTTAATATTTTGTTGGAAGCTGCCCAGAGTGGCTGGGGAAGCCCAGCCAGGTGGGTGGGGTATAAATAATAAATAATTATTATTATTATTATTAATAATAATATTGAGTGCTGTATTGCTGTTAACACTCGATTGGAAGCCGCCCAGAGTGGCTGGGGAAACTCAGCCAGATGGGCGGGGTATAAATAATAAATTGTTGTTGTTGCTGCTGCTGTTGCTGCTGGGAATGGTTCCTGGTTTGGGGGGAAATCTTGTGGGGTGAGGGAGGACCCTTCTGAGTCTTGTGGGAGATGGGCTAAAAGCTACCAAAACTTGCAGACTTTATGTCTGGGAATGCATGAGTTAAAGGAGTGTTCTGGGGTCAGATGGCGAAGCAGAATTAACAATAAAATGTAGAAACGGTGTCGTTATTAAATAATCACACAATCCAACGTGTGCCATGTTGCCCAAACACTTCCTCTCACGCAGTCCCATTGGTACAGCTTGGTACCTCTCTGGAAAAAGGATGTCACGCTTCTAACCTCTTCGGTCATACCAGAGGAACTGAAGTCCGAGGGAATTCTGCAGTAATCAGGGATTAAGCCGCGAAAAGAGTTCTGGCTCGGCTGCGGAAGATTCTCGTCGCTAATCTCTGACTCAGGGTCGATCTCCCCTCTTGGTGTGCAGTAATTCATGATATCCCAGATCTAGGAAAAAAGGAGGGAATGGTGATCAGAGGAGCCTGACTCGGGATCTTTCCGCGCTAGGGGTGCCTCCAGCCTTCTCTGTACGTTGCAGGAGAGATTCAAGAATATGCCAGAACTTTAGGCTTGCACAGCTAAAAGCGGAATAAAAGGTCTCTGTTGCCCTAGTGGAACAAATACGCTTTTAAAAAAAAGAATAGGACTGTTTGCGGTCTGGAAAGCCACAGGGAAATGTATTGGGAAATGTGCAAAGAACAAGAGGCTAACAGAGAGGTGTGTGAATGCCCTGCAAGAAAATCCAGGGGAATGGTACAAAAATTAAAAAGACCAAATATAATGCAAATAAATAATTGTTTTGAAACTGCATCAGGAGGAAGGGCAGGATACGAAATACAGTCATACCTCAAAAGTTGAACGGAATCCGTTCCAGAAATCCATTTGACTTCCAAAACGTTCGGAAACCAAGGTGCAGCTTCCAATTAGTTTCCAATTGCGCAGGTGCACCAGAAACAATAGCGGAAGCAACACCAGACACTCAGCTTCCCGGAAAAGTTCAAAAACCAGAACACTCACTCACGTTTTTCGATCATTCAGGAGCTGGAACTTTCGACTCCCCAGGCTTTTGGGAGCCAAGGTACGACTGTATTTCAAAAAGCAGCTTGCAAATTATGAATGTGCATCATTAAAATGCACAACAGTTAACATGCACAATGAAAACAATCCCATTAAAATAGAAATGTCTACGGTGTGCTTTGCTCGCTCCCTGTCTGGAGCGCATCCACGTGACTCAGCAAGCAAATCGTGGCGGCTTCGTGTTTGCCCCTTGGCTCTGCCACCCTTCTCACAACGCAGAACGTCTGGCATTTTCAAAAAGGGCAGAGCGGCTGTGCAAAATAGCCACAGGCACGGCCACCCTTGGTGCAAGCCACCTTCCTTTCATTTTCCACAGGGGACATTCAGAGGGTGGAGCCATGGCCAGTACCTGAGCAAACATTTCATATCCTGCTAACTGCCTTCACAAGGTTACAGTGAGGGGGGGGGGATATTTGATCCCCTGCTAAATTTGCCCGTTTGCCCTCTGACGAAGAAATGACCGGTCCATAATTTTAATGGTAGGTTTATTGTAGCTGTGAGAGACAGAATGACAACAGGAAAAACCCCAGAAACCCAGAAGACAAAAGTCAGAGATTGGAGGGCATTATAATGAGTGAAATAAGTATTTGATCCCTTTGCAAAAGATGACTTAGTACTTTGGTTGGCAATTACAGAGGTCAGAAGTTTCTTGTAGGTGGCCACCAGGTTTGCACACATCTCAGGAGGTATTCTGTCATTTCTGGTCATTTCTTCGTCAGAGGGCTAACGGGCAAATTTAGCAGGTGATCAAATACTTTTTCCCCCCTTCACTGTATATACCTGAGCAGCTGTGTCAAGCACAGAAACCCAGTGGCGTAGCGAGTGGGGAGGGCAGCAGGGGCCGGGGCCCCGGGCACATTTTGAGGAGGGGGCAGGGATGGCTGCCAGTGCCCAGAGCATGGAGGAACGAGCTCCATTAGCCCCAACCCCATGAGGTATTGTGGCCAAGGGAGCTCATTTCTCCCTCGGCATGCCAGGTGGGGAAGGCTGGGCTGCCTCTGTGGGCTCCTTCACCCTCTGGGCCCCACCCACTGTGGGTTCATGCAACGCCCCTGCAGGAACCCATAGGGAAGCTGTGGGACTGGAGGCAACAACAGCACCATGGAGTTTGGGAGCAGAGGAAGGACAAGGAGAATTCGATTCTATTCACATTTAAAGGCAAACCTACTTAATTCACACCATGCAAACCGAAAACACAACCATCCTTTGAGATTCGCACTCCTCCGAATTGTCTGAGCTTTCAGTTCTCTGTGTAGGAGATGAAGAAATAACCATTTGGGCTTCAGGTCCCACCAGCCTCAGGCATCACGGCTGCGATGGGAGTTACTGGGAGATCTGCATTGGCTCCCAGTATGTTTCTGAGCACAATTCAAAGTGCTAAACGGCCTCGGTCCAGGATACCTGAAGGAGCGTCTCCACCCCCATTGTTCTGCCCGGACACTGAGGTCCAGTGCCAAGGGCCTTCTGGTGGTTCCCTCACTGCAAGAAGCCAAGTTACAGGGAAGCAGGCAGAGGGCCTTCTCGGTGGTGGCGCCCGCCCTGTGGAACGCCCTCCCACCAGATGTCAAAGAGAAAAACTACTACCAGACTTTTAGAAGACACCTGAAGGCAGCCCTGTTTAGGGAAGCTTTTAATGTTTAATGCTGTATTGTTTTTAACACTTGATTGGGAGCTGCCCAGAGTGGCTGGGGAAATTCAGCCAGATGGGTGGGGTATAAATAAGTTGTTGTTGTTGTTGTTGTTGTTGTTGTTACAGTCCAGAACATCTGGAGGGCACTGAGGCAAACAGGCAGCCAGGAGTTGGAGGTACCATGCCCAGAATATGGAGCCATCAACTGCCTAGTCCCTAATCCACAGGGAAGTGGGAGCACTGACCTTCAAGTAGCCCAAGGAATCCCCAGTGAAGAGGACTAGGTTCTTGTCATCCGTGCTCATGGAACAGACCACGGTGTCCTGGGCATGTCCGTGGCCTCCTCGGAATTTGCCCAGCATCCCTCCTTTGCCGCCGAACGTCCAAGCGTAGATGTTCCCGTCGGAGCAGCTGGTCAGCAAAATGGCTGTGTGAGAGTCTCGCTCGCGAGCTTTCAGAAAGAGGATCTAGAAAGGCAAAGACGGGTAAAGCAAGAGACCTTTCAGAATCGCAGTGACTGCGGGGGTTTTCCCAGTGTGATGCTTTGCAGAGGATGTGGTCCAAAACTGCCCACATCCTTGACCACACTGGGTGTGGCCGATGGGAGTGATAGTTCACAGGATCTGGTGGGCACCAGGTGGTTGGTAATTGGTCTCAGGGAGGGGCCCAGTTCTTTGGCTAACACCCTCTTGGAAGCTGCTAGGAAAACTTCTCCAGCTGTGAGTGCACAGGGTTGGACCTTGGAACCCATTGCGATTCCATGTGACAGTGCCGTACAATGGCGGCAGCCAATGAGAACCGTAAGTGTGGAGCTCATTCCTGCACCGTGCGAAATATTCACACTGTTTTGGACACGGCAGGCGTCAATATGGATGATGCCTGAAGCAACGAGAGCAATTGCATCTTATCATCATTGCCCAGTGCTTCCATCTGCTTCCAGTTTGACAGCTCTATTGCTGCCCTCGTTGTAAACCTTCCCTTTCGGCAAAAACCATAATAATTATTATTATTATTATTATATTATTATTATTATTATTATTATTTATTTATACCCCACCCCTCTGGCTGGGCTTCCAACAAAATATTAAAATACCGTAATGCATCGAGCATTAAAAGCTTCCCTAAACAGGGCTGCCTTCAGATGTCTTCTAAAAGTCTGGTAGTTGTTTATCTCTTAGACATCTGGTGAGAGGGCGTTCCACAGGGCGGGTGCCACCACCGAGAAGGCCCCCTGCCTGGTTTGGATTTGATATCCCGCCTTTCACTCCCTTTAAGGAGTCTCAAAGCGGCTAACATTCTCCTTTCCCTTCCTCCCCCACAACAAACACTCTGTGAGGTGAGTGGGGCTGAGAGACTTCAGAGAAGTGTGACTAGCCCAACGTCACCCAGCAGCTGCATGTGGAGGAGCGGAGACGCGAACCCGGTTCCCCAGTCTATCGCTCTTAACCACTACACCACACTACACCGCCAGTGTCAGAGTAGAACGATGGGGATGGAGACGCTCCTTCAGGTTACGAACACTCCATTCAGAGTGAAAAGAAGCATTTAGCAGATGAAGGGGCAAGGTGGAAGACTGTGGTGCACTCTGGGGAAATGGCAATCCCACGTTGATAGAAAAATTTATTTCCTTGAGTAAAGAAACAAGCGCAGAAATGAGCGCTATTAAAAATTGGAGTTTGCGCAGGGCTGCTCTTGGCCGAACCCAGACCCCATGCTACTGGACCCATGGCAGAGGAACCGGCGGCACTAACCTTCTCTACACCAACCCGGCTGGCGATGACTTCTTCCTGCCATGTAGGGGTCTCGGCCTTCGGTGAGCCAGTCTCAGGGGCTGCGTGAGCATGAGAACCAGCGGCAGTCTTGTCGCTTCCTTCGGGCTCCCACGCTGCCTGCAAAGTCGAGAGAAACATCATCAGACTTTTTCTAAGAAGGTCCACTAGTGCTCTGGCCTGGCTGCTTGTGAAGACATCTCAAATCCGCAGCATGTGCCTCACCAGGGACCATTGGTGCAGATTTTATAGATTCCACCACATACAGGGTTAACCCTGTTGCACCCTGCCGAGATCATAAAAGTGATATTGGGCTGTTACTAATTTTATTAATTTATTTGCATTGCATTGCATTTCTCTCCTTCCTTTGATGTTCTTAAGCAGAGGTTGAATGGCCATCTGTCAGAGACACTTTAGCTGAGATTCCTAAATGACCCATGGGGGTCCCTGCAAATGCTACAATTCTATGATTCCATTAAACTAGAATTCTTCAATGGAAATCTAGCCATGGGAAGTGCAATTAATCAGCTGAAAATAAAGAAGGCAGAAGAGAGGAAGGAATCTTGAGGTTAAAAACCCCCACTACCAGCAAAACCAAGAAACAGCTGCAGAAAGTGCAAACTCACACACACACATGCTTAAGATCTTTAAGGACCAACAGTAAATACAGTGGATGCTTGGGTTGCGAACGTGATCCATGCGGGATGCATGTTCGCAACCCGCAGGGTTCGGAACCTGCATCTGCTCATCTACGCATGCGTGGGTTGCGATTCGGCACTTCTGCGCATGTGCAAAGCACGATTTAGCACTACTGCGCATGCGTGACTGCCGAAACCTGAAAGTAACCCATTCTGGTACTTCTGGGTTTCGGCAGTCCGCAACCCGAAAAAATGCAACATGAAGCGGCTGTAACGCGAGGTATGACTGTATATAAGAAGCCTGAGGTGGAGAAGACAATTGGGGGTTGTACAATGCCCGTAGGTCTGGCTCCAGGCCAAGATAGGAAGCGCACTGAGAAAGGAAGGGTGTCCAAGAGAGAAAGACCTGCCTGGGTTCCCTGTCTTCAGGCACAAGCCGGCAGCATAATGCACCATGCCATGTGCTCGCCAACACTTTGCACCTTCAGCTGAGCAGAGAAAAGCAGGGCTGCCCACTCCCCTTGCCCCCCACATCAGCCCCAAAGAGGTTCCCCCCCCCCAAAAAAAAACCTACCTGGGCCTTCATGATGTGGCTTCCGGGAACGGACGTAGCTGGGCGCATGATGCGGTTTCCAGGCATGGCTGAAGCCGGGCGCCTCTGGGGGATGGGAGATGTCACCTGATACAACGAAAGAAGAACGGCAGACGAAATTAATGGACTGGGCAGAATTGGATAAAATGACAGGAAGGATTCAAAACCTGTGGGACCGGAGATTCACAGAAGAAATTTACGAATTATTTGAAGAGCAACTGTAATCAACAAATTACACCAGTAGGACTACAGGAAGTTCTGTAAGGAGGAATATATGAAATATTGCAAAGAAGAGAAAGAAGAGAGATATTAGTTATGAGATTTAAATGTAATAGTGAAAGTAAGAAATGTAAATTAAGTGGAAAAGATTGGAAAATTTTCAGATGTGATTGATGGAAGTAAAAAAAAATTGTACAGTGGTACCTCGGGATGCGAACGGGATCCATTCCGGAGCCCCGGTCGCATCCTGAAGCAAACGTAAGACGCAACTCCGTGCCTGTGCATGCACGGGTCGCGTTTCGCCGCTTCCGCGCATGCGCATGATGTCATTTTGAGCATCTGCGCATGCGCGAGTGGCAAAACCCAGAAGTAACGTGCTCCATAACTTCTGGGTCGCCATGGAACACAACCTGAAAATATTTAAGCTGAAGCGTATTCATCCCGAGGTATGACTGTATAAGACATAACAGTATGTTTAATAATTGCTGAAAATGATATGTTAAAAAACCAATAAATAGATATATAAAAAGAGATGTCACCTGGTGAGTCTTTGCGCTGGCCGGCCGCTGAGGAATGGCAGTTTTGAAGGCGGTGGCCTTTCTTGAGCAGGCGAAGCACTTCTTCATCGCCTGCCGATGGTTGCAGCCTGTCTTCTTGGGGCTCTTGTTCAGCAAGGGGATGTCTGGGTCCGAGGAGAACTCCTGGTGAAAGGGGATGCCATTTCCACTTCAGCGCAAGCAGGTGCAACGCTTGCCCCACCACCCTCACCCCTAAATATTGAAGGGTGGGAGCAGGCCAGGCCAGCTGCTCTCCCTTGGAAGAGGCAGGCTTGGGCTCCCCTTGGCCTCATCCCAGCAAAGGGATGTGGTGTTTCTTCCCACCATCAGGAAAGCCCACCTTGGGATCAACATGTAGACTTTTAAACAGTTGGTGTGAGAGAGAGCATCTTGCTAGATGCATCCCACGCCATAGGAGAAGAAATTTCATTTTGGAAAGGGGCCTTCAAGATTTCCAACGGCAGAAAGATTAGAAATCCAAATGCAATAGTAGAAGCAATTGTACGGATTTTGTTACTTTTTTGTCACTATTAAATCATCTTTATTTACACATTAAAAACTACGCATAATCAAACACATTGTTCTGTTACGGAAGAAAAAGAATGTACACAAGGAGAAAATAGAAAAGAAAAACAAGAAAAAAGATGGGGGGAAATAGAAAGTTTAACTAAAAATATTATCCACGACATACAGGTTTTTAGGAATTACAAACCATCATCGACATTCTTTTAAACATATAAATCTAATAAGAGTTCGTTTTATCTTCACCTTAGCGATTTCTCCTCACTACTCTTACTCTCTTTTCTGTGCCTATTCTCTGGTTTTATTCCCTGATTTGTTTAATGACTTCCTTCTACCACTATGCGGTTCCTACATTCTCATCTCTTAGACTTTCTGTGTCCTTTCCTGTTCTGCGGGAACCTTTTCTCTTATCTCTGTGGAATTTAGTCTATGCTCAACCAAGAGCAATCATTGGAAACATACGACATCATGTAATTTTAAAAAACATCCCATTCTTTCTAAATTTTATTTCTCGAATTTCTTATTGATTCTGTTAGTTTCGCTAGTTCAAGATATTCACATAGCTTTAGACGCCATTCTCCTCTTCCAATATTTTGCTACAAGAATCCTGGCGGCCATAATAGCATAAAGAAAAACTCTTTTATTAACCGTTGGGGTGTTTATTGTAAAAATACCCGATAAAAATAATTCTGGTGCTTTTGTAAATGTGTATTTTAACATTTTCTTCAATTCATCTTATATCATGTCCCAAAATGATTTAATTTTGGGACATGTCCACCACTTGTGGGAAAAGTTTCCATTTTCATGCTGACACCTCCAACACTTGCTGCTGTTTCATTTTTTTATTTTTTTTGTTAATCTTTGCCAATTTTGATGGAGTCAAATACCACCTGTATACCATCTTCATAAAGTTTCCTTTAATCAGGTAGCATTTCAGCTCCCATGGAAATAAGAGACCAGGGCACTTCAGGAGACTTTCTGAGCCCAGGGACTGGTCTTCAGAAATGAAATGAGCTCAGGTGGAATAAACCACGTTGTTATTGCTAAACAACTGGGAGTCGGACACTCTTGCTGATCTCCGGCAAACCTGCCGCCCAGAGATCTACCCTCAAATCTGTCTCGTGGGGCATTTTCCCTGAGCAAAACTGCACAGCAGCCGGCAGTGGCAGGCGGAAAAGGCTACTGCACTCTGGAGTGGGAGGTTTCGCTCCTCCGCAGCCCCAGGGAAATGCCAACCGCCTTGGGAAATTGCAAAAGAGAGCCTTTGTGGCGTGTGGGGCTTTGAACATTACCCTTTGAGGAGCAAGGATCAAGGGGCTCTCGGATGCGTTGAATCGGCAGAACGCCTGCCCAGAGTGGACGCTCCACAGGACGATGTCTCCGTTGCAGGATGCGGTCGCCAAAAGATTCTTGCCGTAGCTGTCCATGCACGAGATGTCGTCGGAGTGGTAGGACTTCCAGTGCTTGCACTCGATCACTTTCTCGTCTTCCTTGTTGTCTCTGGTTAGGAGAAATTAAGTAGCTCCATTGTAGCTGTCCAGGGAGAGGAGAGGGGCAGGAGACAGAATCTTCCCCTTACATCACAGAAAAGGGGGGAAGCCAATAATGATAATAATAATAATAATAATAATAATAATAATAATAATAATAATAATAATAATAATAATATTTTATTATTTATACCCCGCCCAGCTGGCTGGGTTTCCCCAGCCACTCTGGGCGGCCTCCAACAGAATATCAAAACACAATAACCTATTAAACATTAAAAGCTTCCCTAAACAGGGCTGCCTTCAGATGTCTTCTAAAAGTCTGGTAGTTGTTGTTCTCTTTGACATCTGGTGGTAGGGAGTTCCACAGGGCGGGTGCCACTACCGAGAAGGCCCTCTGCCTGGTTCCCTGTAACTTGGCTTCTCGCAGGGAGGAAACCGCCAGAAGGCCCTCGGAGCTGGACCTCAGTGTCCGGGCAGAAAGATGGAGGTGGAGACACTCCTTCAGCTATACAGGACTGAGGCCATTTAGGGCTTTAAAGGTCAGCACCAACACTTTGAATTGTGCTCGGAAACATACTGGGAGCCAGTTTAGGTCTTTCAAGACCGGTGTCATGTGGTCTTGGCAGCCGCTCCCAGTCACCAGTCTAGCTACCGCATTCTGGATTAGTTGTAGTTTCCAGGTCACCTTCAAAGGTAGCCCCACATAGAGCGCATTGCAGTAGTCCAAGCAGGAGATAACTAGAGCATGCACCACTCTGGAGAGACAGTCTATGGGCAGGGAGGGTCTCATCCTGCGTACCAGCTGGAGCTGGTAGACATCTGCCCTGGACACAGAATTGACCTGCGCCTCCATGGACAGCTGTGAGTCCAGAATGACTCCCAGGCTGTGCACCTGGTCCTTCAGGGGCACAGTTACCCCATATTCGCTCTTTGTTAAGATCTTAGAGCAGCCCCATGTGCATAATGAGGGGAACTGTTATCATCCCTGCAAACGGAACAAAAACAGACAGGGCAACCAGAGGCCTTGCTTTTGGGCATCGTCGGCCAGAGGGTGCTAAAGAAGGACTATACTTTTTTTATGTACGCAACAACGGCAGCAAGGATACTGATTGCTAAATATTGGAAAACACAAGATTTGCCCACGCTGGAAGAATGGCAGATGCAACTGATAGACTACATGGAACTAGCAGAAATGACAGGCAGAATCCGCAACCTGGGAGAAGAAGTAGTGGAAGAGGAGTGGAAAAAATTCAAGGACTACCTACAAAAAAATTGTAAACTGTATGAATGTTAAGAGGATGAAAGAGTTAAATTAAGGGTGGCATCAGTAAATTAGTTAAAAAGAATGCGAGAGTATGGTGAAATTTGACCTAAAATTAATTATTGAATAATATTATGTTTAAACTAAGGTTTTAAGTTTTTTGGGAGGTTAATTTAAAATGGGAAACATAATAATTGGAAAATACAAATAAGTATCTGAAACAAGGTGATAAATTGCTGTTTAGAATTTTTCAAATGTGGAAAGCTGGAACAGAAGATGTGAGGAAGTCTGAATAATTATGAAAGTAAGATTTTGATTATGATGTTATATTTTTTATTTTTCTTGTTTGTTGTTTTTTCTATTGTGTGATTATGCTTATTCTTTTCTGTTTTTTTTTCTTTATGTATGTTGAAAATTTTGAATAAAAATCTTTATAAAAAAAACAACAGACAGGGCAAGTACGAACAGGCTTTCACCTGCATGTCATTCTCCCAATCAAAATGCCCCCCCCCCCGTAGCTGCTATTGACCTCAGAGGGGAAGAAAGGTATACCAGCAAACATCTCCTTTCTCATACTGGAGGGTTTTATGCAAATGTTAATTTATACTGCATTTTTTGCTCCATAAGACACACTTTTTTCTTCCTAAAAAGTAAGGGGAAATGTCTGTGCGTCTTATGGAGCGAATGTGTGGTCCCTAGAGCTGAATTGCCCAGGGGTGAAAAGCAGGTGGTGCTTTTTTTTTTTTTTTGAGAAAGAGGGAAGGGGGTGTTGAAACAATGCCGCTGAGGAGCTGAGGGGCAAGCGATCAGGAGGGAGATAAGGGACTCTAGAGATAAAGGAGGCTGCCTGGGAGGGGGGAGGCAAAAGCACATGGATCTTCAGGATTTTTGCATTGGGTCACCCCAAATTCACCATCAGATCACATAGCATGTCCATGGCTACAACCTGCACCAGAAAAAATGACGCATCCACTGTTTCGTGGGGCTGCAGTGGCACAAAAATGTGGTTACAAAGCACGGATCCACACGGATTATCAGGATTTTTGCATTGGGCTACCCCAAACTCACCGTCAAATCACATATCATGTCAGTGGCCACAGCATGAACCACAAAAATCATACATCCACTGTCGCATTCAGAATATTGTTTTTCTTGTTTTCCTCCTCTAAAAACTAGGTGCGTCTTATGGTCAGGTGCGTCTTATGGGGTGAAAAATACGGTGTTGCCCAAGTCTTTAAGTGCCTAGCAATGTCCTGGCCTTGAAGTGGAGAACATTGGAAGCCCCCCATCCCACCCCAGATGCCCCCCAGCACTCGGTCTCTACTTACAGGTACCAGGTCACTCTCTTGCTCCACCCAGCCACGAAAATCTTCTGGTTCATGTACAAGACGCAGCCGATCTATTGGGGAGATGTAAAAGTGCAAAAAGTCAGTTATGCAGATGAACAAGGCACACACAAAAGCCCGAGCTGAGGCGTTTGAGAGTGAAAATCAGGCTGGGCAGATGGGAGAAAGAGCCATGCCTGATTTCTGCCGGGATTTCCAAGGCTTTGGCTACGGGAGAAGCCAGTCCCTTTTGGGGTGTTATTGCATCAACAGTGCGGGTTGTATACATGTGCAAAAAAACAATCTCTCAAAGGACCTGTTGATGGCCTTTTACCATTGTACTGTGGAGAGTGTATTAACTTATGGTCTGTGTGTGTGGTTTGGGAGCTGCACGGTCAGGGGAAAAACAATGCTGTCTAGGGTTGTAAAGACAGCGGAGAGAATAATTTGGTGCACTCTTCCCACCTTGGATCAAAACTATGCTTCCAGGTGCTATAAGAAAGCTGCAAAGATAGCACAGGATAGTGCGCACCCCAGAAATGATCTCTTTCAGCTTCTGCCTTCTGGAAGATGGTAAAGGTAAAGGGACCCCTGACCATTAGGTCCAGTCGCGGACGACTCTGGGGTTGCAGCGCTCATCTCACTTTATTGGCCGAGGGAGCAGGTGTACAATTTCCGGGTCTTGTGGCAGCATGACTAAGAGCAGCGCACAGATATGCCATTTACCTTCCTGCCGGAGCGGTACCTATTTATCTACTTGCACTTCGACGTGCTTTCGAACTGCTAGGTTGGCAGGAGCAGGGACCGAGCAACAGGAGCTCACCCCGTCGCGGGAATTCGAACCGCTGACCTTCCGATCAGCAAGTCCTAGGCTCTGTGGTTTAACAGAGTGCCACCCGCATCCCCTGGAAAAAGGTCCAGGGTTATAAAGACTAGGACTAGCCGCCTGAGAAACAGTTTCTACCCGAATGCAATTTTGGTTTTAAGCGCAGTGTAAGGAGTCTGTATGGGAGTATATTGTATTTAAAAATGGGGTATCCGAGTTTTTAGGGGGCTAACCAGGCTGGGATAGCTGGGATAGCAGGCGTGTTGGTTTTTGAATGTCTTATGTAGATTTTTCAATTTTGTTGTTCTGTATGGGACAATGACAATAAAGACTATTGTATTGTATTGTATTGTATTGTATTGTATTGTATCGTATATCCTAAAGACACCACAGTCTCCCCTGTCCCTCATTCTGGGGAAAACGCCAGGAACCCCTGGAATCTCGCACCGCCCGGAGATTGGGGTGGCGCACGAGAGTATGGCGGTGCACTTCAGAGCAGGAATTCCTCACCAATGTCAGCTGCAGTTCTGGGTGTCTCACTCTGGATAAAGCGCCTTGCCCAACCCCTTCCTCCCTGCCAGGTCAGACCCAGGAGGAGAACAGGGGGTGCCAATGCCCCGGCCGAGAGGGCAGGGCAGCTTCTGCCACGCAAATCACCTCAGCCATTGCCCAGAATACTGCGGGGCATGGACTGGGCAGCGACATGTAAATGCAGCAGATTCATAGAATCAAAAAAGTGTAGAGTTTGAAGGGATTCGTGAAAAGGTTTCCCAGTATCCCCAGAGCACTTGGGAGGGAGTTGTGGCCGAGGCTTAGGGCCCTCATATCTACGGGACCGCCTCTCCTGGTCTGCCCCACAGAGGACCTTAAGGTCCATGAACCACCATAGTTTAGAGGTCCTGGGCCCCTAAGGAAGTCAGACTATCCTCCACCAGGGCCAGGGCCTTTTCAGTGATGGCTCCGACCTGGTGGAATGCTCTGTCCCATGAGACCAGGGTACTGAAGAATTTAACTTCCTTCCGCGGGGCCTGTAAGACAGAGCTATTCCGTCTGGCCTTTAATTTGAATTCAGCCTGATCTTTTATTTCCCTTCCCTCCCCCTCCCCTTTTTATGAAGATCACCCACTCTGAGACCCCACAGCTAATTCTCCCCTGGCCTCCTCGCTGGCCCAAGTGGGACCAATTCAGCCAGCTAGCCCTGGGGATTATCTAACGCTTATTTCCCCTAAACTGATTTCTGAATTTTGAATTTTATTGTTAATTCATGGTTTTTATACTGTATTTTATGCTGCTTTTACAATTAAATTCGTTGTTAGCCGCCCTGACCCCGGTTTTTGAACTGGGAAGGGCGGGGTATAAATAAAAAATTATTACAGTGGTGCCTCGCAAGACGAAATTAATTCGTTCCGTGAGTTTTGTCGTCTTGTGGTTTTTTTCGTCTTGCGAAGCACGGTGTCGGAAAAGTTTTGGAAAAGCTTCAAAAATCACAAAAGTCTTCAAAAACCTCAAAAAAGGCTACCACACCGCGTGCTATGAGTTGCTCCTCGAAGTCAAGTCGCAACTGTATCAACGGTGTTAAGAAAAAGGAAACAAACTTGCAAGACGTTTCCGTCTTGCAAAGCAAGCCCATAGGGAAAATCGTCTTGCGAAGCAGCTCAAAAAACCAAAAACCCTTTCGTCTTGCGAGTTTTTTGTCTTGCGAGGCATTTGTCTTGCGAGGTACCACTGTATTATTATTATTATTATTATTATTATTATTATTATTGTTATTATTATTATTCTGAGGTGGCCAGTCACTGCCTTGTGCATCCCCTCCAGAGCAGCAAAGGTTTCTCTGGCTGAGAAGGGTCATCCAACCAGAATTGATGAGAAGATGGCGACTTCCAGCAGCGAAAAGACTTTTGGATTAATTCGGCAAAAACACCAGCGTGTGAGGAGATGTTGCAACAGACAGAGGGGAATCATACACCTAAAATCCACACAGAAACGCATCATTTTACTTCAACTGGCTTGTGGGAACAACTCAGAGGCCGTGAAAGAAGGAAGGTTAACAACAGGGAGATTTAAAGGAACTATTAGAAACGACTATCAAAAGCAGCAGAGATATGAGATGATCAGAGCCCACCCCCCAAACTTGAAGCATGAGAAGTCCCAATAATTTTTTTTTATAATTCAGCAGAATATTTGGATTATTTGATATGTATAGGTATAATCTGGAATATTTAATGCGATTTGATTGGATTGTTAAAATGGAAAACCTAATAAAAATGATTTTTTTAAAAAGAGAGAGAGAGAGAAGGGTTATCCAACCAGATTCTCCTTTCGCCCCCTGCGCTGACCTCAGCCTTGTCGTCAAAAGGTAGCTCTATCAGGCAGGCGCCGTTGTTGAAGTTCCAAAGTTTGATGGTCCCGTTTTTCAGGGCTGTGATCAGCCGCCTCTCAGGGGTATCAAAGGTCATTGCCGTGATTTCCACCGGCTGCCCTGACGAGGTGGAAAACTCCATCACTTTCTGCCCGGTCATGATATCCCAAACGGTGATGACCCCGCTGTAGCAGCCGCTGACCACCTGTGGGAGAAAACCAGAGGGGACGGTTAACTCGAGAAGGTCGGTCAGATTCACCAAGGTCCATTTGCACACGCACTCTCCGTTCGTTGAGAGTTCGCGCAACCAGAAAAAGAATTTAAAGCAAGCAAGGCCATCCTCCTTCAGGGACAAACACACCGGCAGGCCAGCCTTCAGAAATGCAGGACACGGCAATGTTTTGTTGCTCTTCCCAAATCTAAAACGAGAAAACCAGCAGGATACGAGATAGATGCAATCATCCAGAAAAACTTAAAAGAGCAGCAGGGGACAATTTAGATGAAACCATTGCAATTCAAAAAGTCGCAAAGCTGTTTCAAGCCTAGGGGAGCAAGCATTGTTCTCCTGAATAATAATAATAATAATAATAATAATAATAATAATAATAATAATTTATTTCTACCCCATGGGACACGGGTGGCGCTGTGGGTAAAAGCCTCAGTGCCTAGGACTTGCCGATCGAAAGGTCGGCGGTTTGAATCCCCGCGGCGGGGTGAGCTTCCGTCGTTTGGTCCCAGTGCCTGCCAACCTAGCAGTTCGAAAGCACTCCCGGGTGCAAGTAGATAAATAGGTACCGCTTACTAGCGGGAAGGTAAACGGCGTTTCCGTGTGCGGCTCTGGCTCGCCAGAGCAGCAATGTCACGCTGGCCACGTGACCCGGAAGTGTCTCCGGACAGCGCTGGCCCCCGGCCTCTAGAGTGAGATGAGCGCACAACCCTAGAGTACGGGCAGGGGTACCTTTACCTTTACCTTTATTTCTACCCCACCCATCTGGCTTGGTTTCCCCGGCCACTCTGGGCGGCTCCCAACAAAAGATTAAAAATACATTAAAACAATAGTCATTAAAAATTTCCCTAAACAGGGCTGCCTTCAGGTGTCTTCTAAATGAATGGTAGAGAGGTTGCCTGACTTCTCAGGGAAGTGTATTCCACAAACAGGGAACCGCCACTGAGAAGATGCTCACTCTATCCTTACGCAGCTCTTAAACTGCAGGTAGGTTCATACAGAGAGAAACTGCATTCCACAGGACGTTCCACAGGGCGGGTGCCACTGCCGAGAAGGCCCTCTGCCTGGTTCCCTGTAACCTCGCTTCTCGCAGTGAGGGAGCCGCCAGAAGGCCTTTGGTGCTGGACCTCAGTGTCCGGGCAGAACAATGGAGGTGGAGACGCTCCTTCAGATATACTGGACCGAGGCCGTTTAGGGCTTCAAAGGTCAGCACCAACACTTTGAATTGTGCTCGGAAACGTCCTGGGAGCCAATGTGGGTCTTTCAGGACTGGTGTTATGTGGTCTCGGCGGCCACTTCCAGTCACCAGTCTAGCTGCCGCGTTCTGGATTAGTTGTAGTTTCCGGGTCGCCTTCAAAGGTAGCCCCACGTAGAGCGCATTGCAGTAGTCCAAGCGAGAGATAATACAGTGGTACCTTGGGTTACCTACACTTCAGGTTACACACACTTCAGGTTACAGACTCCACTAACCCAGAAATAGTACCTCGGGTTAAGAACTTTGCTTCAGGTAGAGAACACTTTGGAGATGACCCTTTATTGTCCCTCTCCTCTCTGCCACCATTCCTGCTGAGAACGAACCAACCTGCCTTACAGCAGCTCACATCATTGGTCCACCTAGATGGTCCACACTTTTTCCTCCCAGGTAAACATCCCCAGGTGCTTCCCTCTTCCCAGCCAGGTGCTCACCTGCTTAAAATTCTTGTTGTAGAGTGCACAGCACACTGGCTGGTCCTGGGTCTTGGCATCCAAGTCGACATACTCCACGCCGTAGAAAAAGCCAAGCTGCAGCAAAACGACACAGGAGATTTTCCCAGAGGAGCCAAGCCTGGGCCGAGGCACCGCGGAGCAGCTCTCCGACAGGAGAAATTGCCTAGAGGTGACCGTTCGCCATTTGATGCCAACAAGCCCCACCCACTGCACAAAAACTGTGCCCTGCAAGCAACAGACAGGCGGCAGAAACCCCAAAATGCTTTCTTCTTTCAATGAAAGAATGGCAAATTAAAATTTGTGAATATATATATACATCTGGCAAGACTCACAGCTTCATAAGGGGACAATCGTACCAAAAATTATTAAAAGAATGGGGATGTGCTAAAGAGTATATGAAAAAAAAACATTGTTCTGGAGCAAGTATATCGATGTGTAATGAATGATGGTTTGCAGGGTTAAAGAAAGAAAAAAATGGTGCAAAAAGTATAAAGATAGAAGTAATCTACATTAGACACAACAATTTAGAAAGAGTAAAAATTTTGAGGTCTTAAAACAAAGGAAGGAAGTCAATATGTGTATATGTACGTAATGATTAGAATGATGACACGGTTTTATTTGTTGATGTGTGTTTAATTTTTGGTTTTTTTCTTGTGTTTTTTTTCTTGTTTGTACTGCTCTATTTTGGATTCAATGTTTGTAATTTTTGTTGTAATTTTGCATTGAAAATAAAAAAAAAATTAAAAAAGAAACCCCAAAATTCAAAATTATGCTAATAACTCAGTTTGCAAACTATGAGGTAGCAGCAGCAGCAGCCCAAGTCAAGAGAGGAGCCATTTCTCGCCTTCTGAACCCATGGTCCTTCACCGGCCCCCTCCTCACCGTGTAAGTGGCGCAAATGATGTAATTGCAGGGCCGGTGGTAGTAGGTGGCCGAGATGGGGTAGTTGCCCAGGGGGACGTTCCTGCCGTGGATCGACTGCAGGCAGAAGTGATCCAGCAGATCCCAGACGCGGATGTTCTGAGAGAGAGAGAGAGAGAGAGAGAGAGGAGAGGGGAAGTCAGAGGGCCTGAAAGGGCTGGAGCAGGGAGTCAATATAAACTCTTTATATCATATAGAACATTGAACCATATGAAATATGCACTCTCTGCAGAACCAAATAAACAGAAACCTTCTCTGAACATCACAAAATATGCACTCTAATGCATAGAATGTTTTCAAGAGAATCCATCAAGAGTGCATATTTTGTGACTTTCAGAGATTTAGAAGGTTTCTGTTTATTTGGTTTTGCAGAGAGTGCATATTTCATATACCGTATTTTTCGCCCTATAGGATGCACCGTCCCATAAGGCGCACCTAGTTTTTTGGGGGGGAAATAAAGGGGGGGGATTATTTTTTCCCCAGGCGTGGGACTGGAGCGGGGGAAGCCCGAGCTTCCCCCGACCCCAGCCCCCAGAACAGGCAACTCTCCGCAAGCCGTGGGAGCCCTGCGCCGGGCTCCTGCGCCTTGTGGAGAGCTGCGCAAAGCCTGGAGAGCAAGAGGGGTCGGTGCGCACCGACCCCTCTCACTCTCCAGGCTTCAGCGAAAGCCTGCATTCGCCCCATAGGACGCACACACATTTTCCCTTCATTTTTGGAGGGGGGAAAGTGCGTCCTATGGGGCGAAAAATACGGTATTTCATATTGTTCAATGTTCTGCATAGATTATATAAAGAGTTTATATTGACATCGCATTATTGTACTTGGTCAACGTGTTGCCTTTGGACATTACTGATATTTGTTCGCAACACGGGGCTTTAATTGTTTGGCAGTCCCTGGTGGGCAGAGTTGCTCGGGTGCTGCTCGGAGGCTTCCCATAATGGGCCCCGGCTCAGCCACTGTGAGCATCAAAAAAGATCCTGGTTGCTGGATGAGGCCAAGGGCCCATCTTGTCCAGCATCCTGTTCTCACAGCAGCTGTTGGAACAGTCGAACTCTGCTCCAGGGCGGGTTAAATTAACCTCCAGTTAAAAGCTCTAGGCCTCCAGCCCCACCCTTCCTTTTTTAAAAAATAATATTTTTTTTATTGATTTTCCATTAAACATGCATACATACATACATACATACCTTGTACAAATAAATCTCATATTTATCTAAGCTCTGCCGAGCTTCAGACTTCCCTCCATTCCTTCGGTAAGTATCATATAGTTTCTAACATTGCGCATTTTGTATATTTTGCTTTGTCTAACATACACTGTTAGAGTTATTCTAACCCTGCCAGTGTCTTTAATGTTTTACAATTGTCTCTTATATACATCAAGTATTTACTCCAACTTTCTTGAAACTTCTGTTCATCCTGGTCTCTTAGTTTTCCTGATATTCTAGCCAGCTCTGCATAATTCATCATTTTGACCTGCCATTCCTTAATGGTAGGTGTTACATCTGTTTTCCAGTTCTGGGCCAACATAGTTCTTGCCGCCGTCGTGGCATATAGCCCCACCCTTCCACTTCCTGGGGACGGACGGACAGGGATCCCCCACATTTCCAAGCAGGTGCAAGGGGCATTCCCTTTCCCCGCCTCTCGCACCCAAACCCCTACTTTGTCTTTGGAGACGCTGACGATGGTGTTCCTCTGCCCGTTGATCATGATGTGGGTGACAGCCGTGGAGTGGCCCTTCATCTGCGTGATGGGGCTGCTGGTTACATAGGGGTTCCAGATGCGGACCAGGGGCTCGTACCCTCCTGTCACTGGCAAAAGAGAAAATGCATTTCAGGAGCTCCGGCGGAATCGCTCCGCTTTTGCCATTTCCTGTATACCTGAAGGAGCGTCTCCACCCCCATCTTTCAGCCCAGACACTGTGGTCCAGCGCTGGGGGCCTTCTGGCGGTTCCCTCCCTGCGAGAAGCCAAGTTACAGGGAACCAGGCAGAGGGCCTTCTCGGTGGTGGCGCCCGCTCTGTGGAACGCCCTCCCACCAGATGTCAAAGAGAAAAACAACTACAGTGGTACCTCGCAAGACGAATGCCTCGCAAGACGGAAAACTCGCAAGACAAAAGGGTTTTTTGTTTTTTGAGCTGCTTCGTAAGACGATTTTCCCTATGGGCTTGCTTCGCAAGACAGAAACGTCTTGCAAGTTTGTTTCCTTTTTCTTAACACCGTTAATACAGTTGCGACTTGACTTCGAGGAGCACCTCATAGCACGCGGTGTGGTAGCCTTTTTTGAGGTTTTTGAAGACTTTGGTGATTTTTGAAGCTTTTCAAAAACTTTTCCGACACCGTGCTTCGCAAGACGAAAAAAATCGCAAGACGACAAAACTCGCGGAACGAATTAATTTCGTCTTGCGAGGCACCACTGTACCAGACTTTTAGAAGACATCTGAAAGCAGCCTTGTTTAGGGAAGCTTTTAATGTGTGACATTTTAATGTATTTTTAATCTTTGTTGGAAGGCCCAGCCAGATGGGCGGGGTATAAGTTATAAATTATTATTATCAGTAGTTTTTTTCTTTAAAAAAATGTTAAGGGGTACTCTCATTTTCCTACTCATATTGAAATACTGCCCCTCAATGAGGCCAAACTTAGGTGATGATTATTATTATTATTATTATTATTATTATTATTATTATTATTTCATGTTCTAACTGCAGCACTGAGGGAACATATTTTATAATGCAATGATGTTAGCAGCTAATCATGCCATTGCATTAGAAAATACATCCCATGAGTGGCACCGTTAGCGGGACCTGCAGCCACTTTTAAGGAAGCCCAGCCAGATGGACGGGGTATAAATATATTATTATGATGATGATGATTATTATTATTATCATCATCATCATCATCATCATTTGCGGGGTGCACTGACTGATCGATCTGCGGAACCGTCTGCATCGCTTTCTTGGGGCTGCCATCGCAAAGCATAAGCTGACGGCAATAGTGCAGAAGGATTGCAGCAGACACATCAGAACAACGCAGGTCCCTCATCCCTTAATTAGAGCCTTCAAATTTAAAACAAACACCTTGGACTAGGAACAGAAAGGAGCCAGGAGCCAGTTCAGTTGTTTCAAGGGCAGTGTTTTGCCTCTGCTCTCCATCATCTCAGACTTCCAGAGGGATGCTGAGACATTTGGAGAATAAATTTGCAGTTTTATATTTTGATTTTGTTCTGTGAACCACCCTGAGAGCTCATAGGGCGGTGTATATAAATTCAATAAATAACATAAAATAATAAACTAACTGGGTCACACCCTTCTTCCCAGTTAACCACCAGGGCAGCAAGGCCGTTTCGGTGCCTCGACTGGGTTAGAAACAAGACTCGACCGGATCCAGGTAAATCGTTGCCAACTGAGAATACCTGAAGGTGCCGTTCTCTCAGGCCCCTGGTCCCCAAACTGGATACCAGCTCCAGAAGGAGGTGGTTTTAAGGAGCCGTTTCTAGAGAACGTACCGAGGATGTTCATTTCCGAGGAATAGTCAAAGCAAAGGATGCCTTTCTTCAGAACGATCACCGCTGATCTGGGACAAATGGAAGAGGGGAGGTGTCGATTAAGTACGCCCGTCTCTCTTCTTTTTCTTTCAAAAATAAATGGCTGGCTGGCTTTCTGAAGGAACGGGCCAGAAAGACATTTGCCCAAAGCATGATGGGCTGCAGGACATTTTGCTAGAGACACCCGACCATGATCCAGGAAGGAGCAGAGGCGCAGAGCTCGACCTGGATTTCTGCAGCAAGTCTGCAGATTGCAAAGTGCACCTCCGCGCATCTGACAAAGTAGGTTCTTGTCTAAGAAACCTCAAGGCATAGCTGGCAAGTGTCCCTTATTTGGCGGGACAGTCCCTTATCCCAGCGCCATGTCCCGCTGCTGTCCCTTATTGATGAGGCTTCGTTTGGCTGCTGGCTGGGCTTTCTGCCTTTGGCTCAGAGGGGCTCAGAAGTTGAACATACCTGTGCTTGGAAAATCCCTTATTTTGGCTGCTGATCCCTTATTTTTGAGGCTGCTGGTCCCTTATTTTCAAATCTGTAAGTTGACAGCCATGCCTCAATGCAATGTGAGGCCTGTCCTGTGTCTAGAAACCAAGGGCCCAAGCGGTTTCCTCTTTGAAAACCCACTCTTTACTGCTGAATTGGAGCAAACGTCAATCTGCGGAAAATCTGGCTGATGTTTTCTCTGATTCAGTGGTAGAGGTTATTCCAAGGGGGAAGATGCAAGATGAGTGGGAGTCTGGATGAGCTCTAAACCTGCTATCCTTTAAATCAGTGTTTCTCCTCCTGTGGGTCCCCAGATGTTATTGGACTACAACTCCCATCATTCCTAGCCAGCATGACAACATCTGGGGACCCACAGGTGGAGAACCGCTGCTTTAAATGCTTTCATTTCACACCATTCTACTATGAACTGAAAAGAGAGATGTTGGATGCACCCTTGTTAACTATGAAAATCCTTTGCATAAAAACATTTTTTTAAAAAAACCTAATTATTGCTCCGAAAGAGAACAATGAAGTGCAACACCACCATCTGCTGCCCAGTTCTTGGAACGGCAATCTTGAACCTTTTGGTGATCGTAATTCCTGGCACTTGCAGGCTATGAAGTATATCATATGCACAATCTTGTTGCAATCCTTGAAACAACCCTGTAAAGCAGAAGGCCACTGACATTATCCTCCCTTATTTCAAGCCAGGGAGGCGGCTGAGACGGCGCTCGCCTAGGACCGCTGAGTGTGGGGGAAAGGTGAGATTCAAACCAGGGAATTTAGGTTTCAGAGCTGGCTTAAAGGTAAAGGTAAAGGTAAAGGGACCCCTGACAATTAGGTCCAGTCGTGGCTGACACAGGGGTTGCGGCACTCATCTTGCTTTACTGGCCAAGGGAGCCGGCATACAGCTTCCGGGTCATGGGGCCAGCATGACTAAGCCGCTTCTGGCGAAGCAGAGCAGCGCACGAAAACGCCGTTTACCTTCCTGCTGGAGTGGTACCTATTTATCTACTTGCACTTTGACGTGCTTTCGAACTGCTAGGTTGGCAGGAGCAGGGACCGAGCAACGGGAGCTCACCCTGTCGCAGGGATTCGAACCGCCGACCTTCTGATCGGCAAGTCCTAGGCTCTGTGGTTTAACCCACAGCACCACCACCACCAAACTCCCTAACCAAGTTCATCCAAGTGAATCATTTGCCCTTGCAAACCAGAAACAGGGCCGCCCAGGAGGCAGGGTGAGGAGGATGCCTCAGGCGGCAGGCTCCGGAGAGACAGCAGATGCCAAGGTCGATCTCTATTCCCCGCTTGTTCCCAAGGTAACTCTTCAATCGCTCCTTCTTCCCATTTTGCGCCCTGACAAGAAAGGTAATGCCTTGCTGCAGAACAGGCACCCTTGTCCTGATTTTGCAGAGAAGGGAAGAAGAGAGGGCAGCTCTTCCCACAGGTCCTTTGGGGGCGGGAGGCCAGCTCATGCATTTTCCACATGGGAGTTTTAAGCATTTCTCAGAGAGAGAATACCAGCGCCTTCTCGATTTCACTTCCACAGCTGAAATCAGAGTGGAGGAGAACCTGGCTATACCTGCAAATCCTGGGAGGTTCTGTCCTCCCCAAAGTAATGTTAAAAAAAAAGACCTCCAGATTTAAAGATTTAACCTTTAAAGCCCTATGCAGCCTAGGACCCTCGTACCTACGGGACCGCCTCTCCTGGTATGTCCCACGGAGGATCTTATGGTCTTCAAACAAAAACATCTTGGAGATCCCGGGCCACAGGGAGGTTAGGCTGGCCTCAACCAGAGCCAGGGCTTTTTTGGCCATGGCCCCGATCTGGTGGGACGCTCTGTCACAAGCGACCAGGGCCCTGCGGGACTTGACATCTTTCCTCAGGGCCTGCAAGATGGAGTTGTTCCACCAGGACTTTGGCCAAGGCACAGCCTGACCCCCTCTCTCCTTCTGTAAACCCCATAGAACTCTAGCCCAATGGTTGCCATTAATTTGATTTTGAATTGATTTTAAAATGAATGGATTTTAGAATGCTGTGTTACTTTGATTGTTGTTAGCCACTCTGAGCCTGGCTTCAGCTGGGGAGGGCGGGATATAAATAAAATATTATTATTAGTATTATTAGTATTATTAGTATTTCCCAGGGGCCTTTCTGGGACCCAGGTTTCCCATTTGAAAGGTCCCTTGGAAACTCTTGTGCATTTACAGCCTCAGCCACAAATTCCTGATGGATACTTCCCATATTTTATGGCTCTCTGAAGTTTCTGACCCTTTCCCTACCCACCTTCCGGTGGAAACAGTAACGGCGTTTCAATCCCACCTTGGGTTCATTTCCAGAGCAGAGAGAAAAAGGCCTCTCTTACTGGGTTTTACCAATGTTATGCAGCGGGAGAGTGGTGAGGGCCATGGCAGTCTTTTCGGCTGGCGTGCAGGAGGCAACCAGGTTGAGCTGCGGGATGTACTTGATCTGTTGGCACCAGTCTCCGTGCAAAGCCTGGAGTGGAGGGAGAGGAGGAGGAGGAAGAGGAGGAGGAAGAAGACTAAACTTTGCAAAAAAGAAAGGCCAGAGAGCTGTTAACTAAAAGGAGCGCTCTATCTGCCTGCGTGCCATCTTTTGGAAATCCCAAAGGAGATGTGTACGCGTTAACCTGCTTAAAATGCACGCTGGGTCCTTCTTTGTCTCAGTTCAGTTCAAAGCTGGTTTGGAGGCAAATGCAACAAAATGCAGTATTCCATAAGAAAAGACATGCATTGTGGCTAACATCGTGCGTGAGCCTCTTCCCAAAGATGCAGATTAATTGACGTGTGTACACAGCCCTTTAGAGTCCTCCCTTGACCAGAAACCTCTCACTTTCTAAATTAACAGGAAGGAGAAAGGTTGCTGTTTTCATGGTAATGGAAATACCGTATTTTTTGCTCTATAAGACGCACCTAGAGGGGGAGAACAAGGGGAGGAATATTCTCTCCCTCTCTGCGCAGCACCCCTTCAGCGAAGCGGCAGGAGAAACGGAGCCCCTTCAGGGCTATCCCTGAACGGGCAGCTATCCCTGAAGCCAAGAGAACAAGAGGGGTCAGTGCACACCGCCCCCTCATGCTCTCCTGCATTCGCTCCATAAGATGCACACACATTTCCCCTTACTTTTTAGGAGGGGAAAAGTGCATCTTACAGAGCGAAAAATATGGTAAATGCGTCTTCGTCTCCCATTTACCCCCCTGCTTTTCTCCAATGTCATGCCTGGTTAAATAGGTTTTGCAGGGTTTTGAAGCAATTCCAGAAGATGCAAAACCCGTATGCCAGAGGCAAGAGTCTGTGCAGAGCATGAGCAAAGATCCCCATTTCAAACTCCCTGGAAGACAGCTAACGTCTGTCTCCAGCCTTAATCATCTGTTGTCTCGGCGAATTTGTAAAAGGTGTATTCGTTTTGGCTTGAAGCGCACAGACATAATGATCAAGATCTTTGAAAACTGGGAGTGGGAGCCTGAACGAGAGACAGAGAGGAGAACTAAGCAAAGCTCACTTCCTCAGGACCTTTCCATGATTTGGCAATTCAGATTATAGTGGCAAGGCTAGGAGCAGGTACCTGGAAGCAAGGCCCGCAGGTTGGATGAATACTGGTTCCAACCACCACTTGCCCATCAGTGGAAAACTTAGTGGAATTTAAGCCCCCTCTGGGGTACAGCAGATGCCAACATCGTATCTGTTCTTCCAAGATTTTACAGGGAACTTGAATTATCAAAGAGAACTGCAAAATTTAGTTGTAAGTCTGCCGCCTTATTCTATTTTATTGTGATATTTTAATTGCTTGGGGGGGTTATCACATATGTATTTTTTATTTATTTTGATCGTTTTCACTGCAGTTCTTAAAAAAATAAAATTAAAGGATAGGAAAGAAACACATTTAATAAATCAATATTAAAAGCAGGGAGCGCCTGGCAGAAATCACGCTAACTCTGGAGCAGGCAGGTTCATGGGGAAAACTCACAGGGATATGGAAATTCCTGTATTGTTCGGCCTTGTTTTTCAGGAGGATGTGGACGGGGACTCTAGACATGCCACCTGTGAGGACAAGATCCAGGGAAAAACATTGTGCGCCAGCAGAGCCCAGCAGAGCCAAAATATAATGCATTGGCTCTACTGCCTCGTTTGTGACAATTAATCCACAACAGATTAATAATAATAATAATAATAATAATAATAATAATAATAATAATGTATTACTTTTACCCCACCCACCTGACTGGGTTGCCCCAGCCACTCTGAGTACCCTCCAAGAGAATATAAAAGAACACACAATACATCCGAAATTAAACGTTTCCCAATACGGCTGCCTTCAGATGCCCACAAAAGGTTGAATAATGGGTTACCTCTTTGACATCCGACTGGAGAGTTGAGAATTGGCTAAAAGCACAAGTTGGAGTTCATAGTTTTCACACATTCCACTAAGCCATGATCTGTTTCACAAACTATGAGCTGTCCCACAGGCAACTGAGGAAACATTGGCTTGTTTCTCCAGAGTTTGCTTTGTTTTCCAGCTGCTAAACTACCATTGTAGTTTAGTTTAGTGAATGTCTGGGTTGGGGTATCTGTGTGGCGTAGGAAGGGGGGTGCGGTAGGGCCAGTTCGCCCTGGGTGTCACCCAGAGGGGGGTGACAAACTGGAAAAAATAAGTACAGTGGATGTTCAGGTTGCGAACATGATCCATGCGGGAGGCATGGGCAGGGTTCCCATATGACGTTGGGCCATAGACCTGTAGCTTAGTAAACCATGGCATAGCATTTCATGTAAGCAAAACGAATCTCTCTCTCTGAAGGTCTGATCTGGAGTAATGGATCTACAACCTTAACAGAGTCCTTACTTGGCGTTCATTTGCTACCACTGATGCTCAGCATGTGAATAAAGTAAATATTGCAAAGGCATCCCTACCGCTCAATCTCTCATCTGAAAGGAAAGCTCAGCAAAAGGGGGAGCACCAAAGATCAAACATCGCAATAAGGGTCGCCTTGCACCCCTTTTGTGGGGGCTCAGGGACCAGCAGCTCCCCCTCTGCCTGGCCAGTGTTGTGAGCTGTCCCCTGCACCAGCCTGGACCAACTTGGCTCACCTATGTAGCTGCGGACATTGAAAAGCCCGTTCATCACAACATCCGATGAGGTGAAGATCAGGACGTTCCCTTTCACGTCCCCAACAGAGAAGATTGCTTTGCGGCCATCGGTCCTAGTTCAGGTAGGAAAAGAAATGGGATGAAGGCCAAAACCTGCAGGTGCAGCACAGGTGCGGAACAGGTGAGAGCTTGGCCTACCTAGGAAGCAGGTCAGCCTTGGACAGAAGCTCTGCCTGCTTCTTTGCTCCAGGTAGCAGAGCGCTGGAATTGGGATCCAAAATGGGCATCGCTCCAGATTTCCTCTGGCCACAAGGCAGGAGCATAAAGTACTGGGGGGGGTGAGTTGTTTTGTTTGTTGTTGTTATTAAAAAATTGTCCAGTAGCACCTTAGAGACCAACTAAGTTTGTTCTTGGTATGAGCTTTCGTGTGCGCACACACTTCTTCAGATACACTGAAAGAGAAGTCACCAGATCCTTATATATAGTGGGAGGGTGGGGTTTTTCTCAGGAGGGTGGTAAGAGATGGGTGATTGACTCAATGGGTATGGTAAACCTGTGGACGACTGTTAACGACTGCAATTAAAAGGTAAAGGTACCCCTGCCCGTACGGTCCAGTCTTGACAGACTCTAGGGTTGTGCGCCCATCTCACTTAAGAGGCCAGGGGCCAGCGCTGTCCGCAGACACTTCCGGGTCACGTGGCCAGCGTGACAAGCTGCATCTGGCGAGCCAGAGCCGCACACGGAAACGCCATTTACCTTCCCGCTAGTAAGCGGTCCCTATTTATCTACTTGCACCCGAGGGTGCTTTCGAACTGCTAGGTTGGCAGGCGCTGGGACCAAGCAGCGGGAGGTCACCCCGCCGCGGGGATTCGAACCGCCGACCATGCGATCGGCAAGTCCTAGGCGCTGAGGCTTTTACCCACAGCGCCACCCGCGTCCCTTAACGACTGCAATTAGTCCTACAGAAAAAAGGAAGGGATAGTATGCAGATAACCCCACCCTCCCACTATATATACTGGTCTGGTGACTTCTGTTTCAGTATCTGAAGAAGTGTGCATGCACACGAAAGCTTATACACAAAACAAACTTAGTTGGTCTCTAAGGTGCTACTGGACTTTTTTATTATTATTATTTCGACTGCGTCAGACCAACACGGCCACCTACCTGAATCTAGAATCATGTTACGCATTTTTGCATTTCTATACTGTAAACTGACCTATGATCCTGGGGTAAAGGGTGGTATATACATCTTAAAGAATCTTAAAGAGGAATATCAGCATGTTATTGAATCAACCAAATCCACTGATAAGCAGAGGGAAGGGACAAGCCTTGTTCTTCTGTATTGACATGCGCAATAAACTCAAACCAGACTTCTGCAAATCTATCCTTTTTTGCATTGTCCCCTGGAGACGCGTAGTTTCCCGCTCAACTTTTCTAATACTGTAAAGCAAGTTGCCAAACTGTGAAATGCCAAAATGAAATACTGGCTCCATTTAGATCTCTCTTGACATGGGCCATTGCAACTCTAGTGGCCGCCCCCCCCCCAAAAAAAAGCAAGAAGAAGGAACAATTAGCTCTTCGTTATGTATATTAAGACCAGCTTCCTCAAAAATAGGTAACAGTGTGAGCTGGGGAGAAGGGATAAGACAACAATTTGAAAACTGTATTGATTTCTTTAAAAAAACGCAGAACCAAAGCTTTGTGCTTTTCCCCATTCCCACCGTAAACGAATAGGGGATCCGGCAACTGGGCAGCCCCCGTAATTCTAATTGCCAAGTGTGGCTGTGTCGATGGTTAGCGTGGGCCGGGTCTGGAAACAGAGTGTTGGTTGTGGCTGGGGCTGGTCCAGCCTGTGTCTGGGGAGATGCTGAGAGGGGGGTGAGAGGGGTAACGCCCCCAGGGTCTTCTCTTGACGTACCAGTAGTCCATAGCCGTGGCACACCCTTCCAAGTCGACGAGAGTGAAGATCCGGTCGCATTTATTGCCACCAATGTCAAAGAACTCTGGGTGGAAAGAGGGAAAGCGGAACACTTTATTCGAGGGCTGTGTGTGCATCGCTCCCTTTCCCAGCCTACAGATCTGAACTGACTCCACTGAAAGGCATTGCGCTTTGAAGACATAATGGAAGCTGAATCAGAGTTTGACCTCCAGAGTCTCTATTCGCAAACGCTAAGCACCACTGGATGTGCCAGTCAAACATCTTCGCCCTCTCCCCGTAACACAGCTTCCCCTGTGAAATTGATGGGAAGTTGACGCAGAAGTCCAAAACACTAAAACTAAGTTCCCCTGGGCACAGTTCGGAACCAACCTGTGGAACTCACAGCTGCATGGTGTATATTTTGAGCGAAAGGGTTGCAAGCTCAGCATACAGAGGCACACACTTGATTTGGGGAAGCAGGGATTGCAAGGCAATTGGGCGGCAGGGGGACCTTCCCCTTTGCGTTCTGCACTTACCAATATCCTGGTCTGTCGTTGCAACCGCCAGTAAGTTGATATTGGTGAGGCACACCATGTCAATCACCCAGAGTTTCAAACTGTGACGTCTTTTGCTCTGGTCCAGCTGCATGGAGAGAAGAGGGTTCACAGAGCAAAGAAAGTGATGGGGGAGACAGAAGGAAGGTTTGCTCTTTGCACATCACGTATTTCATGTCTGGAGCCTCATACTGCTGGCAGGCTCCGAGACAGGAGGAGGAAGATGAAGAAGAACCGGGGGGGGGCGTATGATGGGGGGGTGGACCTGGCTCGGAGGGCAAGGAATGGAGGAAGGAGGGATGCTTCCTCCAACCTTCCTGTGGAGCAGAGAACCTCAGCTTCTCGGCTTTCGTTGAAAGATTCAGGACATAGAAATGAAAGTCCTTCTTTTTCTTTTTCAAAGATTTTATTGATTTACAAAAGTGTGTGCAATGTCTCTCTCTCCCTCTCTCTCTCTCCCTCTCTCTCTCTCTTTTCCCCCAAGTAGCATTTTTTACAGATCAGTTTCATTTGTTGAGACATTAGGAAGAAAAGGGGAAAGAGGGGGGGGAGATGGGGGATGGGGTCGGGTGGCAACGTTTCTATTTTACTTACTATATGTAGGGTTTGGTGTCAGCGTTGCTTGTGCAGGTTCTCTGCTGTTCATTTGTGTTCCTTTGGTGCTGAGAGAGGTTGGGGTTGGCCTAGGGTGTGGTTGTCCATTTGTGGTTGGCTGTGGTGGTCTTTGCTTTCATGTGTGAGTGGGGTGGGTGCGTGTTTTGGATCAGGTTAGCCATATTGATCAGTATGCTGTTGGTGGATTTTTGTCAATGTCTTGTTGGGCTGTGTATGTGATAAAGGGGAGCCATACGAATTTGGCACCAAGACTTTGGAACTCCCTGCCTATTGATCTCAAGCCGGTGCCTTCGCTGTATTCCTTTCGGTGTCTGCTAAAAACATTATTGCTCAGACAAGCCTCAGACAACTTAGAAAGTTGATGTGAATTTTCACCTGCTTTAGTACTTCAACTTTACATTTTCTTTCTTGGCTTTTCTCGGAGACTCGAGAGAAAAGCAGAGTCCTCCGTACCAAATTCGCGAAGGCGTCTTCTTCTATTTGTCCCCGTGGCAGTTTCAGTTTATTGGTTAATTTTTCTATTAGGGCTGTTTCCCATACTATTTGGTACCATTGGTCCATGCTTACTCCTGACAGGTCTCTCCAGTGTCTGGTTATGGTGTTTCTGGCTGCTGAAAGTAGGTGGGTTATGAGTTCTTTGAGGTGTAAATGGGCATTATTGTCATGAAAGTCCTTCTTCAAGCAGTGCAGCGTTAATCTAGGGAACTCCCTCCCGCAGAAGGCAGCAATGGTCTCTCTCCAACTTGGACAGCTTAAAGAGAGGATTAGACTAATTCATGGAGAAGAGGACTATTGATGGCTACTAGCTGGGATGGTTCTGCTCTGCCTCCACAGATGCTTCTGAAAACCAGTTTACCAGAAACCACAGGAGGAGGAGAGAGTTGCTCTTGTGCTCGGATCCTGCTGTGCTGGTTTCCCACTTGCATTTAGGGAGAGGCTAGGTTTGCATATTTAAAGTATATTAAAGCACTTCTATTGCCTTATCATGGGACGCGGGTGGCGCTGTGGGTAAAACCTCAGTGCATAGATAGGACTTGCCGATCGTCAGGTCAGCGGTTCGAATCCCCGCGGCGGGGTGCGCTCCCGTTGCTCGGTCCCAGCGCCTGCCAACCTAGCAGTTCGAAAGCACCCCCGGGTGCAAGTAGATAAATAGGGACCGCTTACTGCCTTTAGTACTTCAACTTTACATTTCTTTTCTTGGCTTTTCTTGGGACACTCAAGAGAAAAGGAGAGTCCTCCATACCAAACCACCATCCCCAGCTGGCCAGGCTACCTACCACAACAGTACGAAGCCTTTTAAAGGTGTCGCTCCAGTATTGCAGGATCCCGTCCCTGCTGACGGTCAGGAATCGCCCAGACGGCGATCGGCTTTTCCTCGCCCTCTCCAAAAGCCCCCTGTTCTGGTTTGGGAAAAACTGGATCTTGACGATTTCCTCAGAGTGAGCCCTGGAGGAAAAGGAAGAGGGGAAAGAAAGAAAATGGCTACAGACACATGTACTGTGCTTAGGAACATAGCAAGCAAACTTAAAGCCTTAAACTTAAAACCTTTAAAAAAATACTATTTTTTTATTCCGTCAGGCCTCTGCAGGCAGTTAAGAATACATCTCCTGGCAACAGTTTATTGATGCTTGACCTTTTTTCTGCTTTTAAACTGTTTTTAAGTTTGTTTTCATGCTTTTATTGTAGGGCTTCTGTTTTTTAGCACGGTGAGCCGCTTTGGTGTGTTTTGTGATTGTGGCATATCAATTCTTTTATAAATAAAAAACAAGAGATCTGTGAGATCAGAAAACCATGCAAGGGCAAAGGAGCATTTGCCATCAGAATTCATAGGTGAGCGTTTTGAGACCTTGGAGAGCACAGGATTCATTTCAGTCTTCCACCATCCAGGAGAGCTCTGGGCTTGTCTTAACTCACCCCAGGCTAAGTTCCCATCAGTGTGTCCAGTCCCAGCACAGAATCACCTCTTAATGTAAATTGGCTATTGTATTTTAATATTCTGTTGGAAGCCGCCCAGAGTGGCTGGGGAAACCAAGCCAGATGGCCGGGGTATAAACAATATTATTATTATTATTATTATTATTATTATTATTATTATTATTATTATTATTTGAACCTTCCTCCGCATGACTGTGGTCAGCCTCCTCAGTTTCTGGTGCCATCAGCCTGCCCCTTTGCCCTTCCACATCACAGACGCAGAATCTCGTCCTCTCCCTTTTATGAGGGTCAACCAAAAAGTCACAGAATAGTGAGCACTGCAAGGACCACAAAAGCTCCAGGACCGCCTCCCCAGATGAACCAGCCCAGACCCTGCGATCAACTTCTGTGGCCTTTCTCTATGTGCCTCCTCAATGAGAGACCCGGAAGGCTGGCACCACAAGAACAGGGCCTTTTCTGCAGGTGGCTCCCTCTTTGTGGAACACTCTCCCCAGGGAAACTCGCCCGGCACCTTCAGGCGCCAGGCGAAAATGTTCCTCTTGAACAAGGCCTTTGTCTGATTGACATCTGATGCTCTTTTAAATGTGTTGTGGGAGAGGTTATTGGTATGCTTTGGTTTTTGTTGTGTACTTTGTGTTTTCTAACTTGCATTTTTATGCTGCGAACCGCCCTGAGGTCTACAGACAAAGGACGGTAGACAAATTAAATAAACAGCAAGTGAGATTTCAGGTTCTTGAAATTTTATTATGTTTTGATATTCTGCTGGGGGCTGCCCAAACTGGTGGGGAGGCCCAGCCAGATGGGCAGAGTATAAATAATGGAATGATGGTGACGTTGATGATGATTTTGTCGTTTGTACCCCACCCATCTGGCTGGGTGTTGCCCCAGCCACTATGGGAGGCTTCCAGCATATATTTGTTGTTGTTTAGTCGTTTAGTTGTGTCTGACTCTTCGTGACCCCCTGGACCAGAGCACACCAAGCCCTCCTGTCTTCCACTGCCTCCCGCAGTCTGGTCAAACTCATGCTGGTAGCTTTGAGAACACCGTCCCACCATCTCATCCTCCTGTCGTCCCCTTCTCCTTGCGCCCTCCATCTTTCCCAACATCAGGGTCTTTTCCAGGGAGTCTTCTCTTCTCATGAGGTGGCCAAAGTATTGGAGCCTCAGCTTCACGATCTGTCCTTCCAGTGAGCACTCAGGGCTGATTTCCTTCAGAATGGAGAGTGTTAAGTTGTGGGCGAACATAGCAGACGACACAGCGATTCCTTCAAAGCAGCTCTTCTTTATTCAGATGTCAGAACAGAACTAAGCTGAGGGACTCAGTCAGCCTGCTTATATAGAGCTCCAGAACAATGTAACTGTTGCCATTTTCTAAAACTATCCAATCACTGAATGTCACTTTTCGATCCTTCATTTGCATAACTATCTACAGTATTCCCCTGCTGGCCCAGGGTGAGAACTTCAGTACATAACAGAGAGGTTGGATCTTCTTGTAGTCCATGGGACTCTCAAGAGTCTCCTCCAGCACCAGAATTCAAAAGCATCCATTCTTCGGCCATCAGCCTTCTTTATGGTCCAGCTCTCACTTCCATACATCACTACTGGGAAAACCATGGCTTTCACTATACGGACCTTTGTCGACAAGGTGATGTCTCTGCTTTTTCCAGCATATATACAGAAACATAATTAAACATTAAAAACATGCACAAACCTTCACCTGCCACAGATGCACGGCAGCTACGTTTTCGTGCTTTTATTTTATAAACTGCCCTGTGGTCTTCGGATGAAAGGCGGTATACTAATTAAATAATAATAATATAATACAGTGGACACTTGGGTTGCGAACGTGATCCGTGCAGGATGCATGTTCGCGACCCGCAGCAGCACGCCTGCGCACGTGCGGGTTGCGATTCAGTGCTTCTGCACATGCGCAAAGCGCGATTTAGCACTTCTGTGCATGTGTGACCGCCAAACCCCAGAAGTAGCCCATTCCGGTACTTCCAGGTTTCGGCGGGTCCATAACCCAAAAAAAACACAACCTGTAGCGTCTGTAACCCAAGGTATGACTGTAATGTCTTCACTAGACTGCATGTCAACCAAAGAAGCAAATGGGGATAAAGGTAAAGGTAAAGGCAGCCTTGACCACTAGGTCCAGTCGCGGACGACTCGGGTGTTGCATGCTCATCTCGCTCTATAGGCCGAGGAAGCTGGAGTTTGTCCGCAGACAGCTTCCGGGTCATGTGGCCAGCATGACTAAGCCGCTTCTGGTGGACCAGAGCAGCTCACGGAAACGCCGTTTACGTTCCCGCCGGAGCAGTACCTATTTATCTACTTGCACTTTGACATGCTTTTGAACTGCTAGGTGGGCAGGAGCAGGGACCGAGCAACGGGAGCTCACCCCGTCATAAGGATTCAAACCACCGACCTTCTGATCGGCAAGTCCTAGGCTCTGTGGTTTAACCCACAGCGCCACCCGCGTCACAACTGGGGATACCAACAGGGGGGAAAAGGTTTACCATCGACGCCACAAAGTCTGTATTTGTTGGCAAATTTAAGACGGGGTGTAGGAGGTAATAGCAGAGTTGCACAAGAAACTCAGGGTGGCCTTTTGCAAAGTCATCGAGAGCAGGGCTGGATTTTGCATTCATCCCTAGAGGGCACAGAGCAACATTCCATCTGCATCAGCAACAGGCGGGACAGGAATCCTTTGCTCTTGGGGACCAGGAGCGGCAACACCTGTCTGAAAGGTGAATGGGAAAACCACCTCCGTCCAGAACTTAAAAGCAGGGGTTCCCAAAATGGGAGGTAGCACCCCACAAGGGGGCAGTAGGATTCCCGGGGCTGGGGGGGGACAAGGCAGCAAGGAGGGCAGCTTTCAGGCTTTGAAAAGCTGGTCTTGCTGGATCAATTTCTTCACTTTTGTTAAATTAATTAAACTGAGTAGTTTCGACTGGGTTTTGAAAAAACGTGCAATTATTTTTTTTTAATTTTCAATGCAACAGTACAACTAAAATTACAAACATAAAGTCCAAAACAAAGCAGTACAAACAGGGGGGGGGGGAGAACACACATCTACAAAGAAAACCGTATCGTCATATGTACATAATGATTAGTATGGGGGAAAAGTGCTATTAATCGTTTGTGTCTTGAATTTGATTGTGCTATGATCTTCCTTCAACATCAAAAAAACTAAGATCATGGCCACTGGTCCCATCGCCTCCTGGCAAATAGAAGGGGAAGAAATGGAGGCAGTGAGAGATTTTACTTTCTTGGGCTCCATGATCACTGCAGATGGTGACAGCAGCCACGAAATTAAAAGACGCCTGCTTCCTTGGGAGAAAGGGCAATGACAAACCTAGACAGCATCTTAAAAAGCAGAGACATTACCTTGCCGACAAAGGGCCCTATAGTTAAAGCTATAGTTTTCCCAGTAGTGATGTATGGAAGTGAGAGCTGGACCATAAAGAAGGCTGATCGCCGAAGAATTGATGCTTTTGAATTCTGGTGCTGGAGGAAACTCTTGAGAGTCCCATGGACTGCAAGAAGATCCAACCTCTCCATTCTTGAGGAAATCAGCCCTGAGTGCTCACTGGAAGGACAGATCCTAAAGCTGAGGCTCCAGTACTTTGGCCACCTCATGAGAAGAGAAGACTCCTGGAAAAGACCCTGATGTTGGGAAAGATGGAGGGCACAAGGAGAAGGGGATGACAGAGGACAAGATGGTGGGATAGTGTTCTCGATGCTACCAGCATGAGTTTGACTAAACTGCGGGAGGCAGTGGAAAACAGGAGTGCCTGGTTTGCTCTGGTCCAGGGGGTCACGAAGAGGCGGACACGACTAAACGACTAAACAACAACATGATCTTCCTTAGTGGGTCGTGCAAGGCAGCATTCTGAATTATGCATTTTAATAGGGTAAAGTAGGTGGCGCTGAGGGTGAGTTTATGGAACAGGAAGGGCTTTGCCTCAATAAAGTTTAGGAACCACTGAGTTGAAGAGTGCCATTTGCTTCTCCTCTCAGTCTGCAGCCTCCGCCTCGGAATTTGGTCTCCAAATTGACCGGGCCACAGCTTCCAGAATCCTCATTTCAAGAATCAAGGAGCTGGAAGGGAATCTGAGCATCATCTAGAAGTCCAACTCCCTGAAATGCAGGAATATGCAGCTGCCCCTTACGGGGATCAAACCTGCAACCTTGGCGTTATCAGAGCCATGTTTAACCCGACTGAGCTCTGTACTTAAAAGAAAAATCGTTGCTCCTCCTTCCCCCAGCCACCCACTCCTTGCTTTGTGTAACGCCTTGACTAATGAAGAGTCCTCTGCCCCATCCTGATTATTCATTTATAGCAATATCATATCACTTTAACCATCATGGCGTCCTCCAAAGAATGGGATCTGCAGCTGGTTAAGATCGCCTCGGCCCAGTATACCTGAAGGAGCGTCTCCACTCCCATCGTTCTGCATGGACCCTGAGATCCAGCGCCGAGGGCCTTCTGGCGGTTCCCTCACTGCGAGAAGTGAGGTTACAAGGAACCAGGCAGAGGGCCTTCTCGGTGGTGGCACCCGCCCTGTGGAACGCCCTCCCACCAGATGTCAAGGAAATAAACTATCTGACTTTTAGAAGTCATCTGAAGGCAGCCCTGTTTAGGGAAGTTTTTAATGGCTGATGTTTTAATGTATTTTTGATATTTTGTTGGAAGCTGCCCAGTGTGGCTGGGGAAACTCAGCCAGATGGGCGGGGTATAAATAATAAGTTTTATTATTATTATTATAATTATTATTATCAACTAGAGCCAGGGCTTTTTCGGCTGCGGCTCCAACCTGGTGGAATGCCCTGTCGCAAGAGACAAGGGCCCTGCAGGACTTGACATCTTTCCGCAGGGCCTGCAAGACAGAGCTGTTCCACCAGGCCTTTGGTCAGGACGCAGCCTGACTCCCTCCTTTGGCAATCTTTACAAAACTTTAGTTTATAGTTGCCATCAATTTGTATTTTAATTAATTTTTATAATGTTTTATAATGTTGCGCTGTTTTAGTGTTGTTAGCCGCCCTGAGCCCGGCTTTGGCTGGGGAGGGCGGGATATAAATAAAATTTATTATTATTATATTATTATTATTAGACACACACACACCCCATTCCCCTCCAGAGCTGCAATTCCCAGGGAATTCCCCTGGGGAAAGGGACTGGCTGTTCAGCCACTCTAGGAATTGGCAGCTCCACTTGGCCTTAACCCCTTCCCTCCCGCCCAGAGGACAAAGGGACCCTTACACGGAAACCGGTTTCATGGTCGTCTGGAACTCAGGAAGCATCTTATTTTTCAGCATGTCGTCCTTCCCTCTGTATTCACGCAGCATGTAATTCAGATACTCCTCCTGCAGGGAGAGAAATTGCCGTCGTCACTCTCTCCGCCTGCACGGTGCTTTTCCAAGGATTCTCTCGGGCCCGGCTAATTTGTAACCCAGCCGATGCCAGTCTTAGACGCCACCCCAATCTCTGAACAGCGAGAGACTGCAGGCGTTCCAGGCCCTCACCCAAGTTTGGTTTCCTTGGGGTGAAGGTCAGCGGAGACCGTGGTATCTATAGGACAGAGTCACCCAAACTTGAGTCTCCAGCTGTTACGGAACTACAATTCCCATCATCCCTAGCCAGCATGTCAGGGATGGTGGGAACTGTAGTCCAAAAACAGCAGGAGACCCAAGTTTGGGAAATCCTGCTTTAGGAGCATGTGGTGTCTTTATGATTGTTATTTTATTTGCACATATACGGAACCTGAGCACAGGATGGGAACAGGCTTGTTTTTGCTGAGATTTCCATTCCACCTTAAGGAACAGACGTGTGGAATTGTTGCGTGTCACATGTCTGTTTACATTCCAGCGCAGTATGCTGGGAACTTCTGTTGTGTATAGCTTTTGCTTTTCCCGTTCTCCATGAGACAACATGAGAGAGACAACATGTTTCTTTGTCCTGATTTATGATTGATAAATCTGTAGTTGTAGTATGCTTCCACAAGCCTCACGCCTATTCTGTGTGCGCAGTTCTCTCTGCTAATAGCGTGCCCTGGCTTCGAAGCCCGGGTCGCTCATTTACTTCAGAGCTGGTGTCGATGGAAGGAGACGGCACTGCTGGGGCTTGCCAGCTGGCCTCCCTGCCCTCTACATGTTGACAGTTTTCTCATGCTCTGGACAGTAGGACTTGAACCAACGGCTTCAAGTTGCAAGAAAGGAGATTCCGACAGAACATCAGGAATAACTTTCCGACGTCAAGAGCTATTTGAATGTGGAACGGAAGGTTGTGGACTCTCCTTCCTTGGAGGTTTCCAAGCAGAGCTGAGATGGCCACCTGTCATGGATGCTTTAGCCGAAATTCCTGCATTGCAGGGGTTGGACTAGATGACCCTCGGGTCCCATTCAACAATTACAATTCAATGGTTCTGTGATGGAGGGGCTCACGACATTGAGCCCTCTCCAACAGATCTTGCTTCTCCATTAGCCTCAGCTTTGGATCCAGTACAGAGCAAGCAACCCATTTATAGGATGCTGAGGAGTCTAATAGGAATTTTATGGTCTTAGATATATGGTAATGTTCATAAGTGTACCAACCAAGCACATACATAGATCAGCACAGGAAGGCCAACCTGGAACCAATTTGATTCCTAAACTGACCAAATCTTTTCTCTGCAAGGTCAAAATGGAGAAGCCTCCCCATTGTCTTTTCCTTCACAAATCCTGTCTTAAGGATATGTCTGTTTGAATAAGGTGTGAGCCTATGACCTGGCCCAGGAACTAAGTATTTATCATTACAAAAGACTAGCCAGGCTACCCAGGAAATCCAATCAAGTAATCTGCCAGACAGGAGATAAACAAGGACAGGAGAAAAACATTCAAATTTCTGTTTTAGACCGCCTTTTCTGTGATGTAGGTGTGATGTATCTGAGGGGTGGTCTTAGGTTACACCCCTTCTGTGATGTATGTATGTTTCTGGGGGTGGTCTTGATCTACAGGGTGGCAATTTCAAAAGTCTTTATAAGGCCTTGGACACTATTTTTCTGGGTCCTCCTCCTTTCCTGCGTGTGAGGGGAGCACCCTGTTGCAACAGATCAATAAAGATCAAGCTTACTAGCTGCTTTGCTTCTCAATATTCTCTGGTTGGCCTCTGTTATTTTCTCCTACCAATAGGGAACCTACGTAAGGACTCTATATGGGCTCTTGGGTACCCCATAAGGGGAAAAGGGCATTTTTTGTTTACAACAGGAGCACAGGAAAAGCCCAGGGCATTCAGCATCCTGGGAATCTGAGCTATCATTTAAAAACGGCAGAGCGAGTTTCTAGCCCCAAGGGCGGCAATGATATTCTTTACAGCGCGAAGACCAGAAGCCAGAGGGTGGCCAAGTCAGATTTCTCAGGGAGGGCTGAGCTTCTGTGCCCTGCAATAACTCCTCGCCCCACCTGTGCCAGCCAAAACCACAGGAGTTATGCCGAACGGCTTCTCAAAACATTGCAGAACAAATGCAAGCAGGCACTTGCCCAGTCCACGGCGCCGTCACAGTTGGTGTCCACCTTCATGAAAATCACGTCAATGTCTTCATCGGAAACGTCCCCCATGATCTTCTTCATGGCGCTTCGGAATTCTTCCATGTCCAGACCTGAAAGGCAGGAAAGCTACGGTGTAAATAATAGTTTAATTGTAAATTAGTACAGCGGGTATGGTCGGAAGTTTCTTTTCCTTGCTGATTCAAATAGTGGCTGTCATTATGCCTTTATTCACACTTTCATTCTTCTTCTTTCTCTTTGTTTTTTCTTTCTTCTGTTCTTTTCCGTTCTTTTCATTTTACAGTCATACCTCGGGTGACAGACGCTTCAGGTTGCGTTTCTTCGGGTTACGGACCCGCCAAAACCCGGAAGTACCGGAATGGGTTACTTCTGTGTTACGGGGGTCGTGCATGCGCAGAAGCACTAAATCGCGCTTTGCGCAGAAGCGCCGAATCGCAACCCGTGCATGCGCAGATGCACCGCTGCGGGTTGCAAACACTGCGGGTTGCAAATGTGCATCCCGCACGGATCACGTTTGCAGCCCAAGCATCCACTGTACATTTATATTCTCTATAATCTTTATAACATAGTGAATGCTATTTTGTTGGTATTGTATGTATTTTAAGAATCTGTTTGTCTAATAAAAACTTCAATAAAACACGGGTAGAATGGCAATCCAAGATGATGGACTATGCCGAAATGGCACAATTAACTGGGAAGCTCAGAAATCAAGAAGACAAGAACTTTAAAAAAAAAAGATTATCCCTCCCCTTATGGTCTTGATTTATTGGCTACTTTTGGCTGCATTTTAAATTGCATTTTAATCTGTATTTTAAATTGAGCCGTTGGGGTGGCGACGAGATCGCACTGGGCTGTCTATTCTGAATGTATTCTGAATGTTCTTATTTGGTGCTAATAAAGGTTACTTGACTTGACTTGAAATTGGTTCCCCCCCATCATGTTTTTTACTGTGATTTTATTGGTTGTTAGCTGCCCTGAGCCTGGCTCTGGCCGGGGAGGGCGGGGTATAAACAAAATAAATTATTATTATTATTATTATTATTATTATTACTATTATTTACTTACGAGACCACTGCAAGCAGGTTAAAGCATTAGCAAGATTCTAACCACACTTGTAAAGTAACGGAAAGTATGGGTAATTTAGAAGGATAAAAGTTTGGATAAATACTGATATGCAGTTGTAAATATTAACATTAGGATCCATGAAAGGGATTGGGGGGGGGGGGGAGTCAGGAGATTCAAAGCACTCTCGATATTTGGATTTTGAACTGATGTTTGTAATATGTTTACATTTTTTTTAAATTGAATAAAGAAATCATTTAAATAATAATAATAAGAGCTCCCCTCCCCAGGCACAGAACATTACTCTGCAACCAGAAGGGACACCAAGAGGTGGAGGATCCTGAGGGAAATTCCCCCAGGGCTGGTAGGACACCTGCCTTGCCTACAGAAGGACCAGATCATCAGCCACCCCAGGGGAAAGGACTCAGCCTGGAAGCTTGGAGGGCAGTGGAATTTAATCCATCTTAGTGTTTCAACTTCTTGTAAGTTTTAAAGCACTGCTGTAAATCTTTCTCGGGGTTTTTCTGTGCTGCCTTTTTGTAAATCGCTTTGAGGTGTTGGTGTATTATTATTATTAGTAGTAGTAGTAGTAGTATTATACATGTTATTACAGTGGTATCTCAGGTTAAGTTCTTAATTCGTTCCGGAGGTCCGTACTTAACCTGAAACTGTTGTTAACCTGAAGCAGCACTTTAGCTAATGGGGCCTCCTGCTGCGCCGCCGGAGCACAATTTCTGTTCTCATCCTGAAGCAAAGTTCTTAACCCGAGGTACTATTTCTGGGTTAGCGGAGTCTGTAACCTGAAGCGTGTGTAACCCGAGGTACCACTGTATTACTTACTTACTTATTTATTTATTTTAATTTTCCAAAAGCCAAAGAAATACAAAAAATACAGAAGAAACAAAAAGTTAAAAAAAGAAATAAAAATACAGAAATATTAAAAAAAATTCACAGACCAAACCAAACATTCCCCTCCCCTCTTTCCCTCCTTTGAGATGTATGTAATGAATGAAAAAGAAAAATGAATAATTTTTTTTTTAAAAAAAATGGTGTGTGGGTTTGAAAGGAGCCCACAGAAAGTAGCCTCACCTCCTCCGCCATCGATGTCCGCCTCGCGGAACATGCGCTCCAGCTTCCGCAAGTGGTCATAGTTGATCTGATCCTCCACCTGCTTTGTGCGAGACTCATCGTACAAGCCGGCAGCCTTCATCAGCTGCCTGTGGGATGAGCACACCGGGCCCAACTTGCTCAGGAGACCAGGAAGCCTGGGCTGGGAGGAAGGAAGACAGGGGGTCAGTCTGTCACCGAAAACACCAGAATTACGCTGCATGCCCTAGGAAGAAAGGGCCTGAGCTGCCCGCCATTTCCCTAAGTCATTGGTCCATTTCTTCACGTTTGGTGGGAATGCCCTTTCCTTAAAAGCTTTTGGAAGTGAAATAATAAAATTAAGTTCTTATATGTATAATAAGGGATGTGGGTGGCGCTGTGGGTTAAACCACAGAGCCTAGGGCTTGCTGCTCGGAAGGTCGGCGGTCCAAATCCCTGCGACGGGGTGAGCTCCCGTTGCTCGGTCCCTGCTCCTGCCAACCTAGCAGTTCGAAAGCACGTCAAAGTGCAAGTAGATAAATAGGTACCGCTCCGACAGGAAGGCAAACGGCGCTTCCGTGCGCTGCTCTGGTTCGCCAGAAGCGGCTTAGTCATGCTGGCCACATGACCCAGAAGCTGTACGCCGGCTCCCTCAGCCAGTAAAGCGAGATGAGCGCCGCAATCCCAGAGTCGGCCACAACTGGACCTAATTGCCAGGGGTCCCTTTACCTATATATTATGAAAATGGCCAATATACACTAAACAAGCAGAAACTGCAACTGCCCTCATTCCCCCATTAGTCAGCATAATTGTTGTTGTTGAGTCGTTTAGTCGTGTCCGACTCTTCGTGACCCCCTGGACCAGAGCACGCCAGGCCCTCCTGTCTTCCACTGCCTCCCGCAGTTTGGTCAGACTCATGTTGGTAGCTCCAAGAACACTGTCCCACCATCTCGTCCTCTGTCATCCCCTTCTCCTTGTGCCCTCCATCTTTCCCAACATCAGGGTCTTTTCCAGGGAGTCTTCTCTTCTCATGAGGTGGCCAAAGTATTGGAGCCTCAGCTTCAGGATCCATCCTTCCAGTGAGCACTCAGGGCTGATTTCCTTCAGAATGGAGAGGTTGGATCTTCTTGCAGTCCATGGGACTCTCAAGAGTCTCCTCCAGCACCATAATTCAAAAGCATAAATTCTACGGCGATCAGCTTTCTTTATGGTCCAGCTCTCACCATAATATATACGCTTTAGTAAAACAACCAGAGCATGAACAAGAAGTCTCTATAATGTATATGTTTCAGGGATCGTAGAGATTCAAGAATGGTGCGCGCTACATAGGAGAATTTTTTGAGAATAAAAAACATGGCAAAGGCATCTTTTACTATCCAGATGTATCCCAATACGATGGAGGGTGGGTGGAGGACCAAAGACATGGAAACGGCTTTTACTAAAATGTAAATGGAGACACATACATTGGAGAGTGGTTCAATCAGCTGGGCAAGGTACATATCTGTATTAGAGCCAAGAGCCACATTTGCTCACAGTCAAACCTTCCAGGGGCCGTACATTGGTGGTGGGCGGCCCAAGGGCAAAATGTGGACGGGGCTCTTGCATTTGCGCAACAGGCCACGTTCAAGCCACTTCAGTTCCAGAGCTTTCTGCACACACATCTCCATCTAGGCAAGTTAAGAGGCATCTTCACAATTCAAGGCCACTTTTCAGCCAGGGGAAAGCACTGGCTGTAAACCAGAAGGTTGATGGTTCGAGCCCAACCAGGGACAGCTGTGGGCAAAATTCCTGCATTGCAGGGGGTTGGACTAGATGACCCTGGAGGTCCCTTCCAACTCTACAGTTCTATGAAGCATGGCCAGAGAAGGCCTGACAGAGGGGCCTCAGATATCCCAGATTACAGCTTGCTGTAAACCGCTTTGATATATTTTCATGGCATACGTACATACGACTTTTGACAGATGCATAAATAAACAACAGTACATCTTCCCAACTCATACTTACTGGGGCGGGAGCTGGTGCCGGAGGAAGCTGCTGAGTGGCAGGGTCTTTCTCAAATTCGAGGCCTCCCCTAAAAATATCGGAAAGAAAGCAAAACCAATGAGCACTGTTAAGTATTTGAAAGACGAGGTCCCCACTCCTTGGATGGATTCAAGGCTGTGAGCTTTCAGCTTCTCTGAGATTTAAGGAGTGGTCTTGGGTGTGTTCCTTGTGCTCTGCCTCAGTGCTTCCTTCTGTAAAATGGGTAATGGTCACTCAACCAGGAAGCTCACACTTAGCTAGCAGCTTTATGGCACCTTAAACCGAGGTTATGGGCACAACGACGGAATGTCTAGGCGCACTTTTTAATAACAAGAATGCAAAGCTGAAAATGAATTAACTGCAGATAAAATATTATGTTCATTTTTTACATGGTCTAGTCCTTTCCCTGCCTAACCCCTTAATATTCTTAAGAGGGTCTCTTCTCCAGTCTTCAGAAAGTAGCTGGAAGTGCGGAGGCAGAAAAAATCCTCCTTTCCTTCCATGCGGCAGTTTTAATCTGAAATCTTAGGCGCAGTACTGCGCCCAGAGCTCAAAAACTGCTCGCGTGAATGAAATTCGTTATTGCAAAACATGCCTAGGACAATGGGAATTTTGAGGGGAAGGGTTGCCAAATGACCTGAGAAAGGCCTCCTCCTGTGCCTTGAAGAACAGCTTGATCAACAAAAATCAGCAAGTGGGGCTTTTCCCAGCTTGCAAGAGAAGCACCGATCTATGTTTCATTATGATCCCACAGCAAATAACCCTCCTTAAAAGTAGTATGAGAGATTGGCACAGTTGCCTGTTGACAACAGCTGATCAAAGATGTTGTGAAAGGCACAGGAGCGGAAGCTGGGAAAGAAAGTTGGCAACCTGAGCTGCAAGGGGAGCCTCAAAGAGGAGGCTGCCGGGAAGATGGAGAGCAGGCAGGTGGCAATGGGGACAGGGATGGTTTTCCCAGTAGTGATGTATGGAAGTGAGAGCTGGACCACAAAGAAGGCTGATGGCCGAAGAATGGATGCTTTTGAATTATGGTGCTGGAGGAGACTCTTGAGAGTCCCATGGACTGCAAGAAGATCAAACGTATCCATTCTGAAGGAAATCAGCCCTGAGTGCTCACTGGAAGGACAGATCCTGAAGCTGAGGCTCCAAGACTTCATGAGAAGAGAAGACTCCCTGGAAAAGACCCTGATGCTGGGAAAGATGGAGGGCACAAGGAGAAGGGGATGACGGAGGACCAGATGGTGGGACAGTGTTCTTGAAGCTACCAGCATGAGTTTGACCAAACTGCGGGAGGCAGTGGAAGACAGGAGTGCCTGGCGTGTTCTGGTCCAGGGGGTCACGAAGTGTCAGACACGACTAAACAACAACATGCCAAGCAGAGGCAGGTATGCCAAGTAGTGAAAGCAAGGCCTGGAGCAGCTCGTTGCTGCTCCACAGAAGATGGGTAAGAGGAGGAGGCAGCAAACAGAAGGCAGAAGCAGATGCGTGAAAATCAATAACCTTTAAAAGCATTTGTGTGCACAAGCTTGCATCAACTGGAGCAAGAAGTGGTACCTTTCTGTTCAGCTCCGGTCCTTCAAGATGCTACAGCCGCACTCTGTGCAGATCTGCAAAATTCTGGGAGATACTTATGGGTGCCCAGTGATTAATCAGAAAGTGATTTTTTTTCTAACGGCGTTCACTACTGCCCACAGGGACGTAGGATCGCCAGCACGAGCCAGCACTTGCCGCTTTGCTCTGGCCAGTAAAACTGTTTTCTGCCAGGGATCTGAAAAGCCGGTAAACTCCAGGTTCCGTCCCCCCCTCCCAGGCCCCGCCCCTGAGATCCACCTGCCCCTCCTTTGGGGATTCCAGGCAGGCTGTAATCCCCAAGGGCAAGCGGCTTGGATGGGGCCAAAGTTCAGCAGGCAAACAGCAGCTCTGCATGGCAAAAGAGGGGGCTCCGTCCCTGGCACCGCCTGCTAAGCGGGTCAGGGAGCCTGAAACTATTGGGTTCTTGCCGGAAGGAGTAGTGGGCAAAGCCAGGCTCCGTAGACTCCAGATACAAGCACTGCTTCCTATGCCAGCTCACTGTATCCCCGGTTTTCCTTGACTGCAATCCCTCGCCCTGCTCCTTTTAAACATGGAACTGTAGAGTTGGAAGGGACCCTGAGGGTCATCTAGTCCCACCCCACCCCTAATGCAAGCATGTTTTGCCCAGCATGGGGCGCGAACTCATGACCTTGAGAGCAAGTGTCTCCAGCAAATGAGCTATCCCAGTTTACATGTTGTTGTTTAGTCGTGTCCGACTCTTCGTGACCCCCTGGACCAGAGCACGCCAGGCACTCCTGTCTTCCACTGCCTCCCGCAGTTTGGTCAAACTCATGCTGGTAGCTTCGAGAACACTGTCCAACCATCTCGTCCTCTGTCGTCCCCTTCTCCTTGTGCCCTCCATCTTTCCCAGCATCAGTGTCTTCTCCAGGGAGTCTTCTCCTCTCATGAGGTGGCCAAAGTATTGGAGCCTCAGCTTCAGGATCTGTCCTTCCAGTGAGCACTCAGGGCTGATTTCCTTCAGAATGGAGAGGTTTGATCTTCTTGCAGTCCATGGGACTCTCAAGAGTCTCCTCCAGCACCAGAATTCAACATACGAAGAGCATTCGCTGGCTCATGCCAATGGTCTGCTCCCATCTGTTGATCAATGACCCCTCCCAATCTCTGAGCATCAGCTGGATCAGGCCAGGGGCCCATCTACTCCAGAGTCCTATTCTCACAGGGGCCAACCAAGAGGACCCAAAGGGAAACCACCCCCAGCAGGATCTGAACACAAGAGCAGTTCTCCTCTCCTGTGGTTTCCAGCAATGGGGATCCAGAAGCATTGCTGCCTCCAGCCGAGGAGGGAAGAAAACAGCTTTCATGGCGAGTCGTCATTGACAGCCCTTTCCTCTGTGAATTGGTCTAATCCTCCATCAAGGCTAGTGGCCCTCACTGCCTCCTATGGGACTTCCACAGTTTAACTATGTGCTGCATAAATAAGTACAGTGGTACCTCGGTTTTTGAATGTAATCCCATTCCAGAAGACAATTAGACTTCAGAAACGTTCGGAAACCGAGGTGCAAAGGGCGGTCTGCTAATTCAATCATGAAAATTGTGAAAAACAACAGGTACACAGCGGAAGCCGTTTGACTTCCGAGGCACGTTTGAAAACGGAAGCATTTACTTCCAGGTTTCTGGCGTTTGGAAATCGAAACATTCGGCAACGGAGACGTCGGAAAAGTGAGGTACCTGTACAGTCATACCTCGGGTTACAGACGCTTCAGGTTGCGTTTTTTCGGGTTACAGATGCACCGAAACCCAGAAGTACCAGAACAGGTTTCGGCGCTTTGCACATGCACAGAAGCGCCAGATCGCAACCCGCGCATGTGCAGACGTGGCGCTGCGGGTTGCGGACGCTGCAGGTTGCGAACGTGCCTCCTGCATGGATCACATTTGCAACCCGAGCGTCCACTGTACTTTATTTTATGTATCCTGTCCACTCAACAAAACTCACACATACACAACCCTGCTCCTCCCCATGTGTGAGCAACCCAGGCCCTCCATAAATCTGGGGGTAACTCCAGAACAGATCTGGGGGGCACAGAAGGAGGAGGAGGAGGGAGTCTCATTGCACAAGCGGTGATAGGACGCTTACTTAGCACAGCATTGAAAATAAGCCACTCTCTCTTTAAGGCATAGGCGGCATCCTGTTCCTTGGGCAGGGCTCTGTTCTCCAAAGAGGCCTGACAGGCTACACGGACTTCTGAGTGCACTCAGCAAAGTCTTTGATGGGCAGAGGTTCAACAGGTGAAGCGTTGCACAGCTTGGAAGTGCGGCAGATGGGAGAAGCTGCACCTGTTGGTTTCTTTGGCTTGCCATTAACAGCCCTCTCCTCCCTGTGGAGGGTGGGGGCTAACTTGTTAAATCTGTAGGAAAGGGTGTTAGGATATTTCCGTTCCACCTTAAAAGGGAGCAGGCTTTGTGAGTCACAGAGTCTGCGTATTTCCTGTTCACAGGATGTTTTCTGTTTTGATAGAGCTGTTGTCTCTCTCTCGGTGCCTGAACACTGAAGCAGGCGGTCATGTTTTTCTTTGTTCTCACCAACGCTGAATAAACTTAAATAATGCTCTCCTGCGTGCATCTTTCGCTGTGCATTATCTGCTGATAAGAGCGTGCATCAGCTCTGGAATGTGGCAAGCTATTTCTGGAGCTCGTGTCGCTAATTGCTGATACTGCGTGTCTATGGGAGATCGATGGACGTCCAGAGGCGACGTGGGGCCATGATGGACTTTTGTCTCCCTGGCAGTATCCCAACAACTGGTTCTCTTTTTACAGCGTTTTTAAGAATTCGTAACCTTGTTTTTATCCTGCTATATACTGCTTTGATGGCTGCAGCCTGTGAATCAGTTTATAAATTTGTTAAACAAATTATAAATAAATAGCTGCTTTTCAGGGAATCTATGTCATCTAGGATGTGCTTGCTGCTCAGGGTCCAATGTTCACCTGGCTCTTGTGGGACTGCAACTCCCATAAGTACAGCTGCATCGGCTTGGGACTGATGAGAGTTAAACTCGGGCAACATCTGGAGGGCGTCAGGTTGGCAGATGGTTGGCTGAACGCACAGGATGCGACAACCTTGCAAAGCAGGTCAGGGTCTTAGTTCTGCCTGACACACACACTCAAGATGCTGCCTTCAATCAATCATGTAAGGTAGCCAAGATGGCGCTCTCCAAATGCTGTTGGAACTACAACTCCCAGAACCCCCAACAATTGGCTGGGCTAGCTGGGGCTGATGGGAGCTGGAGTCCAACAACACCTGGACACAAAAAGATGAACAGCTTATGAAAGCTGTATTAAGAGATGCCAGGCCACAGCCAGAATTTTGCAGGCTCTGTTTTGCAGGATGTTGCCTCCTTCACCTGTAGTCAGACTCAACGGGTGCATTGAGGAGCCATTGCTGCTGAGAGAGTTGAGGCATCAGCTGTCATGACACACACACATGTGCTTTCGCATATCATGTCTGGGACAAACAAAACTGTGCCCCACATCCTTGGCCCATCAAGCCCACTGTATCACCTGGTCTGACTGGCAGCAACGCCCTCTGCAAGGGAATCCCAGGAAGACCAGTGACTCTTTGGCTAGGTCGTTCCCACGTTTGGGAAATTGGTAAGTTACCTGAAGGAGCAAATGCATAGCTTAGAGGTGCTCCTGGGAACATCTTTGCTGCTAGAGGCCCAAGTTTCCTCTCTGGCTAGGACTGCCTTTTATCAGCTTTGTTTGGTTTGGCCATTCCCAGACAGGCATAGCCTGACCACTGAAGTCCATGCATTGGTAACCTCAAGGCTAGACTACTGTAATGTGCTCACCGTGGAGCTGCCCTTGGGCCTGGTTTGGAAGCTCCAGCTGGCGCAGAAGTGAGAGCTTCTGGTCAGAAACATGTGGCACCGTTGTTAAAGCAGCTGCCCTGACTGCCCATCGACTACCAAGCCAGGTTCACAGAATGATAGTATCATAGAATTGTAGAATTGGAAGGAACCGCAAGAGTCATTTAGTCCAAGTTTGCAAGGCAGGAATCTCAGCTAAAGCATCTATGGCAGATGGCCATCCAACCTCTGCTTAAAAGTCTCCAAGGAAGGAGATTTCACAGCCTCCCAAGGGAGACCACTCCACTGTCAAACAGCTCTGATTGCCAGAAAGTTTTTTCCGTATGTCTAGCCGGAATCTCCTTTCCTGCAATTTGAAGCCATGGGTTCAAGTCCTACCTTCCAGAGGAGGAGAAAACAAGCACGCTCCCTCTTCCATGTGACAATCCTTGAGATATTTGAAGACGGCTATCATATCTCCTCTTTTCCAGGCGGATGGCGCTGTGGGTTAAACCACAGAGCCTAGGACTTGCCGATTGGAAGGTTGGCGGTTCGAATCCCCATGACGGAGTGAGCTCCCGTTGCTCGGTCCCTGCTCCTGCCAACCTAGCAGTTAGGAAGCACGTCAAAGTGCAAGTAGATAAATAGGTACCGCTCCGGTGGGAAGGTAAACGGCGTTTCCATGCCCTGCTCTGGTTCGCCAGAAGTGGCTTAGTCATGCTGGCCACATGACCCGGAAGCTGTCTGCGGACAAACACCAGCTCCCTCGGCCTATAGAGCGAGATGAGCGCGCAACTCCAAAGTCGTCCGTGACTGGACCTAATGGTCAAGGGTGCCTTTGCCTTTTATCATATCTCCTCTTTTCCAAGCTAAACACACCCAGCTCCTTCAACGGCTCCTCACAAGGCTTGGTTTTCAGACCCTTGATCATCTTGGCTGCCCCCCTCTGCACACCTTCCAGCTTGTCAGTACCCTTGTCTTAATTTATAAAGCCCTGAATAATTTAGATGCAGAGTACCTTAAGGATTGCCTGAGCCATTCTATCCCAGCTCGATCAGGGAGAGAGGGCAGGTAAACAGGGAGTGACTATAATACACAGGGACACCTTATTATCTACCAGTGAGCTTCAGAGAGGGTAACAAACAAAGCAGCAGAGAGCACCCTGCCTCCAAAGAGCCTACAATCCACATTTAGGACTGCCACCAGCCAGCCGGGTCTAGTGGGTGGGGAGGCTTCTTAAGCACAGAGCACATTCTCCATGCACACATAGGCAGGAAGGGGAAGGGAGAGCCTTTCAACAAACGCATAAGCATATTCTGATTTAATGTGAATTTGCATTTCTGCTTGGTGCACAGGTAGGAAGTTGGGAGCAGACAAACACATTAGGGGAAAGATCCGGTGGCCCTGCCCCAACACTCACCAGCTCACGGAGGGGTGGACGCTGAGTTTTCGGGGTGTGCTCAGCAGGGAACTTGTGGGCCTCTCCGTGCTGCTATCTTCATACCTATTGCCCTCCATCTTCAGCAAAGAGCTCAGCTGTCCGCTTGCTTAGTATCCAACCTCTGCAGGACTCTGCAATCAACTTGCAAGGATTCAGCCGCTGAATTGAGTGCCAATAAACTCAACTGTGATGTCACGCTTCAGAATGATTACCTCATTTCACTGAACTTCAGTAAGAGACAGCCGGGGCCTAGAATTCTCTCTGCTAAGCATGCACTTAAAATATTGGTTTGAGATGAGGGTGGGAGGTGGGAGTTCAAGGACTAGTACTGTAAATGAACAGAATAGACAGGGAATGTGCGGGGGTAACAGGCAAAGGCAGGCTGGAATTTCCCCCAAAAATTTATGCTTACAACGGAGGCTTTGAGGTGGTGTAGGTGTCTTCTTCAGAGGGGAGTAGCTCCTGGTAAACAGAAATGAGAGGTGATATTTGGGGCATATGGACGTGCATAGGGAGAGGGGCAGAGATGCAGCAGCCCAGTTGGAAATGATCTTCCGGAGCACTCAGGAAAACAAGACGACAAAGGAAAGCAGGTGAAATCAGAGCTGGGGCACAAAAATGTAAGTGTTATTTGCAAATTATAAAAGGGACACAGAAAGAGGAACCACAGTCAGAGTATTGCTCAGACGTTTTAGTATAGATTGTGATTCCATGTTGTGGTGCGTTTTGGGGACGTTGGTGTGTGTGTTTTAGATGCCTTAGCATGGCTTAACCTGAAAACAGCAAAAAATATTCCACTACCAGTTGCTAGTGATATTCAATTTCTGCTCAGTATAGACCTATTGAAATTAATAGACCTAGACCCAACTTTGTGGGTTTCGTTAATTTCTTTGGGTCTACCCTGAGTAAAACTTAGTTGACTACCAACCACCCCTGTTATGCCAGGTTCTAGTCAAACACTCAAGTGCTGCACCACATTGACTTTGTGTCCCCATGAATTCTTCCAGTCTTTAAACGGCTTTGCCACATTAGGCAGGGCAAATGTGGACATCCCGTAGACGGGGACAACCAAAACCTACTTCCCAAACTGCAGGTCCCTTTTTCTTTTGCAGAGCATTTATTTAGAAAACCACAGCTGGAAGAACTTTGCCCTGGATGACTACAAACCAAGTATTAGCTAAACTTGAACGTTGCTTGTCCAGATGTTGACCACAGAGCCCAACTATTGAGTGTACATCTGAGCAGAGAGAGTCCTGTCCTTCTGAAATAGGTAGGATTCTATAAGTGCATTCTGTTCCCCCCAGGATGTGCAGGACAGATTGAGATGCTCCTGGGGCAACTTCATGATGTCCTGCGCTCTAAGTGAGGGCATCCCTGTACATTGTGTTTACCTCTGAAGGCTGCCTCAGCTTGAAGCCACAACAGGAAGAGAGTGGGTTGCAGCCCAAAAAAGGGAGGCGTGTCACATTCCCAGAGGCTATTATTGCATGGTCTTTTCTCCAGCACTGGGCTTCAATTCTAAAAGCACTGCATTTTTATGTAGTGCCCTCATTTGACTCTCTTAAATGGAGGTGTGTCAATCCAAAACAAGTGGGAGGAGAATAGCAAGCTTTAAGGAAAAAAAGGCTATGCATGTTCCACTGTGGTCTAGGAGGCTTACTCTCAAGAAAGTGTGTTCCAATTCAATAGTACTGTGTCCATTTGAAAGCTGGGAAAAGGGAACTGGCTAACCCCGTTAGTTTAGGGAGATTACATTTAATCACTGGGTATCATGGTAGGAAGTGAGTACCTTTGAGCCAATTCTCAAGTCTCTGGCATTAGGAAGGGCCATGACCTGGCTGTTAGCTTTCTGCCACTGGGAACAGGATGGGCATCTCGTGGCCAAATTCTCTCCATTCCTGGAGTGGAAACATTTACAACCTACTTCAGTGTTGTATGGGCGACGATCTGTAAACTGCTTTGAACACTGCAAGTTTCAAACAAATCTTTACCCAGCCAGAGAAATCACGATTCTGTGAAGACAATATTTTAATTGAAATGCTTGTAGTTTTATTTTAGTCTTGGAACAGTTACAGTAAGAATTGTCATTGCAAGTAAGAAGGTTGACAAGACTGAACAACAAGAGTTAAGAAAAGATATCCTGCAAGCCCACTTGCAAGACCAGACGTACGCTGTGGGGTACAGAGAGGTCCATGTCTTAGTTTTTGGTTGTTCTATTTAGTCTGCCTTCCACACATCTTCAAAAAAGGCCAAGATTAAGGCAGGCTTGCTTGCATTTTTATTTTTCCCCAAATGAAAGGATCCTTTCAGCAGGAGAGGACTTTGCATCAGGTACTGTACCAGAAGAGCAGATTTACTATCATTTTGGGAGGAGAGGTTGTGGCAGTTCTTGGTCCAGATGACACAATGAAGACTTCTTACATATTATACGCAACTCATTAAAATCTCAACACTTCTCTGGCCAAAAAGTGGGAGTTCTACATGTGAAGCTGCTACACGCCAGATTAGGTATCTTATTCTGGTGAAGACACAGCAAACATCAACTGTACGATGCCATAAAGGCATCATCTCTAGGACAGCAACTGAGATTGTCACAGTTCACCAGGTAAACTGACCCACCTGCCTCTCTCCCTCCACCCCCCCTTCAGCAAAGACAACCCTGTGGCACAAACACAGCCAAAATAATGATGTTGTCCTTGTGAGATAGGTATGAACTAGGTGGAGCCTCCTACTATCAGAGCATCAATACCTTGCAGACAATACATTTTCCTTCACGTGTGCAGGAAGCCAAACAGCAAAAAGATTTGGTGTGTCATTTTTAAACCCCCAGCTAACTTCAGTGGATCATTACGTATCATTTGCAAAGAGCTGTTACTCTTATAGTAGTCTTCAGAACCAGAGAAGGTATCTTGGGCAGTTATAAATGAAGAGTTGTCTCGCGGAACAAGCAGCCTCCATTGCCCATCTGTGCAGGCACTCAAAAAGTTTAACATGTGATAAGACATCACAGCAAGCAACTGCCTCTACATGAGGCTGCTTGTCAAAGACACTGGCAACACACAGACAGAACTATCTACATGAGTAATAAGGTAACCCGGTGTTTTGTGGGCAGCAAGCCACCACAGAGCAAGCACACAGAGTCACAGCAACTTTTGTTGAACAACCCTATTGCTAGCAAGGGATATCGGGAGGAACACTCTGGAGCTCATCCTCAAGACGTTCTTTCACAAAATTGGTACAAATTGTGTCCACAGGGTTGCAGTGTGGTGCCCTTAGTAGCAAACTAATGCTGGGCAACTTCCAAGCAAAGAAACTGGGATCTCTGGGGGGCCCAGAACAGAACCAGACCCACAAGAACATGACACTCCAGCAGACAGTTGCATTCTTGAAATAACAGAACTTTATTTAGAAACTGTTTAAAAGTAGAAAAAAACCCTGTCAAGAGGAGTCTGGGTGGAATATGGTTTAGGGCACAAAGTATCTAGAAGGCCACAAGAGAAATAGCACCTCTGATGTTTTAAATAATGGCTTGCTTTTTTTGGCATTTGATGAATTTGGGTCTTCCTCTGAATTCCCATAGGGATTCATGCACTACACAACAGTTACCATAAAATGCTTTGCTTTCTACACACATTTAGAACACATAACCACTGGAAGCAAATGAACAAGAGCACACCAAGCCCAGAGGCTCAGTCTTAGCTGTGGCTGGGGGCAAGATCTCAAGAGGGCCCTCCCCAAAGAGCAGCAATCGACAGGGGGGGGGTAGGGGGGCGGGATTTGCTCCACGTAAGAGGGACAGGGTCAAGCATGAAATACTGTAATCGAGACTCATCTGAGCGCTGTATTTTCTGCAATATTGGATTTCCTATTTAATGCACACCAATCAGTGTTCTTTGCCAGGAGCACTGGCAAAGGCTTAAACATTGGGAGGCTAACTCAAGGAGGACACACACAAACAGAGAGACAGTCTGGAGATCAAGACTGGCCTCAGTGCAGCACTGCAAAACAAAACTACCCAAATCAATACAGTTTAGTCAGCAGGCTTGGAAGAGGAGGAGGAAGGGGGCGCAGAGAGGAATAGGACCCACAAAATTCAATGGACCAGAGACACAAAAGCAGCTGGTGGGTGAGGGAGGGGGCTGGATGCAGGCTGCGAATTAGGTGAAGAGTTTTAAAAGGGATAGCCTTTTTGGTTTGGAAGACACCACATGCCATTGGCCACAGTACAGCAAAACCGAGAGGCCTTCAAGCACATCCGTATCTTACGCATTCTAGTCTCGCAACAGGCTACATACAGTAAAGTCTTTCCCCCTTACGACAGTCAGTGATCAGGAGGGTAGCTCTGAATAGATATTGGGCTGTTCTAATTACCCCTTACAGAGCCCTTACTGACTTGAGGCGCCAAGCAAGTCCTTCCAAAACAAGAAAGCCAGATGCTCAAACCCCAATATAGAACACACAAAATCTCTCATCACATTACTTCAATTTGGCATCTGGAAGCACATTTTAAGCCCCCTTAAGGCATCTCTTTAATTGCAGAACACATCTCATATTTGCTCAACCTTCCTGCGAAAAAGTCAATCCTGAAATTGCTCCACTACATACTCCCCACAGCCCACAAAAAGAAAAGAAAAACAGTACAGCAAACTCTCCACAAATCAGTGCCTTACCAGCAACCAAGCAACTCTGCAAACTCCAAATATTCAACCCCTTGCTTCCAAATTACACCAACTAGATGTTAATACTGCTCTGCTACAAAAGTGAGAAAAGAGCTCTCAAATTAAACCCATTGGAGGGGGGGGAAGTATTAAAACTTACGCAAAGTGCACTTCAAGAGGTACTTTTTACTTATGAAAAGAATAAAATGGAGTATTTTAAGCACATGATTGGGGAAAGCTGATTTCTGAATTCTGCTATTGCTGCTCTGCTGGTACAGTCGGTGGACCACTAATACTCCTCTTGCTCCTCTGGTGGCGCTCCTTCATCTGGTATGACAAAACCTTCCTGAAAGGGAAAACAGAGATGCAGAGACCACTGCATTAATCAGCAAGGAACAGGGGGCAAAGGCAGGGTGCCACCTTCCCTTAGAACAGGGGTTGCCAACCTTTCTAAACCAGTGGGCACACTGAGATTTTTTAAGTGCACTGTGGGCACCAGTCACAAAATGGCTGCCACAGTGTAACATAAAATTAGAGAGAGTACTGTGTCTTTCCTCAAAATTGCATACTCAAAAGAGGTTTAATCTACTGAATTTCTGCCTGCCATGCAGTTGCTAATGGCACAAGAGTCCTACAGTGGTGCCCCGCAAGACGAATGCCTCGCAAGACGGAAAACCCGCTAGACGAAAGAGTTTTCCGTTTTTGAGTTGCTTCGCAAGATGATTTTCCCTATGGGCTTGCTTCGCAAGACGAAAACGTCTTGCAAGTCTTGCGATTTCCCCCCCGCTTCCCCCCCCTTTTCCTAAGCCGCTAATAGCCTTTTAGCAGCTAAGCCGCTAAGCCTTTAATAGCTGCTAATCCGCTAAACCGCTAATAGCGCTAATCCGCTAATAGGGTTGCTTCGCAAGACGAAAAAACCGCTAGACGAAGAGAATCGTGGAACGGATTCTTTTCGTCTTGCAAGGCACCACTGTATCCTAATGGCACAAGAGGCCTAGCCTGGGCATTGCACTGCAAACTGACAACACAGTGAATCCTTAATGAGTGGCCGGCTGTGGGTTCTACACAAGAAGAGTCTTACATAAGCTTCCCTGCAAAATCTGCACATTTTGCATTTGCCACTTTGCCTTTTTTGTAAAGTGGGTGAGAAGGACACCTTTTCTGTTGTGGCGCCCACTCCACGGAACCACCTCCTTTCTGAATTATGCTGGGCGCTTATATGAATAGTATTTTAGCACCTGCTGAAAACTCATTTATTCCCAAGTCTCTGCTAACAATTAACACCAGTCTTTTTGTTTGGGTTTTAGTATCTACATGGTTATTGTTTAGGTGTTGGTCTTGTAATTTTTGTACTGTGCTGTATACCACTTTGTGGTTTTTAAATGAAAAATGGTATATTATTATTTTAAAATAATAGTTAAATAACCCCCACTGAAACCAGTGAAAACTGTACAGGAATACTTATGCGTGGTTGAGGAGCTGAACTTCTCAGTGGGGTTTGCACAGGAGGGATCTTCCTAACTAAACTGTGTCCCAAATGCTGCTGCAGGAGCAAGCATAGGCATAATCTGGAATGTCTAAGCCAGAAATTGGGGGAAGCATTCACCAGATACTTACATCCGTGGCATAAAGAATCTCCACAATCCTTTGAAGAACAGGGTCACTCTCTCCTTCATTCTCCTGACAGATCAGCTCAATGTTCCTCAGTTTTCCAAAGTAGAAGTCTCTTTCCTTCTCCAAATCTTCCACAGTCATCTTTAATACATTGATCTGCCAGAGAACAATTCACAGTGCTTCTTACAGAGAAAATGCTTGTGCCCAAGAAGGAACAAAGGGGAGGGCTTGCACATTTAAGGCTGCAATCTTAAGTCTCATTAAACTCAATAGGGCTTGTTACCAAGTAGATGTGCATAGGATTGCATTGCAATGTTGCTCTACCAATGAAATGCAAGCAATTTTTGTGGGTGGGTAACTAAGAGACAACTTTGTATGTTTTGAGGTTTTAAGCAACACTGTACTCCTCTTAAGTTAGATGAACCAATGGTGTGCAATGTAATGGGTGGGCAGTTTAAGCAGCAGTTTTCAGCACAACTCTTGTGGTAAGAATGGCGTGGAAACAACTTCACCAAGGTCCAGTCCCAAAGCAACATCTGTAAGGCAGCCAGGGCAGTCACCATATCATGTGGTTCTACTTACCAAGACCAATTTGGGCAACATAACCGCTGCCAACAACTCTCTTCCGCTACACATTTGGAGTCTATAGCTCATGAATGTAGATTATGGGTGGAATTCAATGTCACGCTAAGGCCTTTTTGCTTGTCAGGTAGAACAATCTTACTTCTCCCCCCATGTGCTATTCTGGGGGGGGGGGTGTTCCTGATCCTCCCAAGAAGATTTGGGGAGCGCATGGGGGTGGAGGCAAAGGGGAGTCCTGTTGCACTAGCAGTACTTGTGCTGGCCTCTTAGAGCACAACCACTTAGCTGAATCTGGCCCGATGTCTAACAATACTGTTCACATCTCCATTACAAAGACGTGATCAGCACAGAAAACGCCAAGGTATCTCTCCCACAATCATGTTACTTTGTGATAATACACTGCAGTGCATTTGAGAGTCAAGACCACCCATGCCGGGAGCCTCTGTTGATCGGTGCAGCCTACTTGCTGGAAGCCCACCTGCTGGATCAGTTCAGCCGACTCTTCTTCCCCAATTCCTCCAGGAGCCTTTTTAACCATCGCAGGTCCAGTTTTATTAGCCACTGTTGTTCTCTGTGCAACCATGGGCCTCGCTGGAGCTGCAACACAGAAGGATATTAGCTGCAGTTCCAAAATGCCCATTCCACACACACCTGTGCTCCACATATTAGCCAACTAAAGTGAGACAGCACCCAAAGTGTACCATCCCATGTGCAGGAAAGCACCTTAACCCTACAGCCTCAAAGAATGCCATCTCCCTGTTAAGTGCTTAGTACCGAACACAGGCTTTACAACCGCTTTCTGTAAGGAAGCAGGGCGCTCTACTCTTGCTGCCTTCAGTTCTTGAGTCCCCACAAAACTGTGATCTACAAAAGGAAAGCATTTCTAGCTGTTATACGCTGAACTGAATCACACAGTATACCACCATATTAGGAGCACCTGGTCACAGGTAAGACACAAGGCAATCCCCTTCCTGCTGGGGAGGAGCAGGATTAAAGGGCAGTCTCAAGCAGAGGGTGTTTGTTTCCTGTCTGGAGACCGGCACACCCTTGTGAAATATAGGAAGCGGCAAGTTTCAACAACAGCCTGGATTTCAACAATGACTCGCAGGCCTACATTAAAAGGGCTGTGCAAGCGCCAGAGTGTGAACACATCTGCACACAAGCACAACCCTGCACCACCTCTGAGTGCTAAGCATATCTCCAGATGTGAACCTGGATGGCACGTGGACGCTCATGCTATGTATTCATACTGGCACAAGAGGCATGAAGAGACAGAGCACGCAACAGCAAGTCTCTGCCTCCAACAGAGACTTCCTCTCTAGGCTGCCACCCAATCCTCAGGTTCCTTGCTAGCAGCCTCTGGGCAAAAGCAGCCACAGAATCTGGATCCTGCAAGCCCCTCACCCAACACACAACGCGAAGGCATCCGATTATGAGAGCCCTGAACCACAAAGCTAGCCTGGCCAGACAGATTTGTCAACAGGTTGCCTTACCTGTGCCAGTAGAGCTAAGATTCTTTTTGGGTTTGTTGAGCAGGGGTACGACAAGAGCAGGGGCTGGGGCTGTCTCCTGGCCTTGCCGAGCTGCCACAGGGTCATAGTCTTTCCCATCGTAGTTTGCATCAAAGAATTTTTTGAACCACTGAACAAATTCAAAATTATCCTGGAATTTTCCTTTCACTAATTTGTCCACCGGAATTATCTGAGGGGAGAGAGAAGTATATTTAGTCCAATGAGAAAAACAAAACACTCAAGATGTTTCTGAGATGAGTGGACAGAACTTGCCAGCTCCAGTTCATGAGATTCCTCCAGAAACATGAGCCAGGAGAGAATAGGTAGGCCCATGTTTTTCTGCACAGAGGTCATATTCAGAGGTCAACTCTGGAGTGCATGCAGAACACCAATGAGGAAGCAAGCACGGGAATGATATCAAAATAACGTTACAACAAGGAAAGCCTGTTTTTATAATATTCTATCCCATTCAGAGTTTAAAAATTGTGATGCAACAACTGTGTCTGATGTTCTTTTGGCCCTGTCAGCCTCTTACCTGCAATCTTCAATACGCACTGTACATGTTTGAATATGCTATTCTGCCATTTTTCTGCTTTAAAGTCAGGTGCAATTGGTAATTTTAAAGTGATAATTTAAAATACAGTGGTACCTCGGGTTACAGACGCTTCAGGTTATGCGTTTTCAGGTTGCACACGGCGCCGAACCTGGAAGTACCGGAACAAGTTACTTCCGGGTTTCGGCAATCACGCTTCGCGCATGTGCAGAAGCGCCAAATTGCAACCCGTGCGTGCGCAGGCATGGCGCTGTGGGTTGCGAACATGCCTCCTGCATGGATCACGTTCACAACCCGAGGTTCCACTGTAATGCAATTTTAAATTATGATTAAACTCAATCTGCCTTTCTCTCCACCACCATCAACCACAGTCTCCCTGTACTCTCCTCTACCTCTTATTCTTTCCCCACCACAGAGGTCTCTGCACCTCTTCCCTGTCTAGCCCCAAGTGAATCCAACTGCGGCTGAAAGCAGCACACCAGGGTAAAGCACCAAATTCAATACCATATGACATCACGTAGCGGACAGGTGGGCAAGGCTGGCCCCAAATGGCCTGGTGGGTCTAATTAAGCCTGTGAGCCAGAGGTTCACCATAGCTGCTTTTCCACATGTACAGTGGTACCTCTGGATGCATACGGGATCCGTTCCAGAGCCCCGTTCGCATCCTGAGTAGAATGTAACACGCGAATGCGCACGCACGTTTTGCCGCTTCCGTGCATGCGCGTGATGTCATTTTCGGCGTCTGTGCATGTGCGAGCGGCGAAACCCAGAAGTAATGCGCTCCGTTACTTCCGGGTCGCTGCAGAGCGTAACCTGAAAATGCTCAAGCTGAAGCATATTTAACCCGAGGTATGTCTGTATACTGGTATAGTTTATGTGTATGTCTGGGAAAACAGAGTACAATGTTAAAACAGATTTTTACAGAGTGAGGTAGGAAAGGGGATTTGGAATTTTCTCCTGAGGCCACAAATCATTTCAGAGTTGGTTGGCACACAGCCTTCCATGTTCTGCATAACTGATACAAAAGGAAAAGTGCCAGAAACCTTTAGAAAATGGAACCATTTAGCCTTTGGTAGTGGGCTGAGTCAGGGTGGGCTGAGATGGTGCAAACTATCCTCAGCCCTCATGGGGAAGCCAGCAGTCTTCCATTGCTATTTTCATCGGTACAAAAAGGGCCTACTTGGCATATCACACATGCCCTAACGAAAGCTCAACAGCTTATTTTTTTTCCTAAAGAAAAGCAGCTTAGAGGAAGGTGCTTTCCCCCCACAGACATTTCTCTGCTACAAAGTGCTCTTTTCTCCCACCAATTTCCTCCTGTGGGGCATCAAAATGCATCTGTTCTTACACAGTTTTGGAAGCCATGTGTGTGCTGGGTTGGTGGAGGGAAGCATATTTTACAACCAAAAAATAGTTTTAATTCAACAGTGACTATTGTATTTATAGATCTTTTCTGTACAAATCAGGGAAATAGCTTTAAAAGACAAGAACTGCAACTGAGAACAAGATATGGTTAGTTGAAAGCAGATGGCATTCAGCATTATCTGAAGAAATGCACCCAGTTTAGGCTGACCAATACAGTTAGGTGACAGAACCCCTGATTTATCAACTTTTAATGAGAAACTGAGCAAGTGAACACTGCCTGATGAGTGGCAGCAGAAAAGATCAGCAATTTAGGACAAAAGCAAACCAAGACTGTAAAAGAAAAGGAATATTTTAAGCCAGCATCCTGAAAACTGCATTTTTCTATAAAGGTGATTCAAAGCAAGTGCATTCCAAGACAAAAGAGCTTACTTTGTCAACACCCATTCGTTTAAAACCTGCTTGTAGGACCTTGTAGTTTTGGATGTATTCGTGTTCCAACTTTGCCTGGAATTTTACTTTCTTCAGTGTTACAGAACCAGGGAACAGCATATCCATAAACTGGCAATAAGCAGCACCTGAAAAGATAAATAAAAACAGGCACACTTGTGAAAAACTGAACCAGAAATGCACTACAGCTGCCTCTGGGATTGCAAACCCTTAGAGCAGTCACTTTTGTTAACAAAGTTTTAAGTTTTGCAAGAAAATCCATTCCCCCATCTCCCACCCAATTCAACAAATAAGACAGGGGAGATCATGAGTTCTACCGCCTTTACAGTTCTTGGTTAGCAAAACCAGACCACTGACAAGTCACTAGTCAACACACTGCATTGCATTATGGACAAACACTTCCAAGCTGTGACAATAATTTTGTCTCTTGGCTTGCTTTAGCAAGAGGCGCCTTTCCTCAACCCATGCTACTGCCACAATAAGACAACCACCCTTCGTTCAGGGATAGATATACCCTATTACATGGGTAGGCAAACTAAGGCCCAGGGGCCGGATCCGGCTCAGTCGCCTTCTAAATCCGGCCTGCAGACGGTCTGGGAATCAGCGTGTTTTTACATGAGTAGAATGTGTGCTTTTATTTAAAATGCATCTCTGAGTTATTTGTGGGGCATAGGAATTTGTTCATTTCCCCCCCAAAATATAGTCCAGCCCCCCACAAGGTCTGAAGGACAGTGGACCGGCCCCTGCTGAAAAAGTTTGCTGGCCCCTGCCCTATTATCATTGGCATTCAGCTGCTCCCCACAAACTGGGACATGTCCAAGCAACAGCCCTTATTCAACACCTGCTAAGTAAAGGCGGTGCTATAAGCCTGCAATATTGCTACTGAACAGCTACCTCATTGCTGAGAACCTGTTACTGTGGAATATGCAGGCACCAACATTTCCACTTCTCCCAACACCTTAACACTTAAATCAAGCCCATGATCATAGTCAGTCACAGATTCTAAGAGAACAGATACCACAATAGAAAAAGCAGACATCTTCTGCAGGAAGGTGGCATGGAACTTTAGCATCTCGAACTGTAACATTCCCTGTACCTAAACAGAGTGGGCACATTCCACATGGAATATTACCTACACTAGGAAATTTATTTATAAGCGGCTTGAATGAAAAAGAATTCTCCAAGTTGTGCACAGATAAAATGATAGACAAAGCATAGCTGCCCTTCCGCATTCTCATAAGGATGTCAGCCTTCCCCAAAAGCAAAATACTTCAGGAGTTGAAAACAAATTCAATGGAATCACAACATGAGGTAATTGTTATGCATGACTGTAATGTTACGCTTACTCATGGCATCTGAAAAATCACTTCACTTGCTGCATTTTTTTTTGTTGTGTTAACAAAGCTCCACAGGTGGTACAATGAGGAAATTACTGTGACTGACCAGTTTGCTTCAGACAGTACAGGAGAATGGTAGTTAAAGCAGACTGCAAATAACCATTAAGGACAACATCTCTCAAAGTCTAGTTCTCCTCAAGCATAACAAAGGTGTTTCCGATCACCCTGATGAATCTAGAAGATTTTATTGTGATTACTCAATGACTGTTAACCTTCAAGAATGAGAATTCCTCAGTTCCCATTTCCTTACATCTTGATCCTATTGCTTCCTCAATCACTTCTGTTCTGCGGCAGCCATCAAGTTGACTACTCCAAAATTAACACAACACTTTATTTTTCCACTTTGTCAAAGCAGAATTTTTATCTTAGTGCCAATTCTTCTTCACTCTGAGCTCATCATCAGTACCCCCTCAACAGCACACATGTAGCCATGGATGAGGGCAGCACTGCTCCCCATTGCAGGTAATAAATGTTATGTATTAACCCTCTCAGTACATTTGCCCGGCCATGTATTCACTTATCCCATTCTTTATACCCTTCTTTTCCATCAAACAATTTTTCACAATGACCATCACTGCCTGCACTGTGTAGTTCCTAATTCAGATGTGACTTGAAAGCCCTCCTAGATCTTCAACAATTACTGTGTCTGCACTAAGATATGCCTCATTCTCCCTTTGCTTTTCCTATTTGTACTGTACATTACAAGTCCACAAACTCAGTTTAACATTAAAAACAAAAACAAAACAAACAAGCAGCATTACAGCTTTGCAACACAGAAGCTCTGCTACCATCACTATGGATTCATCTCCTTTGAGGTTTATCCACAGTGCAGAAGTCTTGTGCAAGCATTGCTAACACCAGGCAACCTTCCACAGGGATTAATATAGGATTTGCAAAAACAGAACCTAGTTTTATCTTCTGCAAAGCTTAGAAATTCCCTTAAACAGAGGTGGCCCACGTTGGAATTCAGGCGTGGAGCCCAGATGGATACAGATTGTTCCACTGGCTACATCTCTGCTAGAGATGGATGATATATCAATATTTTGTCTCTTACTGGTATGAACTCCAGAACATGATCAAGGTTTAGAGAGAATGCACTGCCCTGCTGACCCGGCAGGCAGGAAGCGGCACTTTACTGCAAAGTAAATGGCCATTTCCCGCCTGCCCGCAATATCAAGGCATAAGCCCTTGCCTCCTCTCAGCTGGCATTGCAGAGTAAAGGGCTTTACTTTGCAGTAAAAGCTGCTTTATGCCTGCACAATCTGCAAGGCCATGGCTTTGCTCTTTAGTTATGCAGGTTCAAGGCACACACCTCATGTCTTTAAGGCACACACTTAAAGAGTAGACTCAGCACCAAATCAGGCTAAGCACAGAAATCAGGCTAAGCAGGATATCTGGGTCTCTACTCTGCCTGGTGTGTGCCTTAAAACCCCGTAGATCTCGTCTGCAAAAAAAGAAACTTTGTTTGCTTATTGGAATCTTCCTTCCTCAGCACTGCTGTGGGAGGCAGATTCCGATCAGCAAAGAAAATTTATTCTTCCAATAAGATCAATGTGACTTGGGCTCCTGCTTCTGTTCAGAAAATGATGCATCACTTTTGCAGTAAAGACTTTAAGCATTTGGAAACTAAAGTGCAGACAATGCTGAAAGTCAAGGCACGACTGGCTGTATGGCAGGTATGAGGAACTTTTGGGCTTCAGATGCTGCTGAAACTACATCTCCCATCATTCCCGACCACTGACCACGCTTGCTAGGCTTGAAGAGAGTTGTAGTTCAGCAACACCTGGAAGGCTATATAGCATCTACCACAAAAACCCTTCCATGCCACAAGCAAGGGATAAGAAGCTGAATGTACCTGTAGAAATGCATACATATTAAAAGCAGATGGTTCAAACAAGCATGCCACACCCTACACAGAAAGGCACAAAAACATTTGTACTCACTTGGCTGTGGAAATTTATTCTGAACTCAATATGAGAAGCAGCTAAGACAAGGCAAGCAAAGCAAAAACCCATCAAAACAGCCTTCTAGCACCCACCAGATTTTTCAAAGGAAAATAGTAATGCTTTGGAAACCTCAAGCAGCAAGTTCCTCCGCTCTCAGCACTTTTCTTACCTGAGCAAAGCTGCTCTATCTTTGTCAAGTTCAATTGTAAGGACTCATTGATCCAGGCGAGCATGTCATGTCGACTCAAGTTATCGCTTGTCACCGAAGTGGAATACACATTAACGGCCATTTTCTGCAAGGGGAAATAACCAAGAAGGGATTTCGTTTATACACAGGCTAGTGAACCAGCACCTGCACATCTCATGCTCCAAGGAAGCCTTTTTCCAGACATCAAGAGCACAGTCACATCTGTTGGATATAGGCCACCTCCTTAGTAAAACGTTTACTGGAGACAGTCTGGTTATTTATCAGAAATCTACTGTCTGAGTAATGTGATGAGACTATATTTATACATAGCTGGATGCAAATGCTGTACTCACACTCAGGCACAGCAAGTAAACTTACTTTATTGTACCAGGAAATATACTGCAATAGGCATAACGATCCACTGCAGGGAAGAGTACTGTAACCCATTCAATTTAACAACTGGCTCAGAAACATTCTCTTTTACCATTAATGCCCATTCTCTTTCCACAAAATAGATAAAAGAGTAGAGATGAGATTTAAGAAGAACTCAGAGATGAATAATAACTAAATGAAGAGGCAAAAGAGATTAGGAAAGGCTGAATGGATGCGCTGGGTCTTCAAGGAAGATGAGGTGCTTCATTTTAGGCAAATACATGTCACAGGAAAGTTTAGTGGTAGATTCTGAACACTGGAGGAAGAGGAGGAGATGGCAAAATGCAGCGCATTGGTGCATTTTTATGCCCAATATGAAGTCTGAAGCAGCTGTTTCAAGAGAGGGCATGTTTCATGGCAAGGTGTTTTTGCACTAATGAAATTTAACTTGTGTGGTCAAAATAAATCAAACACAGTCTGGTTCAGAAAGACATAGCAAAGCAGACATCCTCCTAATACAGTGGTACCTCGGGTTAAGTACTTAATTCGTCCAGGAGGTCCGTTCTTAACCTGAAACTGTTCTTAACTTGAAGCACCACTTTAGCTAATGGGGCCTCCCGCTGCCGCTGGATAATGATTTCTGTTCTCATCCTGAAGCAAAGTTCTTAACCCGAGGTACTATTTCTGGGTTAGCGGAATCTGTAACCTGAAGCGTATGTAACCCAAGGTACCACTGTACTGGCAATGAACTCTAAGGGCCTAGCCAGTCACTTTGGTTTAGCAGGCCATATAATGAGGCTGCATTCACTACAATGGCAGGGATTACAATGGTACCTCTGGTTGCAAACAGGATCCATTCCGGAGGCCCATTTGCAACATGAAAAGAGTGAGCACAACTCGCAGCAGCGCATCTGCACATGCGCAGGTTGCGATTCGCCGCTTCTGTGCATGCTCACGACATCATTTTGTGCGTCTGCGCATGTGCGAATGCTGAAACCCGGAAGTAACCCTTTCCGGTACTTCTGGGTTGTGGCAGGATGTTAACCTGAAAGAACGTAACAGGAAGCAAACGTAACATGAGGTATGACTGTATGTGGAAGATCAGATGCGTATCTATTTTATGAACAGGAGAGCACCCCCAACCTAAGGATCGTGTTCCACACAGGCTTGGGCGAGCTCTGCTTTCCAGATAAAAAATGTGGCATTGCTGCTTCAGGAGGCATCCTGGAGGGGAGAGTTTCCCAGAAACACCTCCGGGAGTCTCTGCAGGAGCGCCCGTGCTACGGTTCCCTTTTCCTTCTCACAGGGGAAGTGGCCGGACACCCCCCGGCCCCGTCCCAGGCACGTGAATTGCCCGTGAAACTCGAGTTCCCCCTGAGTGGGAGGGAACAAGCCTTGAACGGGGGCCAAAAATGAGTAGCTATGTGCTCTTCTCAGGAGCAGAGAGAGAAGCTTGGAGGAGCAAACTAGGCCAAGGCTGAAGGAGAGGGCGAGCGGGACGGGGTGGGACCCTTGCAAGGAGGGGTACGGGGTGGAGGGGGCTTTGCTGGGCAAGTGCCCCCCGTTCCTTGCCAGGGGGATCCCCGACATTTCCGCAACCGACCTATCCTCTCAAGTGCGGGGAACCCAAAGGTCCTCTAGACGGGGCAGGACCTACACCTGCCCCCTCATCATCATCATCATCGTGGCGATGGGAGCCGGCGAGCCCAAGCCCTCCGGGGGGCAACATGCCGGCGGAGCGAGGCCGCCCCCAAGTCAGCCTCCCGCCTGGCCCGGTCCCCGGGGCGGGTCCCATTCCGGGGTTCCCCCCCCCCGCCACCCACCGGCAGGCGGGCGGAGACGGAGACCGAAAAGAAGCGCTGGCCTATTTGCATAAAAACCGCACTCATTTGCATATGCAAATAGCACGCGGAAGGTTCTCTTCCCCACCCCGCCCCCACCCCGCGCCAGACGCGGCCTTTCGGTCGCGGCCGGAGCTAGGAGGGCGGGGCCCGGCCCGCCTCAGACTCGCCTCGCCGCCTGGCCAGGCCCAGCCGAGCCGCCCGCCGCCCTCCCTTTCTCCTCAGCCGCCCCCAACGGAAGGACGGACGGAGGGACGGACGGGTCTCCGTCTCCTTCGCCGCCGCCGCGCCCTCAGAGCCCGTTACCTCAGTCGCTCGCCGTTCAAACCGGCCCCGCCCGCCTCGCCCGGGATATAGCGTCACGCGGCTACGCCGGCGGGCTGACGTCACTTCGGGGGAAGAAAGAGGAAGGAGAGGCGCGTACGGCCGCGGGGAGGGGCTTCCCGAGCGGAAGAGGCGGGGTCGGATTCCAAGCCCGCCCTCCGTTGCTGAGAGACGGCGTTTCTGGCCCGCCTCCCGGCTTGAAAGACAGGGCGGCCGGCCAATGGGCGCGGCGGAGAGGAAAAGCGCGTGACGACCCCGCCTCCTTTCACAAAGCAACGAGCTTCAGGGTCGTGGGTTCGAGTCCCGCGTTCGGCTCAAAATTCCTGCGTTACAGAGGGTTGGACTAGATGACCCTCGGGATCCCTAAGATTCTATAAATCTAAGTTTTGCTGTTTCCCTCAGAGGACCACGCCCACTTTGTGCCCAATTCTGCTCAGAGACTTGATTACGGCTGGTTTTTTGTAACGCGTGTCAGGTCTGCGCGTGTGAACGCTCCCTGCCTGCGCGTCCGGAGAGGCGCTTCAAGAAAGCGCCCGCGGCTTCCTCAACCGTCGACTCTTAACCGCGTCCCCCTCACGCAGCAGGGACTACATTTCCCAGCGTGCCCCGAGGGGCGCACTCATAGCTCGGTTAGGCGAGTCCGTCTTTCCGGCCGCGCATGCTGGGTAATGTAGTCCATCTGGGGAAAGCCACCCGGTGTTGCACGTGTGATGACGCACCGGCGGCCGGAAGTAGATCCCGAAGGATGCTGGGTAGTGTAGTCCGATCGCGCCATTCATCTCTATGGAAACCATACCTAGCACCACCCCGCTTCGGGCCTTTGAGCATCCGCTGCCACCATTTCTCCAATGGAAATAGGGACGTCCTATTCCATTATCATCATCATAAAAAAATTACTATTTATATGCCACACATTAAACATTAAAAATAAGATGGAAGGCAGGAATAGCTGTTGGTCTCCCTCAAGGTTGCATGGTTACTTGTCTCCTTGGCTCAGGGGTCAGATAACTCAATTTACGCCAACATTTCTCCAATGGAAATAGGGGATTCCTAAGGAAAAGCGGGACATTCTGGGATCAATTCAGAAACCAGGCTGGCCTCTGTAAATCCGAGACTATCCCTGGGAAATAGGGACACTTGGAGGGTCTGCAGTGGATAATGCTGTGGTTTTTTAAATTTAAAAATAAGATAAAAATGAGAGTCCTTAGGTGAGCCCTTCCCTCTTCCCCCCAGCTCCCACCCACTGAATGTGCAATAGTTGGTTGCCTTACAGGAGGAAGGAGAGAGAGGTTTGTGGCACCCTCAATCTCTATTGGCACAAGCCAGACTTCGCCACATGCTCTTTGCTGGGGCTGATGAGACTTGTAGTGCCAACATCTGGAGGTTACCGGATGTCATGGTTTGGATTTTTGAGTGCAGAAAGCATTGGTGGGTCCCCAGATGTTGTTAGACTACAACTCCCATCAACCTTGAGCTCTGGTCTTGCTAGCTAGGAGTGATGGGAGTTGTAGTTTCAACATCTGGGGACCCACGGGTTGCGAAAGGCTGGTTTAAGGTGTAGAGATCTTTTCTATACTATTTGATTCAAGAAGGTTCTAGGACTTTCTCTGTGTGACACAAGCTACAAGCTGGAAGTTTCTAGCTGAAAAGCAAGTTTCCATTCTTCCTGTAAACAAGCAGGTTCCTGATATTTGGGTTATTTCTTTAGAGATGCTGAACAGCTGGCTTAAACTGGTATTGTTAATCTCTTTCTCTTAAGGTCATGCTCACTCTCAATTTTTCTTAGTTCTCTATTTTCTGAGCTGATCTGTACATAGTATGTTTAAGGACTACGTTTTAGTCTTATTGTAAGTTTAAATTCATTTTTTATTGCAAATGGGTTTTTCTTAACAGGCTATGCCAATCCTGGAAGAGTTGGATTCATGAGCTGTTATGCTCATTCCGCTCATTCTTCAGTAAATAATTACAAGAAGAAGCTGACTGTTTCGGAGTTAATTTTTTTTTTTTTTTTTTTTTTTTGGAACTTGCATTGTGTTTACTCTGCTAACTAATGTTGATATTTGCTTTGGATTGTTATGGAGCAAAGCCATGTCACCAGATTGGGTAAGGATGGCACACACTACTGTGGGTTGATGCCACTTGAATACAAACTTAAGGAAATTTTAATGCTTCTCCTTAAAGGTAAAGGTAAAGGTACCCCTGCCCATACGGGCCAGTCTTGACAGACTCTAGGGTTGTGCGCCCATCTCACTCAAGAGACCGGGGGCCAGCGCTGTCCGGAGACACTTCCGGGTCACGTGGCCAGCGTGACAAAGCTGCATCTGGCGAGCCAGCGCAGCACACGGAACGCCGTTTACCTTCCCGCTGGTACAGTGGCGTAGCGTGGGTTGTCAGCACCCGGGGCAAGGCAAGTAATTTGCGCCCCCTAACCCGTGGATTTGCGCCCCCTAACCCGTGGATTTGCGCCCCATAACCTGTGGATTTGCCCTAACCCCAGATGTTGCGCCCGGTGCGGCCGGCCCCCCTGCACCCCCCACGCTACGCCACTGCGCTGGTAAGCGGTCCCTATTTATCTACTTGCACCCGGGGGTGCTTTCGAACTGCTAGGTTGGCAGGCGCTGGGACTGAGCAACGGGAGCGCACCCCGCTGCGGGGATTCGAACCGCTGACCTTTCGATCGGCAAGCCCTAGGCGCTGAGGCATTTACCCACAGTGCCACCCGCGTCCCTAGTATGCTTCTCCTTACTTGCCAGCTAAGAAGTGAATTTTGTATAAGTTTTGTTAAAGTTACATCGTTTCATGCATTGACTTCCCACCCACACATCCAGAGTGTTTGTTCAGACCCTTTTCTACTGAGTTAAATATCAAGCTCTTATATGAATAAGGAAATCGTAAGGCTTCTCCTTATCCACCAGCTAATAAGTGAATTTTGAATTCACAGAAGCTTATGCCAGAACAAATGTGTGTTTAAGTCTTTTAAAGTGCGGCAAATTGCTTTTTAGGAGTGTTGTGGAGATTGCAACTAAATAGGGAACACTAAGCCATTTGATCACCTGAAAATGTGGTACAGTGGTACCTCAGGATGCAAACAGGATCCGTTCCGGAGCCCCGTTCACATCCCGAACGGAATGCAAGACGCGGCAACGCGTCTGCGCGTGCCATGTTTCGCCGCTTCCTCACATGCACGTGACATCATTTTGAGCATCTGCGCATGCGCGAGCGGCAAAACCCAGAAGTAACATGCTCCGTTACTTCCGGGTTGCCGCGGAGCGCAAATTGAATGCGCTCATCCCGAAGCACATTCAACTCGAGGTATGACTGTATTAATATTAAGCGTTATTATATTGTGCCAATCTTTGTTACTAATCATTCAGTCGTATTTTTTGAAAACGAGCAGGGTGCTTTGCAATCTTACTTTTGACAGATTGCTCTTGGTTTCATTTTACAACTGCACCTGGGGCAACTGCACCTGGGAAACAGTCCTGGCTGGAATTAAGAGCAATTCAAGAAACTGAATTCGCCTATGGGAAGCCCACCAGCATGACAGAACTCTCCCCACTTCCGATTCCCAGCAACATCCCTCCTGCTTCCCACAGATTTCTCCAGGCAATATGGTCCTTAGCATGAAATAACCAAGACTGGACCTGCAGTTCATTTCCTTCTTTTCAACATTCTCATGGAATGCCAAACTCTTGTGGCTGGACCGACTCTAATCCTATTGCCACCAAAGATGCAAACTTGTGTGCATTCCCAATATCCCCCCAGCCACCCACTCCTCCAGGGTGAGAACAAAACCACTCCCAATTAAGACACATCATTAAATAAAGAGAGAACGAACAAGCGGATGATCAGTTATAGAACACTGACTTTAATTAAACAATGGAAAATGTTCGAGGTAAACTCTTTAGAAACCAGTTGTTTTCATTTCCAGTAAAAAAACAAAAACAAAACACACAAACACAGAAAAACACAACAGCACCCAATTTCCCCCTTGCAAAGGCTCAGATGTTCACTTTGGTACTGAGCTTCCGCTTCACGAAGCTCATAAAAATCAAAACAATAGAAACAAACAAAAAGAGAAAAACAAGTTTGTCATATGTTTTTATAAAAACGATAGTATAAAAAAACAGTTTTGGCATCAAAAAATTCTAAAAATATAGCACCAACAAGAGACAGGAAAACCTTATAAAACATTGTCACAACAACATGCCTGAAATGCATCTTTAAGAAGAGGCAAAAATGCAGTAAAATAGTGGATTTTGCCCAGGAACAGACATTATAGTTATTGCTAACTTTTTGTGCAAGTTTCACAAGTAGACAGTCTCCTCAGTTTCTTTTTCTACCTTGCTTCCTACAACTTGTCCTCCTCTGATGGAGGGTCTTTCAAGTCTTACTGTTTTTAGCGAAGAAGCCTAAACTTGTTGAAATGGCAGATCTGGTCTGGAAAACAAAATAATAAAAGAAAATAAAGGACAAGAAGGCACATATGGTTAACTCCCTTTCTTGAGTTACATACATTTCCATTTCCATTCCAGCCGTTTGGTTTTCATGGGCAAAGCTTGGGCTCCGAGGAGCCCATGTACTTTCTGATCAGTGGCTCACTTGCTACCTGGTTATCTTAAGATCCATTCATATGGCAGGAAAATCAGTGGAATTCCAGCACATGGGAGGGTCATGGTTTCAAGCCCAGGTATTCCAAATAAGCCAGACCTGGTACCCGCTCCTGTAATGTGTCTTCCGAGGCATCTCTGCTCAAGATTACTGGCGTTCATTCGCAAGCAGAAAGTACAGACTCCAGCTTATCGCCGACACTCTTAAAATAAGACAGCAGTTCTCAGAATGTAGGACCAATTCACTACTCCAGTGTTGGCAGTTTCTTCAGCGGTGGCACGGATGAGAAAGATGATACCTGGGCCAAGCAAAAGGTAGAGGAGGAAGAAAGCTTCCTTCTCTGGTTTGAATCGGCTTCCCTGAGCTGTTGCTTCCTGAAGGACCCAGGCGGTGAAGAGAACTTCCAGCCAACAGCCCAATCTGATGCAATGCCTGCTGGAGATAAATCTGGGCAAAGTTGACATTGCTGCAGCTATGCTGGGGAGCAGAGGGGCATCTCTGCCATACTTAGTATGTTCCCCGAGCAAGATGTTTTTGGCTGTTGTTCAGTGGGGGAGCTTGGAGCACAGCTTGGACCTTGAAATACTGATGGCGCGTGGGGAACAATATTGAACAATCTGCGACGTGTCCACTAGGAAGGTCTCCTGCTCACAAGCCAATGGAATGAATGCAAGGAGTGTGTGCCCACAGTTGTGCCCTTCTGCCTATCAGTGGAGCTTCCTTTTCCCCCTGAATGATTCTTATTTCTTGGCCAACCTGCTACCCATTCTGCTTTTACATTATGGCAACCTCCCTAGCAGTCTTCCCAACCTAGAAGCCACCAGGGTTGGGGAAGGCTGCTTGAGAAGTTGTGGGCTAGAAAAGCACGTCCCCACAGCTGCCTGATCCGAAAAAGGTCTCCTTTCTTTGGCAAGTGGCACAGAACCAGGAGGCACGTGAAAGGATCTCTCCAGCTCCATCCTCCATGGGAAAGAACCCATTGAGTTGCATCGTATCCACTGTATCAAACGCTGCTTCTTAGCACATGGCAGTGCCTTGATGGGTGGAAAGAGAGACGACCTACAAAAACAAGTTGCCCCAGCAGACAGATGTCATTTCCTTTCCGTAACAAAGCCAGTGGTACAAGGTAATGCCAAGTTAGGGTTGGGGGAACGGAGCTAACATTCATGAGGAAAATAGCAGCATCAATAAGTTTCAGACCTGATGTCCCTCTGCAGGAAGTCCTGTTGGGGGCATTGCAAACAAAGATCAACGTGTCCTACAGGTTGTGAGTCCACAGCAGCATAGGCATTTGCAGAATTTTTTGGAGGGTGGGGGCCAAATGTGACGCTCTTATTCCCCTTTGCTCAACCCCGAAGGCCAAGAGAACAGCCCCCGAGATCTTCTCTGCCCCCAGGTGAAACAAGAATTTGTGGGAAAGCTCAGAGGGGCTCTTGCAAGGGCCTCTGGGTCACTTCAATGGGTCTGTGCAAGAAAATTCCAGGTGGACTGTATGTTAACTTTAACAGCATGTTTTTTAAGATAGATTAGTAGTTTAAAAGTATACCTGGATGCATTTGGCAGAGTTGGATGGTCGATTTTCTTTTGCTCTAGCTACTATAATTATCCCACACTTGTGTTTCAACTAAACTCCTCTTGAGGAATTTCCACCATTCACACATAACGCTGAAAAAATCAGCAGCCAAGTGTCTCGCTTTTTTAAAAAAGTTTTTGTTCTATATATTTATATATATAGTTTAAAAGAAGGATAAAAAGGAGAAGAGTCTCCTCGTCTTATCCTGATTGTTTCCAGTGTACAAAACACAGCAAGGCAGGATAGTTGCTGCAATTTTGGTTTCTTCATGATTGTCCCTGGAGAGATTCTGTCGCTCATCCTTTTAAAAATTATTTTTCAAGTTTGGGGGGTTTTCGTACAGCCCGTCAGAAAACTGCCTTTCAGTCAGGCAGCGACTGACATTGATCTTAGGGGAAATGGTTGGCTAATGCTGCAGTCGTGACCTTCCATAGACACAACAGTGTTTTGCACGGTGAGTAAACAGAGGTCTTTTGACCTTTTCGAAATGTCAGTATTGATGGAAAGGAACATTGCCATCCTTCCAGTCTCCATGGTGGCGCTTGCAGATGGTGGCGAAGGGGAGATGCTGTGCTGTGGGTCGCACTTGCAGGAGGGTGTCGTTCCAAGCTCCTTGCCGCCCTCCTCTCCCAAGGCTGCTTGCTCAAAGGAGACCTGGGCACCCCACCTGCTCCCTAGTCGCAGGCAAAATAATCCTTGAGCGGAGCAAACAGGTGGCGGATGACCGGGACACTCCACGCCCTGCCAAGAAGCTTCTGGCGAGTTCCACGCCCCATGTTGGACAAGTCGGTGTAATGGTGGGGGAAGCCAAAGATCCTGTGGTAGCAGCAAAGAGAGTGGTTAGTTTAGTTTCTCTGATTTTCCTTAAAAAAAGGAAGCCCCAAAGCAATGTACAGCCACTAAACCTATAATCTGGTACGCAGGATGAGACCCTCCCTGCCCACAGACTGTCTTGCCAGAGTGGTGCATGCTCTGGTTATCTCTCGCTTGGACTACTGCAATGCGCTCTACGTGGAGCTGCCTTTGAAGGTGACCCGGAAACTACAACTAATCCAGAATGCGGCAGCTAGACTGGTGACTGGGAGCGGCCGCCGAGACCACATAACACCGGTCTTGAAAGACCTACACTGGCTCCCAGTACGTTTCCGAGCACAATTCAAAGTGTTGGCCGTTTAAAGCCCTAAATGGCCTCGGTCCTGTGTACCTGAAGGAGCGTCTCCACCCCCATCGTTCAGCCCGGACACCGAGGTACAGCTCTGAGGGCCTTCTGGCGGTTCCCTCACTGCGAGAAGCCAAGTTACAGGGAACCAGGCAGAGGGCCTTCTCGGTGGTGGCACCCGCCCTGTGGAACGCCCTCCCACCAGATGTCAAAGAGAAAAATAACTGCCAAACTTATAGAAGACATCTGAAGGCAGCGCTTTTTAGGGAAGCTTTTAATGTTTAATAGGTTATTGTATTTTAGTGTTCTGTTGGAAGCCGCCCAGAGTGGCTGGGGAAACCCAGCCAGATGGGCGGGGTATAAATAATATATATTATATTATTATTATTATTATTATTATTACATAAGCAACATGAAACCTAGCAACAAGACTATCGTATGCCGAAGTGAGTAAAATGGGGGATGATCAGACAAGCTGAGGGAAGTCAAAAAGGTGAAATTGGTGATAAAAAGAAAAGATGTTTCGATTGTATAATTTTGTATTGGAAAATTAATAAAAAAATTAATTAAAAAAAACCAAGACTATCGTATTCTGGGGAAACAAGACATCTCTGCCTATTGCAGAAACATCGATGAAGGTGGTGCCCAGGTGGCAGGACTGCCCCAAGATACTTTGGCACCTGAGATGAACCGAAAAATGGCACCACCTCCCCCTCGAGGGAAGAAGAGGCGTGCAAAGATGTACACCTGGAACAAGACGGGAATAAAGATTTACACTGGGAAGAATGGAGGGAGGAAACTGGCAGAGCCTCCTAATATTCACCAAGATATCACTTTCCAGGTGCCACGGGTCAGGTCCTGCCTCCAAGGAGTGTGCCGCAAGTGCTGCTGTGGTGGTAGCAGCATGCAACACACTCCTTGGAGGCCGGAATTGCTGCCCCATGGATACGGCCACCCAAGGTGGTTGCCACATCTTGCCTCTTGGATGGGCCAGCCCTGCAAAAGGGCCTTCGCAAAGAGAGCGCTCCATAGACAGGGAGCAATCACGGAGAAGGCCCGTTTTCTCCTCCACGCCCTTTGGATGTAACGTGCAGAGAAGGGTCTCTGCGTTTGGTGATGATTCCAGCGCCTGGGCAGTTTCACATGAGGAAATGTATTGTGGTCTCTTAGAGGGGAAACCAGAGCCTTGAATTGCTGAAAACTTTTCTATTCTGCCAGGCCTATGCAGAGTGGCTGGGACAACCCAGCCAGATGGGCGGAGTATTATTATTATCATTATTAGTCAGGCAATTAAGAATACACCCATACCCCACACCGGTCCACTGATGTTTCTTTTTCATTCTTTTGGTTTTAACTTGCTTTTAACATTTATGATTTTACTGTATGGTTTTATATAATTTTAAACTACTGCGATTATGATGCCAAGGTACAGATAAATATTATTCTCAAATAAATTAAATTGTTTTGCCTCATTTCCTCCCCTGTGGTGTAATGCGTTTACATTTATGTTTTCAAACGTAAGTCACTTGGAGACCTAGTTAGGTAACAAGCAACTGATAAGTCTAATAATGAATAACAACAGGAACAAATCATAACAATTGCAAGAGCGGTAGAAGTAACTACTCCATGACAAATAACCTTTAACATGCACCCCTTTGCGGGAAAACAAATATTTGCTCCTCTTGAAGAGAGGCTGGAGCCCCAACTGCTCTGAAGAAAAGAATTTCCTGGGCAGCCCCTGCCTGTTTCAGTTCATCTCTCCCTCCCTCCCTCCCCCCCCCTTGCCATGCGCCATTATCCCACCCGCCCTTGTATCCCACCTTTCCAATTCAGTGCACCACAAATTGTCGTCCTTGCCATTCATCCGCACTGGGAAAGTCTGGGCTTTTCCCTGCCTGATGGAATTAGACTTTGTGGTGATGGTCTGGACCTTTTTCAACTGGAAGAGAAGAAAAGCAAACATTTTTAAAAATGACCACCCTAAAGGACCCCTGACCATTAGGTTCAGTTGCGGAGGACTCTGGGGTTGCGGTGCTCATCTCACTTTACTGGCCGAGGGAGCCGGCGTACAGCTTTCGGGTCATGTGGCCAGCATGACTAAGCCAATTCTGGCAAACCAGAGCAGCGCACGGAAACACCGTTTACCTTCCCGCTGGAGTGGTACCTATTTATCTACTTGCACTTCATGCTTTCAAACAGCTAGGTTGGCAGGAGCAGGGACCGAGCAACAGGAGCTCACTCCATCGTGGGGATTCGAACCGCCGACCTTCTGATCGGCAAGCCCTAGGCTCTGTGGTTTAACCCACAGCGCCACCCGCGTCCCTACAAATGACCACACAAACCCTAAAAAATACAAGGACCTCAGTGTGAAGGTTTCCAGAAAGTGGTAGCATTAATGCCGTCCGGCGGAGGAAGGGAGGGAGGCTGGCTCTGTCCAGTGATTTTAGGCTTCTCATCCATCAGCCAGAAATGCGCTCAGATGTCACTGGTATGCCTTCAAGTGGCGGGGGGGGGTGAGGTATTTTGCCCAGAAGGCAGCTAAAAATATCCAGATGAAAAGCAGCCGCTGGGAGGTCACTGCTGGGCCCTCAGGAATGCGAAAGAGGGTCTTTGCATCTCTTCCTCAGAGGGGACAATGTCCCCTTAGTGGCGCAACCGCCCCCTCCAACCAAGAGATCCATTTTGGGCTTCATTTTGTCACATCTGTGGAATGTCTGAGTTCTTTGCTCACAAGTAGAGCAAGCGAGAGACAGAAGGGAGTGTGTCTCGCTGTTTTGTTCAACATAAAGAGCCTCACATGGGTGGGAAGGGGCAGCAGGAAAGAGGGGCTGAGAAGAGGGGCACCCCAGGGTCCACTAGAGATATAATACAGGCATTTTGGGACATAATTTGCAGGACGAGAGACCCAGGGGGCATTCCATAGCCCAGCCCTTTGCCAACCTGGAAACCTTCCAGCTGTTGTTGGCCAACAACATCTGGAGGTCAATGGGTTGGCAAAGGTTGTCGTTACCTTTCTTCCCCCCTCAATCATTCATAAGAATGGAGGGGGGAATAAGAATGGAGGAACTGCTTGAAATGGGGGGGGGGAGTACCAAAAGTACCTTGGCTGTTCTGCCGTACTCCAAGCAGTCCTGAAGTTCAAGTTTATCCGTCGTCGAAGCTACCAGGGGCCTAAGAAAAGACAAAGCAAATTACTCTCTTAAGCCACTGCCCCATTGTCCTCCAAGCTTATTGTTTTACAGCAACGTGGGGAAGCTTTGGCCCTCTATATGTTGCCGAGCGCATGTTGTTGTGGTTGTTGTAGTGTTTGGAAAGGTTCAGAAGAGGACTCCCGAAATGATGAAGGGCATGGAGCGACTCAACTACAAAGGTTGCAGTATTTGGGACTTTTTAGTTTGCAGAAGTAAGAGACAATAGGGCAGAATTTGTAAAATTATGCACAGCATACGGGATTTCCCAAACTTGGGTCTCGGGCTGTTTTTTGGACTACAGTTCCCATCATCCGTGACCACTGGTCCTGCTAGCTAGGGGGTGGTGGGAGTTGTAGTCCAAACACAGCTGGAGACCCAGGTTTGGGGAACATGGGAGAGGGATGTTTTTCTCCCTCATCACACTGGAGCTTGTGGAGATCCGATGAAGCTGAGCGATGGAAGATTCAGGACAGAGAAAAGGAAGTCCTTCTTCATACAGTGCAAGAGTTAAACTATGGAACTCCCGCCCACAAGAGGGGCTTCTAAATTACCTGTTCATCCCAGGCAGATTCCCCCAGAAGTATCGGGCCCGGTGTGCAGCCGAGACTTTGACGGCATCAATCATAATAGGGTTACACTGAAGACAAAAAGGGACGGCAGTTAGGGACGAAGCGGCAGAAGGACTAATTCACAATTCCTTTGACAGCAGGATTAGATGCAGCTTAGGGAAAAACAAGCAACTCCAAAAGTCAGAAAGATGAATTACAGAGTCGGCCACGACTGGACCTAATGTCCAGGGGTCCTTTTTCCTTTACCTTTGTGAACGGAAAAAATATAGTGAATGGATTCCTAGAATTGGTTGTATGCTGATTGTGAACAGTCCGCTGCACGGTCATCAGAGCGAGGCCACGCAAAGGAGCTGAGCAAGGTCCTTAAGTGCAGGGGCACCAATTATGAAAAGGGAAATGGAAAAGAGGTGGACAGTACAACAAAAATCATTTCAAGGGTTTTGGATGAAACACGGGCACAGGAAGGTCTTACACAACAGGGCATCCCGCTAATGGGCATTCACTTAACACCCCAAAAGCCTTGTTCTACCTTCTAAGGTAAAGGTAAAGGGACCCCTGACCATTAGGGCCAGGCATGGCCAACTCTGGGGTTGTGGCGCTCATCTCGCTTTATTGGCCGAGGGAGCCAGTGTACAGCTTCCGGGTCATGTGACCAGCATGACTAAGACACTTCTGGCAAACCAGAGCAGCGCACGGAAATGCCGTTTACCTTCCCGCCAGAGTGGTACCTATTTATCTACTTGTGCTGATGTGCTTTCGAACTGCTAGGTTGGCAGGAGCAGGGACCAAGCAACGGGAGCTCACCCCGTTGCAGGGATTCGAACCGCCGACCTTCTGATCAGCAAGTCCTAGGCTCTGTGGTTTAACCCACAGCGCCACCCGCATCCTGGTTCTACCTTCTAGTCTGCCCCTATTAGAACCCACCCATGCGAAAGCATGATCCATGCCTTCAATTAAATAATTGCAAGCACACTTTGCAGAGGTCAAGGGCGTTCTCAGTCATCCTCTGTTTTTTTCCCTTTTGTTTTTCAAAAGCTTGTGGCCCTTGAGGAAAAGACTGACCCCCCAGCCTTTACCTCCAGGAAACGAGAGATGTCCCTCTTGTCGTTGATGCGCATGGCCACGACGTTCTCAAACAGCCAAAAGAAGGGGCGCTCCTCCCCGGCTTTGGGGCGCGTGTAATTGAGAAGGTGGTAGAACTCGAAGAAGAGTCGCCCGGTCCCCTCTGCAAGGCGGAAGACAGGTAGGTCAAAGGAATGTAGGACATTAAAAAAATAAAATAACCTGGGGGTTGAGGAGCCAAGCTGAGAGCCCCAATCCATTCAAGGGCTCTTACCATACAGGCCCTTCCTGGCAGGGTTGACGATGGAGAGGTCGTTGCAGGGGCTTCCGCCAATCACCAGGTCAAAAGGGCCCCATTCGTCAATCTGCAACGGGCAAACAGAGCAATGGGTTTTGCAGAGTCAAGTGCAAAGTCATGTTGCCTGTCCTGTTTGTAAATCCCAGGCTTCTGGGGCTTCACAAAATCAGCGCCGGATTTACATATAAGCTAAACAAGCTATAGGGAAGTTTAGGGAAGCTTTTAATGTTTAATAGACTATTGTATTTTAATATTCTGTTGGAAGCCGCCCAGAGAGGCTGGTGAAACCCAGCCAGATGGGCAGGGTATAAATAAATTATTATGACTATTATTATTATTAATAATAATTTTTTATTTATACCCCGCCCTCCCCAGCCAAGGCCGGGCTCAGAGCGGCTTACAAGCAATAATAAAAACAAGAAAAATGATTACAACTTAAAAACAAAAATAAAATACAACATTAAAATAATGGAACATTAAAATATTAAAATGTAGCCTCATTGCAGGAGGAGAAGAAAAAGAAAAAGAAAGAGAGGGAGGGAGGGAATCAAATTGGCTCCAAGCCAAAGGCCAGGCGGAACAACTCTGTCTTACAGGCCCTGCGGAAAGAAATCAGATCCTGCAGGGCCCTGGTCTCATGAGGCAGAGCGTTCCACCAGGACGGGGCCAGTGTTGAAAAGGCCCTGGCTCTGGTTGAAGCTAATCTAACTTCCTTAGGGCCCGGACCTCTAGGGTGTTGCTATTTATGGACCTTGAGGCTCTCCGTGGGGCATACCGGGAGAGGCGGTCCCGTAGGTACGAGGGTCCTAGGCTGTGAAGGGCTTTAAAGGTCAAAAGCAGCACCTTAAATCTGACCCTGTCCTCCACCGGGAGCCAGTGCAGCTGGAAAAGCGCTGGGTGAATATGCTCCCATTACTACTACTACTAATACTACTACTATTATAGCTTAGGGCCCCACTCTCTTGGGGGCCCCCAAAAAATTAAAGGGGGGGGACTGGATGTGCATTTCCAAAATATAAGATAGAAAACAAATAAAATAAAACCTACATACAGCAACAGTGTTTTGTGTTGTGTAGGCTCCTATGATGTAAGTCATGGGCCCCCAATCATTTTAAGTTAGAGCTTAATAATTATTTCACTTTTAATATACTTCTTAATTGTATTGGTTCAACAATTACTTTGATGTGCAAATGGCTTTAGATATACCTACTAGGTCCATAAATTACCATATAGCATATATTCAACACAAAAAAACAGCAACAATTTGTTGTTGACAAAGGACCGCTGGACATATAAAGGGCCCCATTGCCTTCAGGGCCTCATCAAACCTAAACCTGGCCCTGCACAAAATGACCACATCGCAGAAGACCCCAGAAGAGCCAGACAGCAGGATCAGGCCCAAAGGAGCCCAGCATCCTCTTCTCACCGTGGTTATTTATAATAAAATAAACATCTTTTAAACCACAAGCCAACACTATATAAATTCTTTTCAATAAATAAATGTATTATCTGATGCTTTTCTTTGTGTGCCTCGTCCACGTGAGGTCATAGCTGTCAACTTTTCCCTTTTCTTGCGAGGAATCCTATTCGGAATAAGGGAATTTCCCTTAAAAAAAGGGAAACATTGACAGCTATGCGTGAGGTCCAGATGGTGGGAGTACAGGAACAGACTTTTTCTGCAGGGGCTCTCCATTTGTGAGATGCTCTCCCCAAGGAGGTTTGCTTGGCACCTTGATTACATATCTTTAGGGGCCAGGCAAAAACACTCGTCTTCTCCAAAACCTTTGGCTAATTAAAAAAAAGATGACCTTTTCAAGTGGAGTGGGGAGGTATTTGTCCTTTTCCCCCTTGTGCTATTATTATATTATGTACTTGATGTTTTATGTTGTAAACCACTGTATGGTCTCTTTATGGAAGTCAGTATATAAATTTAATAAATAATAACAAACATCTTGACCCGGCTTCCAATACAACCAGCCAGCCGCCTTAGCCAAGAAGCCTCAACTAGACCACAGGGAACCTCCTTACATTTTTCTTGGTTATGTTCCTGACGTCATGCACGTATTTGATGTTCCCTTCGTGCCGCACAGTTCCCACGGCTATGGACTCCTCGCAGATCTCAGAGGCGACGTACTTCTCCACCTGGATGCCAAGATCCCGCAGGACGAGGTAGCCTAAAGAGTCAAAGCACCACGCGTAAGGAGATGGAAGAGGTGACCCAGCGAGATCCCTCGGGATTCCCCGGCCAACAGCTCCAACTGTGGGAGCCAAGATGCGCAGGGTGTCTACATCCCGACAGAAACAAGAGACTCTCAGGAGCTGCAGTGTTGATGCGCATGCTCTGGCTGCTACTGTGGCATGGAGAATGACAATTTCCTGGTGCACGTTTTGTACACACACACACACACACACACACACACACACACGTCATGCATGCGCAACATCGTTTGATGAGGAACAACACTGCCAACGAAAGATCGGTGGTGGGACCAAAACAAATCACGAATGTCATGGGACAGCCTGGAAGATGCAGGACAGGGGAAGGGAGATGGACAGAGATAGACATGGGGTCAAATGAACCAGACTGGCCTTAAGGAAGGAGGGCACAGGCTCGACCACCACTGTGGGATGAGCTGTCCTTTAGCGGTGATGATGGCTGTTCTCGTCCATCCTCACTATGACCTAGCAAGGCAGAGCGGCATTTTTTCTCAAGGGTTATCAACGAACATTTTTCACAGTGCCATTACTATGCTACAGCTTGTGCCCAGCGCAGGACCACCAGGGCGTTCTCTGCGCAAGGGGACTAGGGGCGGAGATACACTCGTGGTTTTTAACCTTAAGGAATGGTTTTGATAACTATGGCTGGATCTCCACTGATCTAAAAAAAAAAGGCTAAGAAAAAGGAGTTGTAAAGCTCTCAATGCAATTTCCCATTGACTGATGTACAGTGCCCCGGTGTTACACTTTTATAACGCATTTATAACGTTATAAGGCGCCAGTATAGATCAGTCCTGCATGGACACACGACGTCCTACTTTTAACACTCATCATGCGTTATTAAACCAGCAGTAGGGAAACAAAATGGGTGAGATTGGCAAAGTAAATGATGGATCTGCCCATCAGCTAAATGACCCACTCACTGCCCTAGCAAACCTGTGATTTGAACCCAGCTTCTAGCATATTGGTGTGTGGCCCTTTGGACGTTTTGTTGTGTGGCTGGGGCAACCCAGTCAGATGGGCAGGGTGCAAGAAATAATTCTGTGACTCTCAGACATCAGAGTTCGTTGAGGGGAATCTCTCACCTGTTGCAATTCCATCAAAGAGAGACAGCACTCTGATTGGCCGCCTGTTTGCTGCTGGGATGGCAGGGTACATTTTTGGTGGCTCCTGTGAGAAGAGAAGGGGGGAGAGAGAGTAGAAATGGCACCACCAGCCGCCACCGGTGCCCATCTCTCCCACTGGCTTAAGTTCATTGCAAATATAGGAAGCCTCTTCTAAGGTTGCCACATGCAAGAGGTGTGAATCCTAGCCATTAAGAAAAATCAAATGAACAAGTTTCACATCACTAACTGGACCTAAGAACGTGGCGTAACAATAGGCTGCAGGATCAGGCCCATGGCCCATCTAGTCCGGCATCCTGTTCTCAGGATAGAATTTTATTATTACGGTCACAGACCAGTTCCGGGTCACTTACAATATCAGGAAAATCATAAAATGCAACAGGAATATACTGAATTGCAAATGGGTATAATGGAGACAATTCAGATATAGCGGTGGTTAAAAATATATATTAAATCTTGATCACTAAAATGTAACCTATAATTATCATGTAAATCTTCAATCGTTTTGGTAGTACAGCTTGTTCCCTAAGTTTTATGGCACTCGCACAGAATTTGGCCACCCTTAGCGTGAGGTCTGGATCCTCGTCCTCTACCAGGAGTTTTAGACATTGAAATTCAGACCCATTTTGAGATTTTTGTATAACAGGAGTGCATCCTGTTCTCACAGGCAGCAGCCAGATGTTTCAATGGGAAGCCGAAAAGCAGGATACGAACCTCAGAGCATCTCTACAATTCTATAATTCTACTTTAGGGCAGGTGGGCTACGCTGCCCCCCTTTAACAACACCCCTGTTTCCTTACGTATTCAAGCCCCTTCTCGTCTGTGAAGAACTCCTTCAGGCGGGTGTTCCAGTCGCCCCTCCTCTGAAGCACCCCGTGACGCTCTTGCGGCTGGCACATGTAGCAGCTCCAGGGGTCCTCCTTCCTGGCTGCGTCAGCCGCCCCGCGACCCACTAGCAGGTTCAGGCAGTCCACACAGAAGCACCTGCACGAAACAAGGGAAGAGGAACGGGGGGGGGGTGTCCGTAAGTGTCAGGAGCCGGGCCCTGTGACCAGTAGGGCTTCGCAGACTGAAGCCTTCCTGAGTTTGTTCTGGGGAGGCAAGGCACGGCTGCACAGGTGAGGCCGCTTGGTAACTCACAGCACCTGGTGGCAAGGGATATAATGCCAGCATTTTCCCTTCAGCTCTTTGCCACAGCAACACGTTCCCTGCCTTGCTGCGTTTGGCTTCTTGCTTCCTGATCCTCGGACCCTTGAATTCATGACTCCTTGTTTCTCGACCCTCAGACCCCTGACTTTGTGACTCCTTGCTTCTCGACCCTCAGACCCCTGACTTTGTGACTCCTTGCTTCTCGACCCTCGGACCCCTGACTTCGTGACTCCTTGCTTCTCGACCCTCGGACTCCTGACTTCGTGACTCCTTGCTTCTCGACCCTCGGACCCCTGACTTCGTGACTCCTTGCTTCTCGACCCTCGGACGCCTAACTTCGTGACTCCTTGCTTCTCGACCCTCGGACCCCTGACTTCGTGACTCCTTGCTTCTCGACCCTCGGACTCCTGACTTCGTGACTCCTTGCTTCTCGACCCTCGGACCCCTGACTTCGTGACTCCTTGCTTCTCGACCCTCGGACTCCTGACTTCGTGACTCCTTGCTTCTCGACCCTCGGACCCCTGATTTCGTGACTCCTTGCTTCTCGACCCTCGGACCCCTGACTTCGTGACTCCTTGCTTCTCGACCCTCGGACCCCTGACTTCGTGACTCCTTGCTTCTCGACCCTCGGACCCCTGACTTCGTGACTCCTTGCTTCTCGACCCTCGGACCCCTGACTTCGTGACTCCTTGCTTCTCGACCCTCGGACTCCTGATTTCGTGACTCCTTGCTTCTCGACCCTCGGACTCCTGACTTCGTGACTCCTTGCTTCTCGACCCTCGGACTCCTGATTTCGTGACTCCTTGCTTCTTGACCCTCGGACCCCTGACTTCGTGACTCCTTGCTTCTCGACCCTCGGACTCCTGACTTCGTGACTCCTTGCTTCTCGACCCTCGGACCCCTGACTTCGTGACTCCTTGCTTCTCGACCCTCGGACCCCTGACTTCGTGACTCCTTGCTTCTCGACCCTCGGACTCCTGACTTCGTGACTCCTTGCTTCTCGACCCTCGGACCCCTGACTTCGTGACTCCTTGCTTCTCGACCCTCGGACCCCTGACTTCGTGACTCCTTGCTTCTTGATCCTTGGACCCTTGACCTCCTGACTCCCTGCTTCTCGACCCTCGGACCCCTGACTTCGTGACTCCCTGCTTCTCGACCCTCGGACCCCTGACTTCGTGACTCCTTGCTTCTTGATCCTTGGACCCTTGACCTCCTGACTCCCTGCTTCTCGACCCTCAGACCCTTCTGGACTCTCATTCCTGCTCCCACCCCGCCATCTTGACCCGGTCCCGATGTCCTCAGCCAGGACTTCGATCGCCCGTAGACCGGACCGTGACAGTAAGATGGGCAGCTCCTCTGTTCCTCCACGGCCAGGAGGTAGAAATTCTGCAAAACGCATTATCAGTAAAGCCGGTATTACTATGCAAGAGTGAGGCCTGACCACAAAACTGGAAGCAACCAATTAAAGGAGAACCTAACGGCCGAATGCTACAAAGAAAAACAACTCCAGATAAAGCACAAGGAGGGTTCTGCATGTACAGCAACAAAGGGGGTATCTGAGGCATTTTCTTCCATATAGTGTGCATTAGTAGTAGTAGTAGTAGTAATAATAATTTATTATTTGTACCCCGCCCATCTGGCTGGGTTTCCCCAGCCACCTTGGGTGGCTTCCAACAAAGATTAAAAATACATTAAAATGTCACACACTAAAAGCTTCCCTGAACGGGGCTGCCTTCAGATGTCTTCTGAATGTAAGATAGTTGTTTATCTCTTTGACATCTGATGGGAGGGCGCCACTACTGAGAAGGACCTCTGCCTGGTTCCCTGTAGCTTTGCTTCTCAGCACTGGACCTCAGCGTCCTGGCAGAACGATGCGGGTGGAGTAAAGGTAAAGAACCCCTGGACAGTTAAGTCCAGTCAAAGGCGACTATGGGGTGCAGCACTCATCTCACTTTCAAGCCAAGGGAGCCGGCGTTTGTCCGCAGACAGCTTTTTCCAGGTCATGTGGCCAGCAGGACTAAACCGTATCTGGCACAACAGAACACCATGACGGAAACCAGAGAGCACGGAAACATTGTTTACCTTCCCACTGGAGGTAAACATTTATTTTATCTACTTGCACTGGTGTGCTTTCAAACTGCTAGGTTGGCAGGAGCTGGGACTGAGCAATGGGAGCTCACCCCGTCACGGGGATTTGAACCGCCGACCTTCTGATCAGCAATACAATCGCAGCTAGCTCAGGGGTTTGGTTCCAAGGGTTCTGTCATGGATGCTGTAGTTTAGACAGGTGAGGTCTCTCACCTGAAGCAGTTGGCATTGTCGCAGAGAAGCAGCTCGTTCCCCGCACAACAAATGCTGCAGTAAGCCTGGTACCCGTCTTCATCATACATGTAGAAAAATTCTAGGAACTGAACCTGCGAGGAAAAGAGATCCGTGGCAGATTTAAACAGTTTCCAATTTCCTGGGTGTCCCTAGCCCCAAACTAAGTATCAGAAGCCGCAGAGAAGGCCAGCCACCCCCAGCCTGGCCCCGTCCACATTTTTCGGACTACAGCTGAGGCTGTTGGGAACTGTAGTCCGAACCATCTGGAAGGGGCAAGGCTGGGGACATCTGCAGTATTTTTTTATTTAGCAAAATGTACATCCTGCTTGGTTGTACAAAAAAACTCAAAGCGGTTTAACAAAAAGAATAAAAGGATAGTGAAAACAATTAAAACAATGGCAGATTTTTTTTTTTTTTAAAAAGTTAATATTTCAATTGGACCAATCACATATTAAAAAATATTTATTCGGCGGTTGGGACATACCAAATTTAAGTAGCTATTGTGAAGCAAGCCAACTCAGCCATCCAGTAAGAGAATGCAGTAGTCAACACTGGAGAATATAGAAATTGATGGTGATCCTATAAGGGTATTAGCTTTAATGAAAAATAAGCTTTGATTATTGAGTTAAGTTTACAAATCCCAATGCAGTGGTACCGTGGTTCTCAAACTTAATCCATTCCTGAAGTCCGTTTGACTCCTGAAACCATTCAAAAACCAAGGCGTGAACTCAAGCGGAAGCTGCATTGGACATACGGCTTCTGAAAAGTGTTCACAACCCGGAACACTTACTTCCGGGTTTGTGGCGTTCGGGAACCAGTTCGTTCAGGAGCCAAGCCGTTTGACAGCCAAGGTACCACTGTTCACACGCATAATTTAGAATAGGGTAAAAAAAAAACGGGCAAAAGTTTTAGCTCCAGGACTGTCACCTATAATTCCAATACAGCATCGTCCTCTATTTCAAAATAAAAACAGATTATATAATGTGAATGTTGCAAGGACACCATTTATATTTGAAAGATTATTATAGGAAAGGACAACTTCTTACAGCAGCAAAAATGAAAGTCCATTTAGAGAACAATCAAATTTCATGGTTATTATGGTATCAGTGGAGATCAGCTCTTACAAATGCACAAATTAAGAACGAAGCGAGAAGGAAACTAACAGAAATCCCCTCAGACTGTGGTGGACTCCCCTTCATTGGGAGTTTTTAAGCAGAGGTCAGACGGCCATCTGTCATGGATGCTGTAGTTGAGATTCCTGCATTGCAGGGGGCTGGAAAATCCTATGTCTCTATGCCTTCTTACAGATGTGGAACAGTGCCAGTTCCGCAAATTGAATTGGCTTCCGTGGGGTAAGGCGATCTCGCAGGTAAACTGGTTCCGTGTTGTTAAGTAGGGCAATGGCCCTGCGCGAAACAGTTTGGAGGGGGGGAAACCCCCAAATCACCTGGGCGCTCACCTGGCAAGTCTCGCAGAGGCCCCCTTCGAACAGGGGGTGGGTGGTCACCGGATCCTTCTTCCAACATGACAAGCAGCTGTCTGTTCAACGAGTGAAGGACAGGTCAGTAGAGTTTTAATAAGCACTCCTTAGGGTGCATCTGACATAAGGCAAAATGGTCCCAGCGTTCAGTCTGGAGAGATTCTACCAATCCCGGTAGAGAGGCCAATGGTCTCACATGGCATTGATTGATTGATTGATTTCTATACTGCTTAATATGTTAAAAATATCTCTAAATAGAGTGCAGAGAACTGTAGCAACAGCAGCCCTTCTGACTCCTTCCGACTTCTATGATTCTAAATAAAATATTACAAAATACAGTTACATTCAACAACATGGCATTGATACAAAGTTAGTAACGCATATAAATCAATTATCAATTCATTTTCCAATGTCAATTCACCCATCCCCCTCAGCCTCCGGGTTCTCACCCGGCGTCCAAACAAACTCCTCTCACTCACAAAAGTCTCACAATGGGAAGAGTTCCTGGAACAGAGGACATCTCCCTAGACTCCGACTCTAGACTTTTTGGAAGTCTAAAGGTAAAGGTAAAGGGACCCCTGACTGTTAGGTCCAGTCGTGGCCGACTCTGGGGTTGCGGCGCTCATCTCACTTTATTGGCCGAGGAAACCAGCGTACAGCTTCAGGGTCATGTGGCCAGCAGGACTAAGCCGCTTCTGGCGAACCAGAGCAGCGCACGGAAACGCCGTTTACCTTCCCGCTGGAGTGGTACCTATTTATCTACTTGCACTTTGAGGTGCTTTCGAACTGCTAGGTTGGCAGGAGCAGGGACCGAGCGACGGGAGCTCACCCCGTCGTGGGGATTCGAACCGCCGACCTTCTGATCGGCAAGTCCTAGGCTCTGTGGTTTAATCCACAGCACCACCCGCAGTTGGAAGTCTAGATGTTGGCAAATTTGATGAAAAGTAGCTCAAAAACAAAAAGCTTAACAACTTTGCGTCCAGATATAATAATAATAATAATAATAATAATAATTTATTATTTATACCCCGCCCATCTGGCTGGGTTTCCCCAGCCACTCTGGGCGGCTTCCAACTGAATATTAAAAACAGTACAGCATCAAACATTAAAAACTTCCCTAAAGAGGGCTGCCTTCAGATGACTTTTAAAAGTAAAATAGTTGTTTATTGCTTTGACATCTGCTGGGAGGGCGTTCCACAGGGCAGGAGCCACTACCGAGAAGGCCCTCTGCCTGGTTCCCTGTAACCTTACTTCTCGCAATGAGGGAACCGCCAGAAGGCCCTCGGCGCTGGATCTCAGTGTCCGGGCTGAACGATGGGGGTGGAGACGCTCCTTCAGATATACTGGACCGAGGCCGTTTAGGGCTTTAAAGGTCAGCACCAACACTTTGAATTGTGCTCGGAAACGTACTGGGAGCCAATGCAGATCTCTCAGAACTGGTGTTATGTGGTCCCGGCGGCCACTCCCAGTCACCAGTCTAGCGGCCGCATTCTGGATTAATTGCAGTTTCCGGGTCACCTTCAAAGGTAGCCCCACGTAGAGCGCGTTGCAGTAGTCCAAGCGGGAGATAACTAGAGCATGCACCACTCTGGCAAGACAGTCTGCGGGCAGGTAGGGTCTTAGCCTGCGCACCAGGTGGAGCTGGTAGACAGCTGCCCTGGACACAGAATTAACCTGTGCCTCCATGGACAGCTGTGAGTCCAAAATGACTCCCAGGCTGCGCACCTGGTCCTTCAGGGGCACAGTTACCCCATTCAGGACCAGGGAATCCCCCACACCCGCCCGCCCCCTGTCCCCCAAAAACAGTACTTCTGTCTTGTCAGGATTCAGCCTCAATCTGTTAGCCGCCATCCATCCTCCAACAGCCTCCAGGCACTCACACAGGACCTTCACCGCCTTCACTGGTTCTGATTTAAAGGAGAGGTAGAGCTGGGTGTCATCTGCATACTGATGAACACCCAGCCCAAACCCCCTGATGATCTCTCCCAGCGGCTTCATATAGATATTAAAAAGCATGGGGGAGAGGACGGAACCCTGAGGCACCCCACAAGTGAGGGCCCAGGGGTCTGAACACTCATCCCCCACCACCACTTTCTGGACACGGCCCAGGAGAAAGGAGCGGAACCACCGTATAACAGTGCCCCCAGCTCCCAGCCCCTCTAGACGGTCCAGAAGGATGTTATGGTCGATGGTGTCAAAGGCCGCTGAGAGATCCAGCAGAACTAGGAAACAGCTCTCACCTTTGTCCCTAGCCCGCCGAAGATCATCAACCAGCGCGACCAAGGCAGTTTCAGTCCCATGGTGAGGCCTGAATCCCGATTGGAAGGGATCCAAATGGTCCGCATCCTCCAGGCGTGCTTGGAGTTGTCTGGCAACCACCCGCTCAATCACCTTGCCCAAGAATGGTAAATTTGAGACTGGGCGATAGTTGGCCAAATTGGCTGGGTCTAAAGATGTTTTTTTAAGAAGCGGTTTAATGACCGCCTCTTTCAGCGGGTCTGGGAAGGCTCCCTCATAGAGGGAAGCATTCACCACCCCGCAGAGCCCATCGCCCAGCCCTTCCCGGCTCGCTTTTATCAGCCAGGATGGGCAAGGATCCAGGAGACAGGTGGTCGGTTTCACTTGTCCAAGCAGCCTGTCCACATCCTCGGAGGTAACAGATTGGAATTGATCCCATGTAACAGGACCAGACAGAACTCTAGCACTCTCCCACCCTGGCCCTGCTCCCACGGTGGAGTCTACCTCCTTCTGAATCTGAGCGACTTTATCTGCAAAAAACTTTGCAAAAGCATTGCAGGAGATCTTGGGGTCCCTACCAGGCCCCGGTGGTGCAGGTGGTTCCGATAGATTGCGAACTACCTGAAAAAGTCTCCTGCTGCTGTTTTCTGCAGATGCAATGGAGGCGGTGAAGAAGGCCCTCTTCGCCGTCGCCATTGCCACTTGGTAGGCTCGACGTTGAGCTCTAGCCCGTGTCCGGTCTGATTCAGAATGAGTTTTCCGCCACCGGCGCTCTAGCCGTCTCAACGATTGTTTCATCACCCTCAGCTCCGGGGAAAACCACGGGGCTGTCCGGGCTCCATGCAATCGGAGAGGGCGCTTCGGAGCCAGACAGTCAATAGCCCTGGTTAACTCCGCATTCCAGCGGGCCACCAGGGAATCAGCTGAAAGGCCATCAACTTGGGATAAAACATCCCCTACCACTCTCTGGAAGCCAATTGGATCCATTAAGTGGCGGGGGCGGACCATCCGAATCGGTCCCACCTCCCTGCAGAGGGGAAGGGTCGCGGAGAAGTCCAGTTGCACCAGGAAGTGATCTGACCATGGCACTTCTTTTGTTTCGCTTTTAGATAATGTCAGATCACCAACATCTGTAGAGGTAAACACCAAGTCTAAGGCATGTCCGCGGCTATGAGTTGGGCCAAACTTATTCAGGGACAGCCCCATGGAGGCCATGCTTTCCACGAAGTCCCGAGCGGCCCCTTGTAAGGTCGTGTCGGCATGGATGTTAAAATCCCCCAGGACAACCAAGCTAGGTGTCTCCAGGAGCATATCCGCCACGACCTGAAGCAGCTCGGGCAGGGAATCCTTGGTGCAGCGGGGAGGTCGGTACACCAATAGGAATCCTGTACTGCCCCTATTGCCCAACTTCCAGAACATGCACTCAGAAAATTGGGTCTTCCCAATAGGACGCCTGGTGCAGACTAATGACTTCCTAAAAATCACTGCAACCCCCCCTCCCCGCCCACATGACCTGGGTTGCTGTGCATAAGAGAAACCTGGTGGGCAAGCAGCGGCAAGGACAGGCCCATCTGCCTCATCCAACCAGGTCTCTGTCACACATGCCAGGTCAAATCCTCCATCCACAATCAGGTCGTGGATGGCAGTGGTTTTATTCATCATTGACCTGGCATTGCACAGCAACACTTTCAGGTCATGTGGGTTTCCCTTGCTGATTCCAGTATCCTTCCGGTCAGGACCAGACCTGGAGGCAGGGATAGTCCTCAACCAACGACTAAACCTGCCTCCTCGGTAATGACATGGTCTGGTCTTAGCGTAACTCCTCCTCCGGCCCGTGATCACTGAGATCGGGTGTCCCAATACATTCCCTCCTGTGGAACCTGCCCCAGCCATTCTATTGGCTGAGGCCCACTCCCAGGCAGCCCTGACCCTTCCCCTTAAAAGGCAAAATACAAACTATATAATAACTTAACAGAATAATAAAAATAGAAGCACAACAAAAAACAATAGTGCTAAAATTAAACTGTTCCCCACCCTAACTAAATACTTAACCAACCGCAAACAGAAATAAAATTATAAAATTATAAAACATTATAAAAAACAACCACCACCATTTAAGGTGCAGCAAATTAAAAGCAGTTAAAGCATTTAAAACCATTTTGTCACTTGCTGCAGGTAGCTGCTCAGGCCTCTAAACTGTAGTGGTGAGTGCAGGCCCCGCCCCCTAGGCCAGATGGAATTGGCAGGAGAGGGAGCGGTCCTCCCAACACTCAAGCAGGCAGCAACAGCAGCAGTGTCCCAGAGGCCTTGATGGAGGCCCTCAAGCTGAGGCGATGAGTGCAGGCTCCGCCCCCTAGGCCAGATGGAGTTGGCAGAAAAGGGAGCGGCCCACCAAACACTCAGCAGAGCAGCTTTTTGAAAAACAGTGGACACTCGGGTTGTGAATGTGATCCGTGCGGGAGGCACGTTCACAACCCACAGTGTTCGCAACCCATAGCGGCACGTCTGCACACGTGCGGGTTGCAATTCGGCGCTTCTGCGCATGCACAAAGCACGATTTAGCACTTCTGCACATGCGTGGCTGCCAAAACCTGGAAATACAATGGTACCTCGGGTTAAGAACTTAATTTGTTCTGCAGGTCCATTCTTAACCTGAAACTGTTCTTAACCTGAAGCACCACTTTAGTTAATGGGGCCTCCTGCTGCTGCTGCGCCGCCAGAGCACGATTTCTGTTCTCATCCTGAAGCAAAGTTCTTAACCCGAGGTACTATTTCTAGGTTAGCGGAGTCTGTAACCTGAAGCATATGTAACCCGAGGTACCACTGTAACCCGTTCCAGTACTTCTGGGTTTCGGCAGCTCCGTAACCCGAAAAAACGCAACCTGAAGCGTCTGTAACCCGAGGTATGACTGTATGGCAACCCTATTTTCATGGGCAGCTCAAGGTGGATGGTCCTTCCTCTTCCATAAATTACTCCAACCCTCTTTTCAAGTCATCCAGGTTGGTGGCCATCCCTGTAGTAGGGAGTTCCACAGTTTACCTACGTGTTGCGTGGTCAGCATCAGCAACCTGAATATTATTCCTTTCCATCTGCTACTGACACATCCACAACTACATGGGCGAGACTCAAATATGCCCTGTCTATTGACAGGGAGTATCTGCAGGTGGGGGTGCAGTCCTCTGGGCTTGAATCAGGCCAGGTTTTGATGCTAAAGATGCTCTTTACCAGGGGTCCCCAAACTAAGGATCGTGGGCCGGATGAAGTCCAAGGGACTCGTTTATCCGGCCCGCAACAACGCCCACCACCGCCACCCGCTCTTACTGGGGCTGTGCTGCGCAGCTGCCCACTTCCGGGTCGGAGGAGCACCAGAAATAGCTTGTGCGCATGCGCTATTTGCACATGTGTTTTTTACAGTGCACATCCGGATCAGAGGAGGCCCCTGCACATGCGCACAAGCTATTTCCGGTGCTCCTCTGACCTGGAAGTGCGCCAGAAATAGCGCGTGTGCATGTGTATGGGCACGTGCTCCCCTGCCGTCTGGCCCGCCGTGCGATCAGCGCTGGAGACACCGGCCCGAGGCGTGGTAAGTTTGCTGACCCCTGCCGTTTACCTTCCAAGCTCTTCTTGTTGTGCCTGACTTCAGAAGCCATCGACTCTGGAAAGAAAGCGGCAACGACAAGTTAGAGAGTGTAGTGCCTCCCCCCAGAGGGGCCAGGACACAAACCCACAGGCGGCAAACTGTGACTTCTTGGAAAAGTTTCAGAGTTGTACGAAGAACCGGCTTTCTATGTTCTATAGGATTAAATGGCACATACACACTCCATATCCCCACGTACTGACATCAGGCAGGAACCTGGATGGTACTCTTTTCGACACCTACTAAAAACTTTGTTTAGACACTCCGACCCAGATATGCAGAACACTGACATCTGCTTTAATCTGCTTCTAGCTTATCGCTTATTGTAATTATGATCTGAATGCTGTTTTTACTTTTGTTGTATTCCTTTTGTAAACCACTATGAGTTCGTTTGTTTCTCTGCAATCGAGTGATATATAAAATTTATGAAATAATCCTTTTTTTAAAAAAAAAAATCTCCCTGCACATAGAACACTAGCATGTCAGGGATTTTAGCTTTATACACTTTTATGATGTGCAGTAAGGGTTGTTGTTCTTGTTTCAATAAAATTGTACCTCTGCAGGTGCCTCTCCCTCCCTCCCTCCACACACCCCAACCCCAATCCGGCCCCAATCCTACCTCTGCTCTGGTTCTCCTCCGCCTGCTCCTTGTTGCTCCCATTGCAGACATTGGTCTTGAGCCGCTTGGCTGGGGGGGCAGGTTCAGGCGAAGGCAGTTCAGGAGCGGCAGATTCTTCAGAGCTTTTCTGGCTGAGGAGACTGCTGTCTGCAGAGAAAGAACAGCTGGTTTTAGTTGGGACGGACATCTTCTTTGGCAGGCAGAAAGGGGAAAGGGGAATGGTTTGTGGGCAGGTTGGGGGTCCTGGATTGTGGGGTTCGCTATCCCCACAAGGAGCCACAGAGGCCTTCTCCAAAGATTGCATCCTGCACAGGGAAAGCTAGTAGGAATGTCCAGCACAAGCAAGCCTATGCTGAAGACAAGACGGTCAGGTTCCCTGTTAAATATTCAAGCTGTGAACCCCATAATTCTGCACTGTGAACAAATCTGGAGAATTTGTGTGTAGGCAGCAGGCCACAATGTGATAAGAATTTTAAGGTCTTAGATATATAATAAATGTACCAACCAAGCATGTACATAGATCAGCACAGGAAGACCGACCTGAAACCATTTTTGATTCCCAAACTGTCCCAAAATGACCAAATGTTTTCTCTGCAAGGTCAAAGGAAAATGGAAAAGCCTCCCCATTGTCTTTTCCTTCACAAATCCTGTCTTAAGGGTATGTCTGTGTATGAATAGGGTGAGCCTGTGACCTGGCTCAGGAACTAAGTATTTATCATTACAAAAGACTGGCCAGGCTCCCCAGGGTGTCCGATCAAGTGACCATTAAACAGGTAACCTGGCAGACAGGAGGTAAACAAAGCACTCAGATTTCTGCTGTAGACCACCTTTTCTGTGATGTAGATATGATGTATCTGGAGCTGGTGAGTGAGGACCCTGTCACAAGAGATCAATAAAGATCAGGCTTACTAGCTGCTTTGCTTCTCAATATTCTCTGGTTGGCCTCTGTTATTTTCTCCTACCAATAGGGAACCCACGTAAGGACTCTATATGGGCTCTTGGACACCCCATAAGGGAAAAGGGGCAGGTGTATAACAGCTCTCCGAGGGACCGGGCTCCCACTGCCCTCCTTGCTGGGTTTCCTTGCCCAATCCCCCCCCCCCAGCCAGCTCCTTACCTGAGGTCTTGGGGGGCTTCAGTCCTTTCCCTCCGGTGGGCTTGAAGCCATTCATGGCCCACTCCACCATGGGTTTCAGCTTGTCTTCAAGAGAATCTCCTGGAGCACTCGAGAACGACTTGCCTGCTCGGCTGCTTGCCACCTGCCAGGAGGAAGAGGAGAAGGCCTTACGAAGGTGTCGCAGAGCAGGTGGGCATCCTGGATTGTGCTGCCTAAATTCTCGCCCCTGGCTGCTTCACGGTAGAGCAGGATGTGTAAGACTCCTTGCAGCTCCTACCAGATATAGGTTAGGACCTATAAAGTCCCATATGCCTTGGGCCCAGGCTACCCAAAAATGTTGGTTGGCATCCGTCTGTCTCAGGAGACAATGGAGTGTACCTCCGGGGGTGTCAGCAAGACTGACGTGGCCTCTCCAGGGCACAATCCTGGCCAGTGTGTGTGGAAGTCCTGGGCTATTCCTGTTAGGATATTGATGTTCCGTTCCACCTAAACAAATGCGTGGAGCTGTTGTATGTCACATATCTGTTTACATTCCAGCACAGCTTGCTGGGAACTTCCGTTTGTGTATAGCTTTTGCTTTATGCTTCTTGCTGGGACATGAAAGGGAGAAGACATGTTTTTTTTCCTTTGTCCTGATGTATGCTGAATATGCTCACTGGAAGGACAGATTGTGAAGCTGAGGCTCCAAGACTTTGGCCACCTCATGAGAAGACTCCCTGGAAAAGACCCTGATGCTGGGAAAGATGGTTGAGGATGGAGAAGGGGACGACAGAGGACAAGATGGTTGGATAGTGTTCTTGAAGCTACCAGCATGAGTTTGACCAAACTGCGGAAGGCAGTGGAAGACAGGAGTGCCTGGCGTGCTCTGGTCCAGGGGGTCACGAAGAGTCGGACATGACTAAACGACTAAATAATAATATTATTATTAAACAACAATGCTGAATAAACTGCTTGTGAATACACTGTAAAGGGACCCCTGACCATTAGGTCCAGTTGTGGCTGACTCTGGGGTTGTGGCGCTCATCTCGCTTTACTGGCCGAGGAAGCCGGCGTACAGCTTCCGGGTCATGTGGCCAGCATGACTAAGCTGCTTCTGGCGAACTAGAGCAGCGCACGGAAATGCTATTTACCTTCCAGCCAGAGCGGTACTTATTATTCAAAAAGTGAGTTTCTATTCACATGGAGGAAGCCTAGAAGGCCATTAACTGTTAATAACTCATTCTCTTATTGCCCCCCTTAAAAATCAAATTGACCCCCTTGTGGGGCGTGTGTCCCACGTTGGGAACCGCAGTTCTAGTCCTACGCTAGGCAATTCAGGAATCACAGCTACACCACCGAACTTCAGGATGCTTTTACCCTCATCCTTAGAAGACAGACGGGAGGTCCATTGAAGAAAGGTGGAGACCAGGACCCTCCTGCTTTTTCCTTGAGAAGGTGTATTGTAAGGTTATTCCCGCGGCTCCCTCCTCTGGGTGGAATCACGCCAGGCCCTGCTAGCCAGGCTCCCCGTCTCTCTGCCTGCCCCTTACCTCCAAGACGTGAAGGATGGCTTGCCGGTAGGAAACCAACTTGTGGAACGTGGTGGAGTTGAAATGCTCCTGGAACGCCAACAGCCCCACCAGCTTGTCTACCGAGACCTGCAGTGGAAACGGCAAAGCTCAGCCACGGGAACAAGAGGGCTTCTCCCGCGATCAGGACAGGGCCACGGGGCTGCTTTGAGGAACATCACCCACCCACCGCCCCCTGCAAAACTCCTCAAGAGGAGGGAGAGAGGATGCTGGGCTGGGAGGCAGTTACAGGGCCTTTTCAGTGGTGGCTCCGACCTGGTGGAATGCTCTGTCCCAGGAGACCAGGATTTAACCTCCTTCCGTTGGGCCTGTAAGACAGAGCTATTCCACCTCGCCTTTAATTTGAATTCAGCCTGATCTTTTATTTCCCTTCTCTTCCTTCTCTTAAAATTAATACAATTTTAAAATTCTCTTAAAATTTTTGAATTTTGTTATTCATGTTTTTATACTGTATTTTATGTTGCCTTTATAAAGTGTTTTAAATTTGTTGTAAGCTGCCCTGAGCCCGGTTTTTGAACCGGGAAGGTCAGGGTATAAATAAATTTATTTATTATTATTATTATTATTATTATTATTATTATTATTATTATTATTACATCTGGAGACCCAGACAGGTGAAGGCTGCTGCGCTAGTACAACTCCCGCATCCTGCAGATTGCCATATTTAGAGGGGGTTCACTGTGAGCTTGCCATCCTATAGCATGGCATTAATGCTCAGCATCGCCAGGGCCACCACCATCTGCCATCGTTCCCCCCCTAACACTTGGAAGATGCGAGTAGCCACTTTCATAAGTGCAAAAGGAGGTCTACAAATACTCCTTGTGTCTGTCCCAATGTCTGAACGGCTCAACTCCAGGAATCACGTTTCAAGAAAGGCTAAGAAATATAGCTCTGGGAAGGACACACAAACACACACCCCAGTTCGTATCCGGATTTGAGGACTGAAAAAATATTGGTTTACAGAAGATGGAATGGTTGGATGTTAAAGAGTGAACACTATATTTAGCTGCAGGACAGAAAACTGGAAGTCTTTTTATTTCTCTCTCCTTTCTCTTTTTCTTCCTTCCTTTATTGCCCATTTTGCTTATTTCTGCCTCTGTTCCTTTCTACACTCTTTTATTTCAGTGTATTATTAAAAAATATACTTTGTTTTGGGTATGAACTTTTGTATATCGTTAGACAGATATATATATATATAGAGAGAGAGAGATAAACGCAAACATACACACGTTTATATATACTGGATGAGTGCAGGTGATTTTCCTGGTGCCCACTGAAAGCATTTCCTTTGTGTATTCTTCATTTTACCTCGGGGGCGAGATACCAAGTGCCCCCCACCAGCATCCATCGGCAGCCCTCCCCCTCCTTTCCCCTCACCTCCGAAAACTTTCCATCGCCAAACCACTGGACCCAACGTATCCCGGGGGCCGCCTTGCGGTTGAATGTGGCCCTCCATGACACAACGATGGCGGGCCACCAAGCAAAGCCCCTGATCTTCCCCCACACGAGCTCGCCGATTCGAAAACCCTTGTTGTCCTGGAAAAAACCAAATGAGATTGAAGATAAGCAAGCGGAAAGAAACAGGCTGCTAACGGGGAGTTTTCAGGGAGCCCCCGTGGCCTGTCAGTGGCTCTTGAATCAGTGGCTCCATGAAGCCCCCAGGGTCACCAACAGTAATAATAATAAATTGTATTTATATCCCGGGACGCGGGTGGCGCTGTGGGTAAAAGCCTCAGCGCCTAGGGCTTGCCGATCGAAAGGTCGGCGGTTCGAATCCCCGCGGCGGGGTGCGCTCCCATTGCTCGGTCCCAGCGCCTGCCAACCTAGCAGTTCGAAAGCACCCTCAGGTGCAAGTAGATAAATAGGGACCGCTTACTGGCGGGAAGGTAAACGGCGTTTCCGTGTGCTGCGCTGGGTCGCCAGATGCAGCTTGTCACGCTGGCCACGTGACCCGGAAGTGTCTCCGGACAGCGCTGGCCCCCGGCCTCTTGAGTGAGATGGGCGCACAACCCTAGTCTGTCAAGACTGGCCCGTACGGGCAGGGGTACCTTTACCTTTACCTATTTATATCCCGCCCTCCCCAGCCGAAGCCGGGCTCAGGGCGGCTAACAACAATAAAACAGTACAACAGTATTAATAATAATATAATAATTTATTATTTGTACCCTGCCCATCTGGCTGGGCTTCCCCAGCCACTCTGAGCGGCTTCCAATAAAGATTAAAAATACATTAAAATGTCACACGTTAAAAACTTCCATGAACAGGGCTGCCGTCAGGTGTCTTCTAAAAGTCTGGTAGTTGTTGTTCTCTTTGGCATCTGGTGGGAGGGCGTTCCACAGGGTGGGCGCCACCACTGAGAAGGCCCTCTGCCTAGTTCCCTGTAACCTCACTTCTCGCAGGGAGGGAACCGCCAGAAGGCCCTCGGCGCTGGACCTCAGTGTCCGGGCAGAACGATGGGGGTGGAGACGCTCCTTCAGGTATACTGGACCGAGGCTGTTTAGGGCTTTAAAGCTCAACACCAACACTTTGAATTGTGCTCGGAAACGTACTGGGAGCCAATGTAGGTCTTTCAAGACCGGTGTTATGTGATCTCGGCGGCCGCTCCCAGTCACCAGTCTGGCTATCACATTCTGGATTAGTTGTAGTTTCCGGGTCACCTTCAAAGGTAGCCCCACGTAGAGCGCATGACAGTAGTCCAAGTTGCCGTCTTCTGCTCCCTTCCCATCAGCAATTTTGGGACAGGCAAGATGCTGAATGAAGCATGCCTTTGGCCTGAAGTAACAGGGTCCTTTTAGGGTTGGCAAGCGGTTTTCAGGAAAAGGCTGGGACTGGACTCAAGATCTGGAAGGGCCCCCAGCAAAAAAAAAGGAAAAGGAAAAAAAAAGGCGAGGGTGCCTTTTATTGTTGTTGGCATCTATTGCAAGAGACAGTGGAGTGTGCCTCCTCTGGTGAAGTCAAACCGCTGGGATAACCCATAACTACTGCCTCCTGCATTGGTTAAGCTGTCAGGTAGTTGTTTATTTCTTTGACATCTGATGGCGGGCGCTCCACAGGGCAGGGGCCCTACCAAGAAGGCCCTCTGCCTGGTTCCCTGTAACTTGGCTTGCAGTGAGAGAACTGCCAGAAGGCCCTCGGCGCTGGACCTCAGTGTCCGGGCAGAACGATGGGGGTGGAGACGCTCCTTCAGGTATACTGGGCCGAGGCCGTTTAGGGCTTTAAAGGTCAGCACCAATACTTTGAATTGTGCTCGGAAACGTACTGGGAGCCAATGTAGGTCTTTCAAGACCGGTGTTATGTGGTCCCGGCGGCCGCCCCCAGTCACCAGTCTAGCTTCCGCATTCTGGATTAGTTGTAGTTTTCGGGTCACCTTCAAAGGTAGCTCCACTTAGAGCGCATTGCAGTAGTCCAAGCAAGAGATAACTAGAGCATGCACCACTCTGGCGAGACGGTCCGTGGGCAAGTAGGGTCTCATCCTGCGTACCAGACCATATTTGAAACCATTTAACCAACAAAACGCTCCTCTTTTTGAAATCCGACTGCTGTACATTTAACCTGCTGTCCTGTAGTCGTTTTGCTTCACTGTCACCGTCTTTTGAATCCGTTACCCACCCCTGAGAGGACTTGGGCAACAGGGGGGGTGTCCAACGCAGTTTGCACAGCCACCGTTGTGCCCACCGGCGACTCCAGCTGTGGGATTCAATAAATCCACAAGGCTCCAGGGATAGTTTGCTCTCCCTGCTCAGTTCCTGCTCCCACTAGTCACCTGCTTCAAGAGGCCCAAACGTCTATCTCTGTTTTCAGACACGGCAGCCATTTTGCACGATGACACGTCCCCCGCGGCAGCCATTTTATGACTGGCGCCCAATGCGCTCTCTCAAGATCCCAGGTGTGACCCCTTGGCCCCCCAAAAGTTTGGAGACCCCTGAGCTAGAGACTGGGATCAAAATACTTTTGATAATAAAAGCAAACTAAAAAATATAGTATAGGGCAGTATATAAATTCAATCAATCAATCAATCAATCAAATTAATTAATTACTTAATTAAAAAATTAGTCACATAAGCGAAATCCATCTGCAATGCTTTGCCCCAAAACCAGGACCAGAAGACTCAAAAAAAGAGGTCATGGTGGTGCAGTGGTTCCAGGCGAGAACCAAGGAGAGACCAGGGTTTGAATCCCCACTCGACAAACGTGAAGCTCACGGTGTAATTTGGGGGGCCAGTCTCTCCCTCGCAGCCTAGCCTACCCTACAGGGTTGTTGTGGGGCTTGAGCTACAGAGCAACGTAAACTGCTTTCATCTCCATGGAGGGAAAAAGTGGGACATCTCCAATTCTATGATTAATGCAATGCATAAATGAAAATAAGGATGCAGGTGGGGTTTTAGTTATTATACTGTAATCTTTCCCCCCAAATAATCCATGTGTGCTGCTCCAGACTGCAACCCCTTCTTCTGACCACCCTGGGTTTCAGAGCTGTCCACCCCCTTGCTAAGCTTCAGCCAGGTAGCCACGCCAGCCCCCTCCCCACCAGGCAAAAGCAGCCCCACCTGGTATTCCTCTGCATCACTCGGGGTCCCTGTCAAGAGGCAGCCATTTGGTACCCCAATATTGCTGCTGCCGCCGCTCTGGCCGGACTGCACAAGGTTCTCCTCTGAGTAGTCCACTTGGGCAAATGCAGAGATTCTCCTGGAAAACTGGTAGAGAGGAAGAAAAGAGCTGAGCTCCTTGAGAAAAGAGATGGATGAGACCAAGGGATTTCGGTGAGGCCGGTGTCACATGTGCAAAAAGGCCTGGCCCCCCTAAAAACTGGTAAGAACCATTTACGGAGGTACCAGATGGCTAGATGCTAAAGGGAAAAACAACTCTGGGTGAGGTACAAGCAGGGTTCTAATATGTGCAGTAAAGAAAATGGGTTGAGTAAGTGTTTCTAAGGACTGTGGTTTTATGAGAGTGTGGGGTGCTGGGGTGGTTGGATAGAGGATGAACCCCCAAGATGACGTCTATCTGGCCATATAGTGTGGGTCCTAATGTAAGGTTACCAGACGTCCCCATTTCCCGGGGACAGTCCCCAGATTTACAAATCAGTCCCCATACAAAATCTATTGAAGTTAAAAAGTGTCCCCGGATTCATTGAAAAAAATCTGGTAACCCTATGCTAATGGAAATGCTCTTGCAAACACTTGGACTCTGTCCAGTAATGAGTTATACAGTGGTACCTCGGGTTACATACGCTTCAGGTTACAGACTCTGCTAACCCAGAAACATTACCTCGGGTTAAGAACGTTGCGGCGCGGCAGCAGCAGGAGGCCCCATTAGCTAAAGTGGTGCTTCAGGTTAAGAACAGTTTTAGGTTAAGAACGGACCTCCGGAACGAATTAAGTACTTAACCTGAGGTACCACTGTATCTGCCCATGCTATGCCCACCTGGTGGAAACTCTAGCTCACATGGCCCTTAAATGTAAAATGTATGATGATCTCCGCCAACAATTTCTAGACCATCTCTGTAATCCAACATGGAAACCAGAGACGGAAGTTACGCGCTTCTTATTACAGGGGAGAGACCAGGAGCTCACCAAGACAGCAGCTAAGCTCCTCTATTTGATTTTTTGTCGCTGAAGCATGCCACAGGATCCTGCCCTTGCTGGAAACCCACAGAGATGAGGCGGATTGCTCGCCTCTTCTGCCCTTTGGCGGGTGACTGTGTCGTTCAGGTGGCGACAACATTGCACTGGCCTATCTATTCGGAATGTATTCTGAACGTTCTTATGTGATGCCAATAAAGGTTACTTGACTTGACTTGAGTAATGAGTTATGAAACAAAGCCCGAGAAATGGGGAATTTTGTGTGAGCCTCTGTCCTTGAACCCCCAATTTCCCCTCGCAATGTTCACGAGGTGGGGAGCATCACAACGAAATGCATCACCTGTGCATATTATGGTCCAGAAAGCAGGGCTGAAAGCTACCTGATGTGTCCAACCCTCTTCCCTGCTCATGAGGACTAGCGTAATGAGTTTGTGATGGACACATACCAGCCGGGTTGGAGGAGGATGGGCTGGTCTGACTTCTCCCAATTTGGGATTGTCCGTTAGTTAATAAATTTTGGAAACAGATTGGTATAGAAATATCAGGAATTGGGGGTAGGAAGGTGGGAATATCTAAATTAATGGTTCTTATTAGTCTGAGTAGCACCGAGTTAAAAACAAAAGAGGAATGTAAATGGGTAAAATTGATGGTAACTGCAGCCAGACAAGTTATAGCCAGTAATTGGAAAAATGCAGAAGAGCTAAGGGTGAACCAATGGAGGAAAAAAACTGAATATTATAATTTTACAATATCTAACTGTGAAGATACACAGAATGAAGGGGTTTAAGGTCAGTGAGAAAGAGGAGGATTGGTTTGAGAAGATATTGAATTATTTGGGTGGGTTTGAACAATTTGGGGCAATTAAAATGTTAAAAGTTAAATAAACCTTGTAGACGGAGGAGTATTAACGTATATAAAATTGTACATATTGTTGACTGAATATGTCATTATTGATTATGTATACCCAATGTATCAGTTGCCTGGGGGGTTTCACTGTTTGTGTTTTGGTTGTTAGTAAAAAATAAAAAAATTAAACATTAAAAAAAAACTTATCCCAATTTGGCGGTTCAAAGGACTGTCAGCCCAACTATGATCCCCCATCTGCTAAATCAGGGGGTGAAATCTGGGGTGCAACAGCAGATGAGGAGGACTGGCAAAGGGGTCATTTTCCAGATCACAAGTTGACCAACTCCACTACCTCCCTGGAAAGGGCCAGCCTACAGGCTGTTGGGATACTGCCAGGGAGACAGGCATCTCCAGATGATCCATCAGTCTCCCGTAGAACAGCATCAGTCAGTTAGCGACACGAGCCTCAGACACATTCCAGGGCTCTTGCACGCCCTTGCAGCAGACTCCGCAACAGAAGATGCACCCATGTTTACAACTTTATTCAATGTTGGTCAGAACAAAGGAAAAACATGACTGACTGCCTTTGTGTTGAGGCAACAGAGTCGCTAACTGACTGGTGCTGTTCTACGGGAGACCGATGGATCGTCTGGAGATGCCTGTCTCCCTGGCAGTATCCCAACAACAGGTTATGGGCCCAGCACGCTTCCGCTGCGCCAGATCTGTTGTCTAAGGTTGTTAACAGAGAACAACTTAAGGTTTATGTACAGAGGTTGCAATTGGGTTGAACCACAGCTACTACAGGTTACACGGAAAGGGGGAGGATGTTAGGATGTCCAGCTTCCTCTTCTACCTCAACACAGGCTACAATATCCTTAGACCACCACAGACAGACAGACAGACAGACAGACAAGACACTGCAACCCAAGCCTCACCCTGATTTTGTGTCGCTCCTTGAAGCTCTCCACGCTCTCCATGTCCTCTTTCACATTCTTCTCCTGCGCAGCGGGTCCGGCCTGGAAGACGATGCGGGGAGGAGGCTTCTGCCGCAAACTGTTCTCCCAGCCAGCGGATCCGCGCCTCCGCACCTGGGAATCGAAAAGGATTGGTGTCGCTCACTGCCTGGCTTTGTCAGGGGCAGGCGGGACAGAGGAAGGTGACAGCCTGCCCTCGTTTCATTGGGGAAGGACCAAATGGGTGACATGATCCTTCCATCAAAGCTGGCACAGCAATGGAAATTCAGGGGTAGAGCGATGGCCACCAATTGAGACAGCATGAAAAGAGGATTCGACAGATTCGTGGAAGGCAAAGCTTTCAAGGCCTATTAGCCACAATGTCTATGTTGAGCCTCCATATCAGCATGTCTTTGAAGTGGCTGGAAATTGAAAGCAGGGAGAGTATTGCTACCCCACTCAGGCCCATAGCTGTCAACTTTTCCCTTTTCTTGTGAGGAATCCTATTCGGAATAAGAGAATTTCCATTAAAAAGGGGGGAAAGTTGACAGCTACGCTCAGGCCTTGCATTGGGGCACCCGGCTGGTTATGGCTGCCCCCGACAGTTTATACCACTGGTTCCCAAAGGGGACGTGGGGATAAGCTGGGGGGTGCTAAGAGGCAAGGGGGCAGCAGGGGGGCATTGGAGGTGTCCATGACTATCACGCTTTGATAGTCAAGGGGTCAGACTAGATGATCCTCGTGGTCCCTTCCAACCCTACAGTCCAAACTCATCGGTTTTGTTGAATTAATTAAACTGAACAGTTTTAATGGACTTTCGAATGAATGTGCAATTAATTGTTACTGCATTGAATTTTATTATCATATGTGGTGGGAATGTAGAGAAATTTTTTAAAAAATTGGGGAATGATATATAATGAATTGAAGAAAATGTTTAAAATGACATTTGTAAAAAAAAAATCCAGAAGCATTTTTGTTAGGGATTGTAGGACAAGACCTGCCAAGGGAAACAAAGAATTTATTTATGTATGCTACAACAGCAGCAAGAGTCTTGATAGCACAAGGATGGAAGAATGAGGAAACCCCGACAAAAGAACAGTGGCTAGAGAAATTGATGAACTATGTAGAGTTGGCTAAATTGACATACAAACTGCAAGACAAGGGCAACTGTGACTTCAAAGAAGAATGGGAACTTTTTACAAATTACTTAATTTTATGGTGCTACTGTTTTCCTTATACAGTGGTGCCTCGCAAGACGAAAATAATCCGTTCCGCGAGTCTCTTCATCTAGCGGTTTTTCCGTCTTGCGAAGCAACCCTGTTAGCGGCTTAGCACTATTAGCAGTTTAGCGGCTACTAAAGGCTTAGCAGCTTAGCGGCTAAAAGGCTATTAGCGGCTTAGCAGCTTAGAAAAAGGGGGGGAAAGCGGAAAAAATTGCAAGACTCGCAAGACGTTTTCGTCTTGCGAAGCAAGCCCATAGGGAAATTCGTCTTGCGAAGCGCATCGAAAAACGGAAAACCCTTCCGTCTAGCGGGTTTTTCGTCTTGCGAGGCATTTGTCTTGCGGGGCACCACTGTAGTGGGTTGTGCAATCCGCTGTTCTGAGTTACACTTTTTATAAGGGAGGGTGGGGGGAACAGGGGGTGAGTTTATGGAACCAAAAGACAGGTGGCCCACAAACGTTTTGGGAGCCGCTGGTTTGTATTGCGAGCAACTGCTAAACGTGATGTGACATTCAGGGTTTGGAAAAAGATCTCACCTCCTCCTGGCCTTCTTTGGGGACCTCCTCATCCTGTTCCTTCCACTTCGCCTTGTGAGGCACTTTCTCTGCGTCATCGACATCTGCACAAGAGGAAACGGGGCCTCGACTCAGCTTCCTCCCATTTGGGCCAAGCCCCTGGAGAACCCCCCACCCCAGAACCTGCTCACCTAATACCGTGGTACCTCAAGTTAAATACTTAATTCGTTCCGAAGGTCCGTTCTTAACCTGAAACTGTTCTTAACCTGAAGCACCACTTTAGCTAATGGGGCCTCCCGCTGCCGCCAGAGCACGATTTCTGTTCTCATCTTGTACTGAAGGGACAGGATACCCAAATTCTGTCTGAAATCACCCCAGGCTTCAATAATCACCCCAGGCCTCAAAACTGTCCAAAACTCCTTTTGTCTTCTAAAAATCCAAAACAGCTTTTCTCTGCTTGTCTCTGCTTATTCTCACAAGATGCTGTGCATAGGCAAAATGTTACTTTTAAAGGCTCATTGCCAAGAATACTCAGGCCTGAGAAACGAATCTTATCGCATTGGGTTGCAACATCTTGGACATGCTGAACCACCAGGGCTCCTCGACCCCTCGGCTCTCATGCCCCCTTTCCTGCCAAGAGTCCAATAGTCCCAAGACAGCTTTCTGTTCATGCTCAGAGGAACTCATGGGGCAGGACTCCTGAGGGAGGAGAAAAGGGGGAGGGAACTGGAAAGGGGTATATATGCTTGTCCACATGACTGTGAACTTCGTGCATGCTTTTTGTGAACTATCACACTTGCTCCTTCTACCAGTTCATGGATGGTAGAAATAAAAGCCTTTTCTCCGAAACTATTCCTTGAGTGTCTGTTGACTCCCACTTCTCTTTCCCGGGCGCAATATTTTTCCCACCCGAGGGCAAAGCCTCATAAGGCTACAGTACCACAGTACAACTGATAGAATTCTACAGGATGTGGCATTAGTGTGTGAAAACATTCAAGATCCAAGGATCCCAGGTTTGCACCTCCCGGTACTAGTGATGGGCTTAGGCATCACAACACCACCGCTGGCAACCCACTAGACCCCTAAAGCAGCTTCAGTGCCCTCTATTTTAGTGCCCTTCTGAGACGCAGGAGCTTCAGCCAAGACCCAACTGCTGCCCATCAGCTGGCACCAAGCCTGGCTCCACAGTCCCCTTGGGATATATACTGGGGTGGTCAGAGCTCCTCATAATAATAATATGATTTATACCTCACCCTCCCAAGACTGGGCTCAGGGCGGCTAACACCAAATATAAAAACAATTGATTGAAATACTGCTTAAAAAACAAGATTAAAATACAAGATTAAAACATTAAAATGCAGCCTCATTTCAGGGGAAACTCGATCAGAAACTTTTTTGCACTTCCTCAGCCAAAGAGGTGCCAAACCACAGCCTCGTGAGGGAACAGGAGGCAGACTCCCAAGGATACCTGAATTCTTCTGCTTCCTTTTGACTTTCAAGGTAGGCTCGGCCTTGTCCTTGGCTGGGTCACCGCAGCTTCCATTGACCAAGACCAGGTTCTCCTCCTCGCCGTCCATCGTCCACTGGACCACCTTCTCCTTCTTCATGTTAACCTGCAGGATGGGAGGGACAGGTGCTTTAGTTGAGATACCTGCATTGCACGGGGTTGGACTAGATGGCCCCTGCGCGTCCCATCCAACTCTGTGGCCACAGGAGCCTCAGACAATGCTGCCAAACGCCTGGATTTGCCTGGACATTACCAGCATTTCAAAGGCAGGGGGGATTTCCGGAATGTGGTGCTTTGCCCCTGGCAAAATAAACTAAAGAGATTATGTAGAATTAGCAAGACTATCAGCAAGGCTATGAGACGTTACAGAGGAAAAAATTGCCAGAGAGTGGAATATATACAGAGTCAGTTAAGTTGTGGGTGAACACATCAGACGACACAGCGATTCTTCAAACAGCTCTTGTTTATTCAGAGGCCAGAACAGAACTGAGCTGAAGGGTTCAGTCAGCCTGCTTATATAGAGCTCCAGTACAATGTTACTGTAGCAACTTTCTAAAACTATCCAATCACAGAACGTCACTTTCAATCCTTCATTTGCATAACTATCTACAGTATCCCCCTGCTGGCCCAGGGTGAGAACTTCAGTACATAACAGAGTCTACGTAAAAGAACATTGTCAAAATATCAATCCGTTGGTAGGTCTTGATTGAGCTTCTGTGTGTAAATAGAAAAACTTGAAAAATCTTTAAGTAAGTTAAATAATAGGGTGAAAACAAAGTTAAGTGTGTATTTCAGGAATTTGACTCGAAACACAATGGGAAGATTGGAGGTAATGTTAAACTGAATTTCAGAAGGATATAAAAAACAAGTCTCAACCAAGGATTGAATGAATGTTTAATTTTATTTTGATAGCAACCTTTATTGATCATTTCTGTTTTACAGTTTTCAAAAAACCAAGAAAGCAAAAAACAAATCTTGTTTCTTTGGTGATTTGGTAAAACACAAAACAAAACACGCCACAATTATTCAGTTTTCTTTTATTTTTACAGTGGTGCCCTCACAAGACGAAAAGAATCCGTTCTGTGATTCTCTTCGTCTAGCGGTTTTTTCATCTTGCGAAGCAAGGTCATTGAAGGATTAGCGGATAAGCGCTATTAGCGGCTTATCTGCTGATCGGATCAGCTGATAAGCGGCTTAGCGGCTTAGAAAAAGGGGGGGAAAGGGAAAAAAACCCACAGGAACTCGCAATACATTGTCGTCTTGCGAAGCAAGCCCATAGGAGATTCGTTTTGCGAAGCACCTCCAAAACGGAAAACTCTTTCGTCTAGCGAGTTTTCCGTCTTGCGAGGCATTCGTCTTGCGGGGCACCACTGTATTTAGTTCCAGGCATACCAACTCTACCAAATGTGAGTCACCCAAGCAATGGGGGATGAGGGAGACTGCAGCCCCCTAGAGAAGAGGCACAGTCAATTTCCAGGGAAAGATAGTCCTTTGGTTGCATTTAAATGCTGCAGGGTTAAGAACAAGCAACCGTGGAATAGCATTGCCTTGTGGAAAGATTCCCCAGTTTAAAAAAAAATCACTTCAATTAAATTTGCATCCAGTTCTAAATATTTCAGCATTTGGGCATGAGGAGAGTAGAATCCCTTTCTAGACAAAGGAATAAGGAATAAGAAAACACAGACTGGCTTCCTCTACTGAGGCTTCTCTGCTTAATCCTTTGATGTGCATCTTCCTCTGTATCCACCGAACCCCTTTATAACTGCTTTGTTTGCTTTTCATTACCTACCAGGCATTCACCTCCCATCTGCTCAACACGGGACATTGCATTGCATTGTATCGTCATTATAGAAATGAAACCGTGTGCACAGTTTATTTTCGTCGTCCCTATAGCTTCTTTGTACAAAACAGGCTGGCATTCACAGTTCGTTTTTCTGAATAAATGAAATTAAATTGAGGCTTTTCTAGGGTAAACTTGTAATCATAGGCAAAACAGGGGGGTTTTTTTGCCAACGGCTCATTCTCAATGTAAAATCACATGTAAAAAAAGTCATTGGTGTTCAAAAACAACTATTTTTGCTACACAACCTGACTATACCTCTTCCCTTGGTTTTAATGTATCTACGTGGTGCTTATAGTCTGTCTGTCTGTCTGTCTGTCTGTCTGTCTGTCTGTTTGTTTGTTTGAAGGTTGCTTTGGGATAAAGCGACTGACAAATTTAGCAAATAAATAAACCCAGTGGCTCTGGACCTGGGTTTCTCCCCAGCGTGACACTCTATAACCACTATCCCACACTGTCCTCCCACAGCCCCCACCCAACATTACTGAATAAGAACCACCCAAATATTTAGGTGGCCTAAAGTGTGTTGTTGCCCAAGGCAAAAGGTGGGGTGGCACCCCTTCCCCATCATCAGAGAATTGTAATAATAATAATATTACTTATACCCCATACATCTGGCTGGGTTTCCCCAGCCACTCTGGGCAGCTCTCAACAGAATTAAAAGCACAATAAACCATCAAACATTAAAAGCTTCCCTAAAGAGGACTGCCTTCAGATATCTTCTAAAAGTCTGGTAGTTGTTCTTCTCTTTGACATCTGGTGGGAGGGTGTTTCACAGGGCGGGCGCCACCACCGAGAAGGCCCCCTGCCTGGTTCTCTGTAATGTTGCTTCTCGCAGGGAGGGAACCGCCAGAAGGCCCTCGGCGCTGGACCTCAGTGTCCGGGCAGAACGATGGGGGTGGAGACGCTCCTTCGGATATACTGAACCAAGGCCATTTAGGGCTTTAAAGCTCAACACCAACACTTTGAATTGTGCTCGGAAACGTACTGGGAACCAATGTAGGTCTTTTAGGACCGGTGTTCTCGGCGGCCGTTCCCAGTCACCAGTCTAGCTGCCGCATTCTGGATTAGTTGTAGTTTCCGGGTCACCTTCAAAGGTAGCCCCACATAGAGCGCATTGCAGTAGTCCAAGCGGGAGATAACTTGTAGTTTGAAGGGCACCCCAAGACTCATCTAGTCCAACCCCCAGCAGTGCACTAACGGGACTGGCCCGGCCACTGAACCTTCAGCGCTGGTGATGGAATAGCCAGAGCAGGGGGGCTCCAAAGGAGCAGCTGGGGGCTGATGCAGCTACTGCCCACCCACCCCCATCTCCATTCTGCCAGATGTTGCACCATCCAGATCTTTCTGGACCTCACGGTTAACTGCATTTTATTTATGTTTTATCATTTCATTTTTATACCGCTCCTCATAACATCCCAGATCCGTTCACAAGATATATAAACTACGAAATAAGCAGAGCCGAAACAAAACAGACTGAACTCAACAGCAGCAGGAAAATACTTCTTGCAGACTGTTCCCTAAATAAAGTAGTGCACTATCTCACAAAGACCCAAGTCTCTGACCACTTGGCATGCTGGCTGGGACTGAGGGAAGGAGGCTTCCAAACCTCAGGTCAGCCACTCTAGTTTTCGAGTAATATATTTAAAAGGTTACAAAGTAATTCAGCCGGGTCTTCCGTCACTCATTTTCACAAATTCCTCATTCTTTCTCCAAACATGACATACACACATACCATATTGGCATATTTTCTGAACCTATTTTTTATTATTATTATTATTATTATTATTATTATTATTATTATTATTAAAAAAGTGGTCCTCAGTCGAACTGGTGCACATTCACACAAGCCTTTTTGCTCCAGACAAGAGCGAAGCGAGAAAAGTCAAGGAAGGTTTGCAGCTGGAATAATGACAAATGATATCCTCTTCCTCTCCGAGCTAAGCCAACGGCTTAATTTATCAAAGTCCAAGGCGACTTGGCCTCCCAAAGCAATTGTTTTACGTGGGGAGAATGATGTAAGGAGGCACTCTGGAAGGGGTGATAAAATACGATTTTCATTTACAAGGCCAGGGTTAAGTGCGATTCAGGGGCAGGAGGCCTCCTCTCTCGACTACAGAACCTGCAACAGTCTTGCTGAAAAAGACAAAGGCTGAATTTATGTGTTCATTTATTCCATTTTCACGACGTCCCCCTAACTGTTAAATCCCACATTATATCTGAGCTTCCAGGCACTGAGCGCAATGGTGCATCCACACAGTTTACTTCTGCATTATACGTGGGCTTTTGAGCATCATAAAATCCACTTCCGAAAACAAGAGTGGAACAGAGCCATTTCAGCACTTATTTCCAGGTTACTTGCTTCCGGGGGGAAATCAATTTGAAAGTTGATATTCCTACATTGCAAAGGGTTGGACTAGATGCCTCTGGGGACCTTTCAACCCTCCAATTCTATGCTTCTGTGGACACCTGAAGGGCCACAGCTTCCACATTCCTGCTATACAGTCTCTTGATTAGTCACAAAAAGAAATCGCCACCCCACCAGCCCAGGCACTGCGCATGTGCACGGCATGAGTTTGGTGTGGCTGCAGCAGGTTTAAGGTGCTGGTTTTAACCTTTAAAGCCCTATACGGCCTAGGACCCTCGTACCCACGGGACCGCCTCTCCTGGTATGCCCCACAGAGAAACCTACGGTCTTCAAACAAAAATACCTTGGAGGTCCCAGGCCACAGGGAGGTTAGGCTGGCCTCAACCAGAGCCAGGGCCTTTTCGGCCATGGCCCCGATCTGATGGAACGCTCCATCACAAAAGACTAGGGCCCTGTGGGACTTGACATCTTTCCGCAGGGCCTGCAAGACAGAGCTGTTCCACTTGCCTTTGGCCAAGGCACAGTCTGACCCCCTCCTTTGGTAATCCTCACAGAACTCTAGCACAATGATTGCGCTTAATTTGATTTTGAATTGATTTTAGAATGAATTGATTCTAGAATGCATTTCAATTAATTGATTGTGATTTTATGTAGCCTGTGTTATTTTTATTGTTGTTAGCCACTCTGAGCCCGGCTTCGGCTGGGGAGGGCGGGATATAAATAAAATTATGATGATGATGAGTTTGGTGTGGCTGCATCTAGCACAACTTGTGGCAGACTTGCTGGGGGGGTGGGGGGGCTGATCTCTAGACAAAGGTCTTGTGTTGGAAGAAGACACTCCGAAAGCCAGCAGTGCACTGTTTGGGAACAGGTGCTTGGCTCCAACCTGAGTCTGGGA